AACACTCACGACCTCCCTCGCAGACCTAATCGCATTCTGCGTCTCGGGCGGCGACACCTTCCTCCCAGACCCAGCCTCCTACGACGACCTCTTTTATAAGCTGGTCGAAACGGGTCCCATCATCTCCAAATTCCGCGATGCATACGCATTGTCCCGCTCCAATAACGCAGTAGCCGGTGTCTCGACCTCCAAAACACCCGAAGCAATCTCCCAGAACGAGCTGCATTCAGCAGCCATCGACACTCTCCAATCCGTGTCTACTCACTTCTACACCCTCCTCTTCCATTCGGAAGGCGCGGATGCCGCTGCTGTCACTGCTGCTGCTAGTCCTAAAGCTGATGAGCCTACGCGGGTGGCGTTGCCGTCGATTAAGAAGAAAAATCTCTCCCCGCGTGAGGTCCACCGTATCATTAAGCAGGGCTATGATACGTTGAGTATTCAGCCACCGGAGGGTCTGAGTGCTTGGGCTAAGTGGCGTGAGGCGGAGTGGAAGAGTGAGTTGAAGCGTGCGGCGCGGTGTGCTGTTGATGATGCTAGGCAACTGGTTGCTTAGGTGTCATTTTACGGCGATCTTTCTTTTCATTTTCTACTTTCATGGTTCTTGGATCTTGATCTGGATTCAATATGTTTGGTAGTGCGGTGAAGAGGTAGATCAAGGTAGTAGTGTGTATCATTGAGTTTTCAATTAAGATATTCAGTTGAGAATTCATATTTTCTTCTTCCTTGTTAATGTTAAGTCATTATTTGTTTACATTTTATAACTATCAAGTAAGGTCATAGAGATGTCAGAGCTCGATCTCTCAACTACCGGTACATATTGTGACTTCAGAATCCCACGAGAAATATGGAATATTCTACGTCTTCTTTGAAGTTAAGTCAAACAAAGTATTTGTATTCTAGGCCCGCAGGTCGCGCTTCTCGAATCGAAATTTTAAAAAAAAAAGAACAAGTTGCTGCTGGAAGGGTGGCCACCTCCACCCCCAACGCAGGCAACAAAAAAAGACAGAAACCCCCCTTCCAACCCCCCCCCGGCACTCAGTGAGTGCTCTCCGCCAGCTGGTAGCTGGTAGCGAAGTACTTCTCGGAGTTCTTGCTCAGCCACATGGACAGCTTGGAGATCTCCTCTCGCAGGCGGTTTGTGGCCTGCATATCCATGTTGGTCTGAGCAATCAACTCAGGCATGGTGCCTACACAAACACAACTATTAGCACAGTTCTCAATCCTCACAGTTGAGTTGGAAGTGAGGTGAACCGGAACGGGATACATACTGAACAAGCGGATCAGGTGCTCCGCTCCGTAGACATCGATGGGGCCCTTATCGGCCAGGTCGCCGGTGGCAGCCTCGAACTTCTTGCGCAGCCCGCGGTACTGGGGGCGCTCGTGACGGTAGAGAAGGATCTTGTCCAAACACTTGTCAAAGTACTCCTGGATCCCGGCAACCACTTCCTCCAGCACGTCCTCGTCTGCCGACGAGCCCGACCGCTTTGGAAGCTCTTCCTCGTGCCAGTCTTGCAGGATCTGGCGGACTGGGTACTTCGCCGGCAGAGAGATCACGCATTGGTTCTTGGTTACCTGCTCCCAGTCATCGACAAGTAGGGACTTCAAATTGTCTGGCATGATAATGCGGACAGAGGGGCGGATGTTGAAGCTCTCCTCCTATTGAATTTTGTTAGTATGGGGTCATAAATGATATAGTTCATTTTGTGTATTTTTTTCCCCTGGTTTTGGTTCCATTACACCAAATTTAGTAGATGTGGTAATTGCATACCTTTTCGATTTCACTATCACGGGCTCGCTTGGTGCCACGGCCGGGAACGGAGCCGCGCTCCTCGCTGTCCCGCACAGAGTCACGGTCGGAACCGGCACGCTTCTTAGCAGTGACTTTGGTGTTCTTCAGACGGAAGGAGGCTTCAGCTTCGCGACGCAGATTGTTGGCCAATTCGCGGTTGTCTTCGGTATGCTTGCGAAGACGGTCCTCCAGGACCCAGTCATCCCAACTGTTCCAATCTTAGCAAATGGTTCCATGAAAATGTTCTTGAACATATTGGTTTTTAGAAACAGGTGCAGTAAAAAGCAAGAGGCATTTTTGGCATAACAGAGTGCATAGGTCAAGGTCAAATCTTCCGTAATGGCCCGGACAAAATTTCCAAGGTTGGAGGGGGAACAATCTCGACACGACAGCCAGGACGCAGATGAACAGCGGAAGTGATGCAACAAGCCAAACTTACGTATTCTTCCAGCCCTTGTAGTGGACTTGGTATTCAAAGGGGCTCTTCTTGTCGCTGGAGTCCTTGTGGCGAACATCCAGGATCTTGGCATCGTAAAGGATCTCATGGTGGAAACAGAGGACCTTCTCGTCCTTGCTATACATGGAAATAGGAGCCATTTTGTCGGAGAAAGATAGAATATGTGCGTATTGAAGTTGGTATGACAAATTGCAAACCTTCAAGCACAAAGGTATAGAGAAGATGTCAGGATGTTTCCTGTCTTGCGGGAAAAGGGTGTGATACAAGCGGCAACAGCCACGATCAGAAGAACGTTGGAAGCCTTCGGAGACTCCAACGGATCACAACCCTGCAAGTAGACCCTTGCAGACTTGAGCAAAGACTGTCAGAGAGGAAGATGCACAAATGGCAGTACAGGATGCTTTTGACGGCAAATTTGATTCAGTAAAGTGGAAGAAGGTGCAACAAGAAACAAAATTAGATCAGACGAGAGACCAGCTCAGGAACAGTAGAAATAATCAAGACTTCAGAAGAGAGAATGGGTTAGCGTAGTTGGTGATGTAGATGAAGTAGATGAAGTCGAGTGGAAGAAGGAGGAAAACAAGCGAAGATGAGTGGCCCCTTGGAAGAATTAGGCGCGGGCAGCTTATTGTCACCTTTTACATTGACAACTATTCATACAATTTCTATTTATTATAATAATACAATAGGAACTATTGATCCATTCCATTCTTCTATTCATTCTGTTTCATATTCTTTTTTTTGTGCACGTGAATCTTGCCAACTTCGGTTCGCGTCAAACGGGAGGCAGAACTACAACTCCTACACTCGTCAGGGGGAAGGGAAGTAAAAACGACTCTACTCTCATATTTGTGTGTACTGTGTGTACTACACATCACGCCCTCATCATGCCTCTCTCCGAGGAGTCCATCCTCAGCAATTTCCTGCTCTCACCAGCCCCGCTACCAACAGTCATGTCACTGCAAAAGTTCACAGAGCTTTTCCCAAAGCGCCTGAGAGCTCATCCACACATCAGGACTTTGTATCGGGAGCTGCAGCAGGTCCGAGAACAGGATATGGACCGAGTTAACGAAAGCATCGACAACGAGATCAAGCAAGGTGAAAGGCAGAGAGCAGAGCTCCGAAAAGCCATCCTAGCCACTGGAGTCGAAGCCTCGAGTTCTGAAGAGCAGCGCGAGATGGACATGGATGTCCATCTGTTCGGTCAACCACCTACTGCTGCACCAGGGGATTATCACTCGGTGGCTAGTCTGCTGGCTGAAATGGAGACGGCCAGCGCTAATATCGAGCATGAAATTGCCGGTATCGATCAAGAGGCTGCGGAGATTTTGACTCAACTCAGTACGACTGTTGGTGATATGAGCGATCTCCGTTACGGCAAATTACAGGGTCCAGCGGGGACTGCTGAAGATGTGGCTGGTGAGGCGATCAAGGGCCTGCAGAATCTCGAAGATGTTTGCTATAAGAGTAGCACTTCTTGAGAGTTATGCTTCTGGTCCATTGTTATTTGCAATTGAGTGAATACCCCTGAACTATTCGTATGTGGTTTCAATGTTGATCCTGGCAATTAAAAGACCTTAGCTAACATATCTATGGGCAGGTGAAAGGCGAAATATCACGGGCGCTTTAGTGTGGGAATCTTGCTTTTGAGAGTTGTCTAGTTGTTCACCCAGGCATCGAAGTATCGAGCTCTACGTTCTAATCTGGAACTCGTGCTGTGTTGTCACCACTTTCTGCCTCAGAGCTATGTTGCATGGTCAACCAAGCTATATATTCTCTGCTCTTTGCAACGGCACGAAAATTGTTCTCTTGGAAAGGCCATCTATTACGTTCTTACGATACAAGTCCGAATCTGGGCCATGGCTTTGGAAGAATGCTTCTATCACGCCAAAGCTCATGTCCATCATCCACGCTCAAATCCAAGCCACGCAGCAAATCTACACCAAGTCTTGGCTACCCAGGTATACTGTGCCTGAGACAGGACAAAAATAGTGGAGAATTCATGCATCTAAAGCCATATATATATTCTTAATCCCACTAATTCTACAAATCATAATAAAAATAATAAGAATAACATACTATGTGCTTGTAATTCCAATAATCAATTGCACCTCCATTTCTGGCGATAAGAACATGTGGGGAAATACTCAACGCGTGCCGCGTTCGCGTTTTCCTTCAACTCCAATTGAACATCACACTACATCATGCCCTCCATAAAGCTACAACCACACTGCTCGAGTCCGGCAAAGGCGACTACAACTACCCCAACTCCGAACAATCCCCTTCCAGCACTCCTTCAAACACCCTCTGGTCTAGCCCTTCTCGAGCTCCAAGGCACAATCAACGTCCCCTCAGGGAACGAAGAAGATGACCTAGACCACTCTACATCTACGGAAAACCCGGCCTCCACCTTTGAAACTCCGATCGGAAAACTCATGTTCCCAGACTACTCGTTCCACAACCCAGATGACACAAAATGGATGAAGCGCGCTTACATGTATGTCGGCCGGTATCAGCGGATGACTGGGGAAGTTAAGAAGCTGCCGCGGCCAATTGCTGTGCTACGGAAACGCCATGCGTCGGAAGGCGAGGAACTGGAGGTTGTGGAGATTGTGCGCTATAAGATCTTCTTCAAGAGTCGACCGGAACCTGTGACCAATGTTTGATTGGGTTAGGTTGAAGGTTTTACTTTCTTGCATTGGAATGGGATCAATGAGATGGGATCTTCTGGATATGGCATCTATTGTGTGCAACATGTACTGGGGCCGCAGGACTTGGAAGATTTGGATGAAAGGTTGTGACATGCATGGCCAGCCCAACTGGACATGGCCTCGCGCTTTGCTACGGAGAACAGCGGCTTCTCTCCACAACATTGGCCTCGTTCGTGTGCCACAAACATCAAATCGGATTCTCCGGGTATACAGGCCTGGATTCGAAACCCCCCAGGTTTCACCAAAGAAGGACCAAGCAGCAGCCCGCAAAGACAGCAGAATTACCGGCTCTGCATGAATGGATGACTTCAGGATTGCCTCATATGTTTAGCTAGATAGCCACCTCCCAAGTCTGAATAAGGATCCCCTCACCAGCATTTCATTCTTCTCCTCAACCCCGACCCAGCTGTCTTGAAAATCACTCATAAAATAACTTTACCGCAACTTATACCGGCGCCAAGGGCTGGCGGAAGGATGACACGCGTCTCGTTTCACGCATACACCGATGCTAGCGCAGCCACAATCAACAGCATTAACCATGACCGTCCCCGAAAATGAAGATATCTTTCCAGCGAAGATGGGGCCCGAATATGTCGGCTTCGATCACGTCCATTGGTATGTCGGCAACCCCAAACAAGCCGCCTCCTATTGGATCACTCGCATGGGCTTCCGCCCCATTGCATACCGCGGCCCGGAAACCGGCTCTCCCTATCTCGTGAGCTATGTTGTGGCCAACAGCAGCGCTAATTTCGTTCTTACGGGGCCAGTTTGTGGCCCGCCGAAGGAAGGTTCAGAAGACGGTCTCTTGCGCAAGGCTTCGAATTCTGAGCGGACGACGCTGGCTGAAATCCATAAGCACTTGACCATACATGGCGACGGGGTGAAGGATGTCGCATTCCGGATTGCGGGCGATATACAAACTGTATGGAAGCGGGCTGTAGGTAACGGTGCTCGCGCCATCACCGAGCCGCGAACGGTTGCTGTCGAGGGACATGGCTGGATCGTTTCTGCAACTGTTGGTACATACGGGGATACTGTACATTCTTTGGTGAATCGTGAACAGTATTCGGCGAGCGCTCCCTTCTTGCCGGGATATCGATTGCTCGATGGTGAAGATCCGATCACACAGCTTCTACCACCCATCAATCTTCTTGAGATTGATCACTGTGTCGGGAATCAGCCGTGGGGAGGAGTGGACAAGATTGTCCAATAGTGAGTAGAGTCCATGCCGTCCTTGTTGGAACTGTAGCTCTAACAAAGGAGCCTTAGTTATGAGGAATGCCTCGACTTCCATCGCTACTGGACAGTCGACGATAAAGATATGTGCAGCGAGTACTCAGCCATGCGATCAATTGTCATCGCTTCACCAAATGAAACTATCAAAATGCCCATGAATGAGCCCGCAGCCGGCAAAAAGAAATCACAGATTGAAGAGTACGCAACCCGCCCCTGTTCTTTTGTTCTTTCTTTCTTCTCTCCCATGTCCTCTACTCCCCCCACATACCGACCCTTCTAACCCTCACAGATTTGTCGACTACTACCACGGTGCCGGAGTGCAACACATAGCCTTCCGCACGCACGACATCATCGCTGCCGTAACGGGGCTCCAAGCGCGCGGTGTCCAGTTCCTCAGCGTACCAGCTACATACTACGCGGATCTGCGGAAACGCCTGACACAAGTGTCTTGGACGCTTGGAGCTGATGTAGACGTGCTCGAGCGGCTGAATATTTTGGTTGATTTTGACGAGCGTGGATACCTGCTTCAGATCTTCTCCAAGCATGTCGGGGATAGGCCGACAGTGTTTATAGAGGTCATTCAGCGGAATTCGTTTGATGGGTTTGGGGCTGGGAATTTCAAGAGTTTGTTCGAGGCTTTTGAAAGGGAGCAAGCTCTGCGTGGGAATCTGTGAGCACTAGTGGTTGCTTTGGGGATCTTGGAGCGTGGAATGATTGAATTGGTATGGGGGAGAAGCGCCATATCATATGAAATCTAAGGACGACTTTAGTTAAGCTTCTAAGCATCATAAGTGAAACTAATAAGTTCCTCTGTACTACAATATCCATCATTGGTGCCTATACAATACCTATAATAACCACCATCCTTGACTGTGTATCCCAATTCCGCACACCAAATACCCGAGCGGAAATAGTGCGCTCTCCAACACCAATTCCGCCCTAACAAAGAAACACTCTCAACTGACGAGATAGGTATGAAAGACATAGAATATATAGCAGGTATGGAATACAATCAAGGTCAACACTAATCAACTCAGCAAAAATCATAGATTGATTAAAATCATAAATCAACGGCTTTCCTCCGAATCCCGGCGGAAGTATCAACAATACCATATTATCCCCCACCTTAGCCCCGCTATATAAATCCATATAAAGTCCGCCCATAACCCCCGATATCCAATTCCCCGGCTCCTGACTCTCCATCCACTCAAAACAATGGCCCCTATCGAACGAATCACCCTCTTCAAGATCCCCAACGAGGCGGATCGCGCCCGCGTACTGGAGCAGTACAAGGTCCTCGCGAAGACCGCTACAAAAGTCAGTATTATCTCTTTTATACATCATACATCCACAATCCTATTCCTGTGCAGTCCGCATCGTTCAGCTACGTACGTTCATGTTGTACTACCTAGCCATTCGGAAGAGAACGGAAGGGAAAAGGACAGGGGTTGTCGGAACGAAACGCAATTGAGCGGTTATTAACGGGTGTTTTTTTTTTTTTTTTTCGTTTTTAGGACGGCAAGCCCTACATCGTCGCTGCTGCTGTTGGCAGTTCGATCCCCGATCCTCGCAATAAGGGGTACAACTTGTCTGTTAAGACGACATTTGCTTCGATGGACGATATGAAGTACTATGATAACGAGTGTGAGGCGCATAAGGCTCTCAAGGCTTGTGTTGGGCCTGTCAACGAGGATGTATTGACGACTTTCTATGAGAATATTTTGTAAAGAATCTTAAAATCTAGAGATATTGGGGTTTTCTGCATGTTTGAACTTCGTATAAAGAGAGTATAGAGTTAAGGTAGAGAGCTAGCACATGCAGAAGCTAGATCATAAGGCGAACAAAGTCCATTGATGATGTACATTGCATACGTCTAGTACGCCCTGCCCGAGGATCGGAGATAGACATACACACTAAAGCAAATATAATTCAACAAGTAGCAAAACACCGATGCCTTCCAAAAATGGCATGCTGAGAGCTTGGAGAAGGTCGTTAAAAAAAGGGGGGAGGAGGGCAAATCATAATATTGGCTCAAAACGGGGGAAAGCAGGCACGGGAGGGAAATCACGACAAAAGCAAATGACCCGGCCCATAAGCATGATGCAAATGCGCAGGATAGGACGTGATCGCAGATCCTCACTATCTCTTCCACGCATTCCAAATATACAGAACCGGATACTGCTATCCGGAGTTGAGGCGTAATAGAAACAACGGTGCGATCAGTCGAGGGCACGACGGAGGTCACTCCATTTCTGGCGGAGGTTCTCGTGGTTCTCGGAAATCTGTTTGAGTTCGTCAGTTTCAACGTCTAACGCTGAGCATTGAAGGAGAAATCTTACCTCCGCCCACTTCATCTTCGTGGCAACCAACTCCTTCTCCATGTCGGACATTGATTCTTCCATCGCACGGTTCTCGTTTTGTACCTCGATGTTCCGCTTCATTATCCGTTCCATTTCAAGGCGAAGCTTTTCCTCGACTTCGGCCGGCTGCTTGTCAACCACGTTCTTGAGTTCGCTGACCTGGAGTTCCAAAGCCTCTTTGAGGTCGCGCAGCTCCTCATTCTCGACCTTGACGTGAACCAGCTCGGAGGCCAATTGCACATGCTCTTTGTCTGATGCTTCGGCACGTTCCTCGAGAAGTCGGACACGCGCGCCTTGCGTGCCCACGGTGTGCCGCAGGTGTTCCAGCTCGACTTCACGCTCTTTCTCAGTTCGGGTCTTTTCCTCCCATTCGGCGGTGTACGTGGCAAGCATCTCGGACGTGAGGGGAATGGCGCAGGCGTCCTGCACCATGATATCGGATCGGTAGATCTCCTTATCGGAGGCACCGGAGCTTCCGAAGAAGCCTGACTCCAGGATCGACGAGGTAGATGGCTGCTTGTCGATGTAGGTGTCGAACAAACGCTCTTTCAAGAAAGTAGTGAGCACACTCATGTCTTTCATTTCAAGTAGCGCGTCTGCATTTCGTCGCATGATCGCAACACCGAATTTGAGGATGGTAGTTTCTAGTCCCTCTTCGAAGATCAGGTCGTAGATGCGAAGCACCAGTTGTAGCGGGAAACGGTAGGCGAACAGTGTCAAGAACCACTGGGTGGCGTAGAGCTGAGGAGGAACTCCACGGCGCCGGAGATGGCAGTAGAGAGCAGGTTCTAGGTCTTCTAGAAGTCGCTCGAATTGGTATAGACTACGGTGAAGCCCGGGCATATCCTGAATGAACATATCTCGTAGAGAGTACTTGTTCATCAGCTTGACCATCATGGCGAAAGCATCGACTTCATCCATCTGCGTAAAACGTTAGCCAATGAGCTCAGTCAGCTTGATCAAGGGTACACTCACGTTGAACAGCAATGGCATAGCAATAAAGTTCATGCCTTGCGCGTATCCAACTCCCGTATCATACAAGGCATATGCCTTGCACAGCCCAAAGAGGCTTTCTTGGCTGCCCTGAGAAACAAAGTATTTCGCGTAGCTAGTGCGAGCACCTAGGTCTCGCCTGATGACTTTCTCCAATTTTTGCAGCGCAACGGCATCTGTCTTTGCTTTCTTCAGACGCTCGGCCTCATTTGAGGCATTTTCCTTGGACAACTTATCTGCGTCTCCTTCGTAAGATGGACTAGGAGCAGCACTGCTAGACCGTGATACGGAACCCGAGTGGTGGGAGCGGACTGAAGAGCACGACGATGTGCTTTCAGTGCCATTTATTGTTCGTCCATCTTTGTCTTGTGCTGTGCCACGCGCCACGAGTTCTCGATAGATGTCCTCCATCTCAGCAGTCTGGCAATCCGCCAAGATTTGCCAAATCACTCCTCGGATCGTCTGAGGGATACCTCGTTTGATGGCAGCATTCAGTTCCTCTGAGCTTGCCAAGGCCTGGGGCCCATTGTTCACCAGGTGCTGCCACATCTCCCAGTCCACCGGGATTGAAGCATCAGCCACAGAACCCGTTCTCCCAGGAGCGACAATCGTCGATGGTGAAATGGCTCCTGATGCTGCCACGATGCCCTCCTCTCCTTCCTCTGGAATAATTGGGGGGCTAGCCCCAGACTGGCTGATGCTGGCCTGGCCTGATCGCACGCTCGTCTGATCGATCTCCGGTGCATGGCTCTCCTCGCGCAGACGCAGCATTTTGAACTGATCCTTCAAGCTATTTCGTCTCGGCTTCTTTGATCCGACGCTCGAGACATCATCGCCATCACGAGCAATCTGGTCTAGATTGCTGCCGAGAGTCGATACGGAGGTGGCAGTGTTGCGTCGGCTGGCAGAGTGGGGTGGGGATTTGATGTCCTTCGCAGTATTCGAGGTTGAGCTTCGAGAGAACCACGCAAAGGGACCACTCGGTTTTTTAGGAGGGGCTGGCTGGGGAACAGGTGAATTCTTGTTCACTGGAGGAGCCGCCCATGGGACTGAGGGCAGACCACCCGACAGACCCATCAGCCCAGCGCTTGCCGGAGGGGCGACATCGTCCTTGGGAGGCAACGGAGGCGGTTCTGGTTTGTCCCCTGTGCCCTGTGGCTTGTCCATCGGTTCGTCTTCCTTGCTGTTCATCAGGTTCACCTCGTCTAGTGAGGATGATGTTGATAAACGGTGGGATGTGAGTAGAGGCGACTTCTGGAGTGGACTCTGATCGTGATCTTCTTCGTTCTTCTCTACTTCTGTCTGCGTAACCTCGGACCCTTGCTCCGGCTTGTCACCCTGGGTGGGCTCATCGGTCGCGGTGTTCACCTCGTCGTTGGTGTCATAGTTATTTTCATCGTTGGTATCCGTTCCTTCGTCCTGCTTCTCCCCATTTCTCTTGTTCTTCTTATTTCTCTTGTTATTTTGTCCATCTTGCCCCTCGCCATCCTTGTCCTGCTCATCGACGGTCTCGGTCTTCTTCTCGTCCTGCGATTCAGAAGGGAACGGAGGTTTCTCCGTTGATTCCGGAGACATATGTGAGCCAATTGGAGGACTGTCGGTCAATGATCGGGTGGAAGTGGACTTGGGGATGGTGACGTTGAGGTTGTTGTTCTCCTGGATTTCGGGTGTTTCAAGGGCGTCGTCAAACGACTCCTATTCAGATGGCGATAAGCTCATGTCAAGGCAAGCTGATGATTTGGAAATATCTGGGTATTAACCACTTACCCCTTCGTATTCAGGACTGTGTTTAGGCGTAGACATGTCGGCCATAGCTGTTTCGATGACCTCACAACAATCAGAAGATCAAACACTCCATAGGATCGCAAGAAAGCAAAGGCTCAAAAGAGCTAAAGGGCAAAAATTTCAAGGGAGTGGAATTCGCGGAAAAGGAAAGGAAAAAAAAATGGAATGAGGAAGGAATTGAAGGGATTTGACGAGTTTCAAGTCGAATGGCCAGGTACACTCGCCGCTGATTGGCGCCTCAGGGCGGAACCGACAGGTCGGAGACGTTGGGAATGCATTTGCATACTTTACGATGTATACAGCATATGTCTAGAGGAGTATAATTAGCCGAATATTATGCATATATTATGTTTAGGACGTTTTAATAAGAATGCCTTAACGTGGTATTTTGGTTTCTCTAGGAATTCAATGTCTTATGGTGGCACTACATAGTGAGCAAAGGGGTAAACAAATAGTCCAATTTATATGCATAGATAGGTATGGAACTATTTATTGTCACAAAGTCTTCTCAAAATCAAGCCATCTTTCTCGTCGCAATGGATCCAGCTTCTTCAATTCTGAGAGCCAGCTCAGAATCTGATCCCGATCCTCAGAAGACAAGCTGCCTTCCACCTTGGATGCGAGAAGGGTGCACTCAATTAATGCCTGGTAGATGTATTTGCAGTCTTCAGCCCCATCCAGCATCTCCTTTACCTCTTCAATCTCATTTCTAATGTACTCCAGCCGGTCGGATGAGCTCAAATTGGGAGCCAGAGTTCGTTCGGCCATCGACGGGTCAAACACACTCATCAAATTTTGGTGATAGAACCAAAGTGACTGATCATAAGGATCAATAAATGCTTGATGAATGAGAGATAGTTCTAAAAAAAAACCCCAAATTAGCGTAAGGCTGACTCCGATAAGACCGGTTAGACCAACCATCATCCAACATTCTTCTCCGATCGTCATCGCTGGCAGATTGCTCATCCAAAAGGGATTGGATAAGCTTTGTCCGGTAATGCCACGCGGAGAAGTTGGAAAGATTGGCTCCAATCATCTTCTTAGCGTATTGGAATTCCTTCTGAGTCATACTTGTTGCTTCTTCAGCAGTGCCAAGCTCCTTCAAGGTCTCGACCACGAAGCGTCGATAACCCCACCCGTGGAAATTCCGGCTATCGAGAGCCAACATCTTGCCCACAAGGGCAAGTTCTTGCTGCCAGATTTGCTGGGCCTCGGAAAGGGGTAGTAGACGGCGAGCTTCATCCAGCAGCCACAAACGATAGTTCCAGATCCAGTAGCACTTGGGGAAGCTCCGGAGAAGGGGAATCAGGAAATGTAGATCGTTTATGATTAACTCTGTAATTGAATGGGAAGCAGTCTCATCATCCGAACCCCCTGCTTGGGAGAATTGATACTGCAGTACCTGCCGGCGGTAGTTCCAGGCTGTGTAGTATTCTGGATTGCTAGACAGCAACTCCGAGATCTTCTTCAATGTCTCGAGTGTGTACTCATGCTCAGCCACCTGCCATGTGTCAGGCTGTGTTTGTACGTGAGATATATAAGATGACCAACCCTTTTAGATACCGAACGCTCGAGATCCTTGTAATTTTCTATCTTCTGCAGCTCTTGCTGCCGTGCCTCGGTGGACTTCTCAACTGGTTTGTACCGTGGCACACCATGCTATCGCAATCGTCAGCCCCAGAACGGTACATCCACGGGGAGTTAATCTCACACTGGGCATTTTCACTTTTTGTTTGACAATAAGAAATAAGTAAAATGTGTTACCTAGGTTGCTTCGTTTTGATCAGATGCCCGCCAACTAGAATTATCCCATTGGTGCATGAGGCGGTGGAGTAGATTACGTAACATACCTGGCACATCCATGGATGTACTTATGGCTTCACGTGATCAGCACTCTTTCTACTTTGGGGACTTGTCTTTGCTTCATCGCCTTTTTCATCTTGCCGCTATGCCTTCAAAGAGAGGCCTCCTTATACACTCCTTTTCTTAGCTCTAGGCCATTACTGATAAACAGCTTATCGACCTGCATCCAGAAACAATGGTAGATATGCAACGTCACTCCTTCGAGGAAACCTCTACAGGAAGTCGCAAACATCCTTTGACTTCACACTCTCGATCCGAGTCTTCCAAGGGCAATGGACCTGTCCACCTGACTGAATTTGCAACAATCAACTTGCCATTCTTTGAAACACCTGCTTCTCAATCATTGTCAAAGCCCAAGGCCCAATCTGTTCTGACACCCATCCCTCGCTCCAAAGAAAATCGGGTGTCATCACCCAAAAGAGGTCGTAGCAGAGTGAGGAACAATGGGGATACAGCAGTATCAAGAAGTTCCTTCCGAAGTCCAATGTCGCCTGATAGATTCATCCCAAAGCGAGACTTCGTGGAACCAACATCAACAACCTTTCGTGTGGCCAAGCATCCACAGCGCCTTTCACCCCAGGAGAGAATATTTCGACGACTTCCTCCCGGGGATGATCCATTTTTACCCTCAATCCCGCGTAGGACTTATGTTGGCAACAGACCCCGGCAGCCAGCTCGATCCCAGCAGATCTCACACCAACGGCCTCGTCTAGTCACTGAAGGCAACATCACAGGCAACAACGCTACTCATGAATCTCTAAGACAGGTCAGCTCTGGTGCAGTTTGGAACGTGGGTGGGGCTTCTGCAGTCCTCGGTAGTTCCCTTATTGCAACCCCTGACGACACGCCGATCACGTCGACCAATGGATCATCAACTGCCCCAAAAGTCGTGGCTCGGTTCTTACCCAAGAAACCTCAATACAGTGAACAGGAAATCCATGAGTCAAGGCTTGCTCTGGCTTTGGGAATTGACCCAACGACTAGACAGCTCGGTACTACTTGTCTGCGGTATCTGGATGCTCCCCTCAATCCAACGTATCCAGACTTTGAACACCTCTCTCCATTTGAGTGGAAGGACAGTTCTTGGAAAAAATTTGAAAAAGAGCGTTGTAAGTGCAACTGTAGTTTGCAACAGCCACTCCCTGACTCCCTACTTTTGGAACAAATTTACCATTTACAGATAAAATATATATGATATTTCAATCCAGCTTTTGGAAATTGTGAGACTGGCGGTATCCACAGCCTTCTCCGGGGCATCAACTAACTCCGATTGTTTCCTAGGGCCCACATCCCCTGCAAGAAAAGAGATTGTTCCACCGAAGCCTTTTCGAATCCTTGATGCTCCCTTCCTTCGAGACGATTTTTACTGCAGTACTCTTGCATACTCAACAACGTCTGGGATACTGGCTGTGGGTCTGGGCCATCAAGTATATCTCTGGTCTGAAGGCCATGGAGTGGATTATCCCCCTTTTCCGGACCTACACCCCTCAAATTATGTGACCTCCCTCTCTTTTTCTTCTGATGATGGCGAGCGAAGCATTCTTGCAGTGGCCCGGCGATCTGGTCAGTTGTCTCTATGGAGCACATTCGAGAAGCAAGCCCGGTTCGAGATCAGTCATCCCAGTACCCTTACATGCGTGGCATTTAAGCCGAGAACGTCACGGCGACTTTCAGAACGGTTCATGCATGTATTAGTCAACGTGGAAGAGATTGTTGTCGGCGATGACTTTGGGAATATCTGGTACTATTCGGTCGAGTGGTCTGACCAAGAAGATCAAGCTAAGTGGAAATGGAACGGGTCCATGACGCTACTTGCCAAGATCTGTGCACACACTCAACAAATCTGTGGACTGGCCTGGTCACCCGATGACAAGTACCTTGCCACGGGCGGTAATGACAATGCCTGCCTTCTCTTCAAACTGGCTGAGATCGTTTCACCGCAGCATTTGAAGTATACGGTCCCATCCATTACGCCCCCTGGTTCCCCTAGCAGCATCAGTCTCGGTGTATTTCCATACCTTGCAATAGGCACCGCAAGAAGACGACTGTCTCTTAGACGGCCTGTTCTCCCATCATGGCTTGCTGCTCCGGTTAAGCCTCCGGCCACAGCCGCGCTTTTAAACCATGCAGGTACTCTGATTTCCGGTGGTGGGCGAACGATTCTGGTCCCATACGGCCGTCAGAAACATCGTTTGATGCACTCCGCTGCAGTCAAAGCAATTGCATTTGCGCCATGGCATTCATCCCTGCTCGCGACGGGGGGAGGTACCAACGACAAAGCTATCCACTTCTATCATACCCGGAGCGGAGCCTGTCTCGCAACCATCAATGTCTTTGCGCAGGTGACCAGTCTTATATGGAGCGAAACTCGACGTGAGATCGCCGCTACTTTCGGTTATGCACAGCCAGATCACCCATTTCGGATCGCCGTCTTTGCCTGGCCCAGCTGCGCACAGGTGGCCGTCGTTCCCTGGGGGCCCTATGGAAGCACCTGGGACGGCCCCGACACTCGAGTTAGCAACTTCGACTGCGGAAGAGCACTGTGGGCAGTACGGTATCCAGGGAAAGTCCCTCGTTTCTCGGGTGTACGCTCTAATAGACCGGACAGTCAGTCATCTTTATCGTCGTCAAACCAGAGTCGGTCTACAGAGCGAGGAGCCCCGAACCGGGGCCGCAAGGTCAGTAGCCGCAAGGTTGGTGCTCGGATGGTCGCTCCCAAGGAGAAAGAAGGTGGAATGTGGTGTACACGAACAAAGGAGGAAGGATGCATTATTGTCGCGTCTAGTGATCAAACTGTGAAGTTCCATGAGGTCTGGACTGGAAGAAGGACAAGTACTATCTCTGCTTGTGGACTCTTTGGGGGAAGCGACATTCTCGAGGGCCTGGAGGGCATTGAGAAGTCTGGCGTTGAAGTCATTCGTTAGTATTCTTTGTCTTCTTGGGTCTGAGTACTAGGTACTCTCACTATCATTAAAGGCTTATATTGTTATTAGTTTAGTGCTCCAAAGAGGGAGCCTGGGTAAGTTTATCATCCTTTGTTCTGATGAATTGAATTCTTGTTTTCTATAGTACAATCGAGCATTCATCTTCAGAATCGGAACTTGATTCGGAATCCTCTTCGAGATCCCATTTTCTTCGGATTCTGAAATCAGTCCATATCCAAAGCGCACTAAGGCTGCAGGATTGAACTGTGTATGGGAGCTCCGGTGTAGGCTATACCAGCTCTCGGCTAGTTTATTTTTAAATCATCACTGTGAACAAATTCTGTAAGGTAATTCCATAGTGAATCCGTCTTGTGTGAAAGGGCTAAAGCAACTTTCTTTTACACGGCAAGATCGTTCCTGTTTCAAGATAAGTAGGAAGAGCGATAGGAAAAATGACTTCATTTGTCCATATCTGAAGTATATATTTTGAGTTTTTGCTTTCGACGTTTAGAAGAAGGATCCAAACATAATTACACAGGAAGCGAATCTTACAAACACCACGGTCATATGAACCTGGGCTAAACACGTAGTGATACGAATGATATAGTGTGAAGAAAAATGGGTAAACGGGTCTCGCGACTAGACAGAAACAAGAACCTTTGGTCCACGGTAGCTTAAGTTTTGTATATCAAAACAGCTCATTTTCTCTTCACTTCAAACCGCACATGCTTTATATAGATCCCACTCAATTTTGTATGTGTCCAACTCTCTTCCACAATATGCCCAAGAATTTCACAGCGAACAATACTTTGAAAAAACCGTTCATACCATATTGGCAGTTTTTTGTGTTTCCAACTCTCTCAATAAACTCAATGTCGTAGACAACTAGAAAACCCAAGATCCAGGGCCGATGATATGTCGTATGAATTAAGGCCCTAGGCCCTTTCACACATTGACAGCTTTTGTATTTCATCAAGCCATCCTCCAATTCACCTCAGAAATGTATGTCTTTGGAATAAGATGGAGGAAGAGATACTCCCTTTGAGCAGACGGGACAACACCCCGTTCAGTCCTCTCACCAGCCAATTTCCGCCATGTTTCCAGTTTTCTCCAGCTAACACGTTTCGTTCGCTGGTGCCGATTACATGGAATAGCGACCTCGAAAAAGCGGACATTGGTGTGTCCGCTCTTTGAGCCACGTCTCGCCTCCCTGGCCTCCCACTCTTTGCTCTTTGCGGTTTTGATGAAAGGCTTTCCTGAAGCAATTTGCTTTCCTAGAATCCTTTTCTTATCCTTCGTTCTCGGGTCCGTTTCAACCCATTCTCTCTTTGCTGCCAGTATACCCTGGCTTCCAAACTGGTGACCTGATTGATCGGACGTCCAGAAATATGAACGAAACATACCCTGACTTCCCTGTGCCATTCTGTCGAACAGAAGTATATGAAGGTCAGATGAAAGATACAAGGAAATATGAAGAGAAGATAGTTGGAACGATTAAGGAGAAGGAAAGAGACCCTATTTATGCTCTATGGTGCGCAATTGGAGCGGGGCACAAATGAAATTGTTTGCTTCCAAATTAGGAAATGGGTGTAATGCAAGAATACCTAACGTCGTGTTGATTCGTTGGCAATGACGACCACAGTTTCACAGAGAAGTCACCAGATCAACTCTGCATGGAGCGTTGTATGGATCGAGGAGTCTGACTACATGATAACTACATCTATGCTCATCTATGCTCATCTGTGCTCATCTGTGCTCATCTGTGCTCATCTGTGCTCATCCGGGCGGCCAATAGGGGTTGGCCTACTGTGTTTGGCTTGCATATGGGGGCGAAGTGCAGGTAAATCCCTGCCATCTGGGGGATGTTGAGACTTGGCAGCCTCAAAACAGGATGGAGGAATGTCCGTTTAAATCGGCATTGGGAGCGTAGATTATTTAGAAAACCGAAAACTGATGACAAGAAACATGATCTTACACACTTCTTTCCTCAGTCTTCCTGGGGCCTTGTAATGTTGGGCTTGCATGATACATTGGATCTTATACTCTTATACTATCGAGAGCAACCCTGAACTCTAGCACTTCCCAGCTGCTTGGAATTGCTTTTTTTTTAAACTTGATCTCCTCGGCACAAGATCTTTTGTATAAGTTAGAGCTAAGTCAATCAACGAAAATTCTGAGAAGGATAGTGTGCCCCTACCGACACAGGAATATGACATATCTTGGCCCAAGCTCCTGGGAACACTGATGGGTAGTGCAGCTAATATCGGAGTAGGTGAAAACTAGGAGGCAACGTGAGAATAGAAGAAGCCAAATAGCTTGAGGTAGGACAACGAGATAAGCGATCAGACTACTTCGTAAGAAGCTCAGGGTCGCATAGTAGGCTCTTTACCATTTAAATTATTATATAGATACATATACAACCGGCTAACTATGTCTCCAGTCAATATACCGTGGATATTGAAGGCGACAACCAGAGTGAAATAAGTCGGAAAGTGAGTAGAGGTAACAACGAGTGCATATTCGAATCTGAATATGTTCCACAGTTCCAATACGTTTAACTAACTAGTCACAATCTTTGCCATAAATTCGAGGTGATGGGTAGATGACGTAGTGGGATATACCAGCGTCGGCCACTTGTTGATACTTAACAATATCGGTGGCTCTTTTGATATTCACTGCTAGATGGAGATTGTCTTTGGCAGACAAAACAGTAGCAAACACAAATAAGAGTTAGCATGTGGAGAATGTCATAAACTGGCTGGAGACATTTTTATATTGGCCGGGGAGCATACTAGCCTGACGTATTGCTTCGGCTTAGGTGTTTAGCTCTGTACCCTTTCAAGGCACACGAATATCTTGAACGGTAGAGTATTGTCATAGCTTAAGCATCAATAATTACCAGCATATACAGCAGAAATTTCGTTTATAGGTTGCGAATTACTGCTTGAAGGTGGAGCTATACAGATTAGCCACACTATGAAGTAATATCTCTATTCTCCCTTCACCTCATGTAATTGCTGAGCAAGCACTTGACCAGGCCAGCCACTTTCGAGACTAAAGCTGTCGGATCGCTTAAATCCTTGGGACTCATAGTATTGGACCAATTTGCCGTCGCCACCTGCATAGCAATCCACCCGTAGTAATGCGACTCCAGCCTCGTTGGCAAGATTACGCGCATGTTGCAAAAGGCGTTTGCCAACTCCTTTCCCAGCCCATTGTCGATCTGTAACTACCAATCGCACGTAAAGCTCAGGCTCAGAGACAGGTGGTATATGAGACGCCCTCTCTCCAATAGCAAGTGCTCCTATGATAGTCCGTGGAGCTCCTCCATTCATACCGTTGGAGTGTTGATTTTGGCCCATTGGCGTGCCATCAGCGACCTTGATAGCGAGCCAAATACCAAGCCCAGTTGTTGCGTATTCTTCGAGTTGCTTAGTGCGTTGTGGAATCTCTGAAAATGATGTTGCTCCCCACTGCCTGGTTTCGCCACGCGATACCAGCCATTTAACCGTGGCATCTAGGATATTAAGGACCACTGGAACGTCGTCCACTCTTGCACGTACAATAGCAATCTCATCAGATCCATTGTGAATAGTACTTGCAAAAATTTAGTGAATATTGGTGAATGGGGTTTCACTTTTGTTCTTCGTCTTCTCATCTGGCTCTTGGGTGGATTGGCCCTTCAAAGAATAGCACTTACTTTGAAACCATTTGTCTGACCACAGATATTGATTTGAAGAGAGGTAGTCATCTAATGGCCACAATACTCTAATTGATGTGAGGGTTTGGGGACAATCTGAACAAGGCATCACCCTATTCTCATACAAATATTCTACTTCACTACGCTGAGTTTGGTCCCTCAATCTGACTCACTTTTGGAACATGTGTCCAAATGTTATTGGCTAAACATACTTGTCTGGAGCCGTAGCGTGCTGGGGCTGACCTTAGGGCACAGTGACAGAAAGCTGGTGTACGAACAATGCATGGTATGGATGACCGATGTTGACAACTCAAACTAAAAATGACAAAACACGCTATTTCAACAATCTATGCGGACATCGATGACTAACTGTAATATACACTTTTGTATGATATGCCTGGTACCATGTATTCGGGCTTGGTATTCGTCGGTTTCTATTGGCTGGGAGTATTACATCTTTCCCACCTCACAATTTTCAATAATATTTGAATATAAAAACGATTTTGGAACCTGGAGCGTATGATATTTCTATTCATAATGAAATTATTTCCATCTGGGGGTTGTGGTGTTGTGGTCACTTGCCACAATTTGCCCGTTAGACGGTTCCAGACCTAATCAATAGACAACCGGGAATGTGAAATATCATCTAGTACAGGATTGTGTCTAGAGATGGTGTGGAAATCATAAGATGCACGAGCTGAATGGACTTTGCCTGCCAGAATAGGCTTCAGTCCATACCCAAAGTTCATAAAGCACTGGATCCCATATGCAAGAGAGAGAATGGTCAGGATTAAGGATACAAATGCGAAAAGCAGTATCATATCCTTGGTAGATGTTCTGGCAAGAAGGCTGCTTCCATAGAGTACAACAATCCGGGAAAGGAGGTACGTGATCATGGCCAAATGACAGATTTGTTTCTGTTAGCGTGGCTTGGGAATTAATATTCGAGAGGGCAAATAGGGCTGTTACTTACAATCACTAACATCATCAGTGGTTTATGTTCTTTGCGGACAAAATATACACCAAAGATCATTACAAATGTTAGCGCTGGTGGGACTGACATGGTTAGGCCAAATTCTGGCTCGATGAAGTGGACGTCGATCAAGCCATATTGCAGAATGAAGCAGATGATGAAGAAGGCATGTAACTTAACGAAAACCACATAAATCTATAATTAATTAGCAGCTATATAAACAAGTAAACGCCATGCACTTACTTCATAGGCGAGATGTCGAGCTCTTGTGCGTGAATCACCCTGCACACTTCGGTAGATTGACCAGGCATACTGTTTGTGTAACTAACACCCAGATTCCGAGGGTGCAAAGCCCCATAAAGATCGGAATTGCAAGTTGAGGGCCTTGGATTTGCGGCCAGATATTTCTACTGATGTCCACCAGTGACTCATCATTCATGGCCCGTTGCTCAGGCATGGTTCTGCAGAATCCCTTCATGGCCGGATACTGCATGGCTGCGAAGGCCACGGCAAAAACATTACTGACGCAGATCGCGAACAGTAGGATGTTGTTCTTGTGACGCATAGCGTTGACAGAGAGTGAAAATTCATAGGTGCAGGCGAACCATATGATTGCCGCGTCAATGGGAACAATGTACGAGGGGGTGACTTGAATGGCCGTTGAGCGCATCCATAGTTGCCATTCCACAAGGATAAAGCTGGGTCTTGTTAGACGAGTCGCTGGCTTCTACCGAGGCTGAGACTCACATTTCAATGGCGAAGATTATGATCGCCTAGGCAGCCATCAGCCCACCGAAGATCCATTCATTCGTGCTTCTGGATGTATACATGTTCAACCTCTGGAACATGCAGACGTCACATGTAGGTAATGAAGAGTTTGAAATTCCACTTAGCATAAAATGTCTTGGTAGGGTTTGTCGGATACTAAGCCGAGTACATGGTGGAGACAGGGTATTTTACCCAGAAAATCAATGTGACACTTGGTACCAAGCATACCATACAAAAGTGCATAATACAGTTAGTCATCGATATCCGTATAGATTGTTGAAATAGCGGATTTTTGTCACTTCAGCTAGAGTTCTCAATATCGGTTATCCATACCATACGTTGTTCGTACCACAGATTTCTGTCACTATCCAATAGAATCCATGCGATCCTTACAGAGCATAAGTCACGTGGCTTTTAACCAAAAAAAAAAACAAATCTGTCAGTTCGCTTTGTTGTCTCCGAAGTCCTTAGGTAAGTCAGGACCCCACACAGACAACGGCCCAACCGGTTCTCTGCGTGTCGGATTATTCCGATTCACCACATCCCCATCGGCATAATGTTCAATTTTGAACTGGGAGCTGTCGTACCAGTAATCAAAAATCTGGCTCCCTAGGATGTGCCTTCCCACTCCCCAGACGCTTTTCCATCCCTTCTTAGCAAGGTAGTGATGTCCCATCAACTGTGTATCAAAATCGGCCACCTCGAACGAAGTGTGGTGAACGTATGTTTCGCGAACCGTCGGCGAAGCGCGCTGCAGGAAGAGCGTATGATGATCCGTATACTCCTCGCCTAAATCAAGATGCATGAACGTCATGACGTCCATCTGAGGAAACTGCGGAAGATTTAGGATGTCGGAATGGACGAAATTGAAGTTGCCGGTGTAGAACTCCAACTCTGTTTCGAACTCCTTGCACACGTATCCGTAGTGGCCAAGCTTGTGCACCAGAGCAGGACCATCATGGTATCTCTGGAACTGCCCTTTCCGGGGCTTTTCAAAGGGCGTATTGAATGGACCCTGAGAGTCGTGTGTCGCCGTGGGTAAATGCTTCTCGTTCAGCTCGCGCTCGGTCTGGCCGTATACCACATAAAAGTAGGTCCCATTGGGGCGCGCAAACGTGATCATCTCGCCGCCACCGGGAGCGTCGTCTAATGTTTGGCGTTCAACTCCCGGTACCTGTGCGGCCTTATTGAAATTTTCCTCGTCTTTTGCGATAAAGGCAGCCCCAATGAACCGTGATCTCCGTGTGGAGCTCTGAGAAGCCACATAGACGTAGGGGTCTCTGCCATATCCGCGGTAGTAGATGGTCTTCCCCTTTCGCTCTGCCTCCATGAAGCCGAAATCTTTGGCAAATCTGTCGAACGCTTCCAGATCATAGTGCTCAAAGTAGACATGCGCGATGCGGCTCAGCTGAACCTTGTACGGGCCATTCTGCACAGTTGGAATGATCGATGGCGGCAGTATCCAGTTCTGCCATTTATTGGGGAGAAGCGTAATCAAGTCAAGCATCCAAAGAGACATTTTTCGCCCTTTCTCTGCCTGTAATTGGTGTTTTCCAATGTTTCTGGTCTGCGTTTCGAGTTGCAGGGCTGGATGGACGAATAGTAACAAGTGGATTGGTATTAAAAAGTAGCTCAAAAGTTCGGGGAGCCGTACCGTATCTCGTTCTTTAAAAGAACTGCGGAGTGTGTATATTTGTATATAGGCTCTCTCTTTACAGTATGACTCGGTCCTTTACATCAGGCATTCGGAAGATCCATGGCACATTTAGCGGAGGATCTTCGGTCCAGGTATTATGTGGCGGCGATCAACAGTAAGGTCATTTTCCCACTATATCTGAGCATATTTCGGAGTATACTGTATCACAGCCGACATAGGTCTCGCTCGGGCTCTAATTAGCGTTGTGAAAAATCAAAATCAATCTTTGAGTCTTGGTGGACACCCCCAAGATGATCCAATTGTCCCTTCCTGTCTGCTTTACCTCAAGTGGATGATCATCCGCGGAGTAACTTTGGTGGTAGCCACATATCCCCAGATTCCCAGGGGGGAAGTGGCTTTGTTGCCTACTTACAATATCGAACCGGGCAGATAAAAGGTTACTTCTAATCATCATTCAATAATTTGTCCTGCTGGAAATCCGCCTTTGTCCATCTTACTTGTCCTCAGAATCGTCGTTTTTCCGTCCATTTACAATGGCTACTTTCCAATATCTTTTCCAATTCGAGACAGAACATCAGGAGAGATTTTTCGCAAAATGTGACTCAACAGAGCCCGTCATTGGGGCATCGGTCACAGCCTACCCGACCTTTGAAGATTTGGTGGAAAACAGAAATCCGAGAACAGAGACCGTAGCAAAGGTATGACGACCGGATACTTTCAACTCAGAAGCTGACGTGATTTTTGATAGCTACTCCCACCCCTTCCCCAAATGGGACTTCCAATTTACTGTGTCGGACTCAATTACAGGAGCCATGCAAAAGAAGCCAGTGTATGCTACTCAATCTTTACCAGCTAGCCACTTGTTCTCTAACCCCAGACAGATCAATGTCCCAGCCAATCCCCCAGTATGGACCAAACCTGCCGCAGCACTATCAGCTCCAAATGAAAGTATCCCAGTCAGTCGATTTTGTGCCTCGCATCTTCCCGACTGGGAAGTAAGTTTGACCACGCAGACCGAGGATACGGATTGGAATTGACGAAGAATTGATAGGGTGAACTAGTATTCATCACGGCGCGCCAGTGCCGGGATGTTACACCGGAGGAAGCCTCATCCTATATCCTTGGGTACACAGTAGGCAACGACCTTTCTTGCCGCTTTTTTCAACTCCCTGAACAGTCCGGTGGCCAGTTTTTCTACGCAAAGGCCTTCGACAAATTTGCTCCAATAGGACCGGTCCTTGTGAGCCCGGATATCTTCAAGAGGAACGCAACGGCCACTTTGGTAACCCGCATCAACGGAGAAGTGAAGCAAAATACTATCATTGAAAAGGATATGATATTTACCCCAGAACGGGTGCTGAGTTGGATGAGTCAAAGTAAGTCTGATGCTGATTCCCTTTGTTGTCTCAGCTTGCCGGGTTTTTGACATGGATTGTAGGCACCACTATACCGGCACACACGGTGGTGATGACCGGAACACCGGCGGGAGTTGGAATTTTTCAGAAGCCACGTCAACTTCTCAAAGACGGAGACAAGATCGAAGTGGAGATCTCTGGATTGGGCACACTGAAGAATCAGGTCAGATTTGAGAAGGGACAAGATTCCATAATGTGAGAATTTCCTACTTCGCCCGGGCCGGCATTCCGAGTGATGAGACTGAATGCTGATTTAGATCTCGTTGAATTGGTCCCATAGATCACTAGCTTGGAAGCTAGTGAAAGCAAGACTCTGGTATAGGTTTAGCCTTTGGCTGATATGATCCCTTCTGTGTTTGTACTATTAGCTGTTTGAAATTTTTATTTCTCTTAACAATCTAGAGGGTTTGATGCTCGTTAGGTGATCGACACCCAAGATTCTCTAAAAGTCGCGAGTTCTGGAAGAGTAGAAAGGCTGTCCTGAAGCTAACCAATCAATACCCTATCGTTTTGACTGGGACTGAATTTACTGAGACTAAATTCGATTCGTCTGAGCAATCCCTCGTGAGCGCCGCTTCTTGAGTATTCGGTCCAATAATAGCCGTCTCGACGTTGGCAGAATCTTGGGGCGAGAGATGATCTAAAAGGGCAATATCGGATACGCAAGTGATCTTTTGGGCTTCACGAAAAAGATAAATTTACCGAAAGTTTAGTACGCCAGTTTCCTGCAGGAGAAAAGCGACTTTGGTGCTTTATTTCAAGAACTTACATAGACCGGACAATCAAATTACTCGGAGCTAATCAAAAGTGGGTATTTCTCGACCTGATGCCATAGTCAATTTGATTCCCCTTTGGCTTTAGCCCTTCACGACCAGCCGCAGCTATTTCCTATATGGTAAGATCGACTTTGAATAATCTCTTCGCGGAGGAACTCTGGTACATCCTGGCGGTCAAACATTTCAATTAAATGTAACGTAGAACTCATTGTGTAAAAAGATAAATTTTAGCATCACCCATTACTGCATCTTGCCTCGCAGAAACTTCGGCGCTTCATATGTCAAGAAATCCTTGCCCTTGAAGTACCACACAAGACAACCCCAGAGTGTCCATCCGCCTAGGTGTCCCGTACCCGTCGACTGTCCCACAGGGACGACCATCATCTTGGTCTGAGCTTCGGCAGAGTATGTCGCAAGGCGAGTGTCCTTCGCGATACTTCCGGCAATATTAGACGCAACGGTCGCTCCTTGGAGTGAGACTCGGGAGAGAAGTCGATACGGATGGCAGGTGATGTCTCCGACTGCGTAAGTGTCACTGCGGCTGATCTTGTCTTCCACGACTCTGAGGTGTTCATCTACATTAACCCAGCCGCCATGGGTTAAGAAGCCTTTCGGGATGAACTCATTGTTTGGAATTACCCCTGTTGTAGAGATATATTCATCTGCCACGATGGTTTGACCGGTGGACAGTGTTACCATCCAGCTCTTCGTTTCGTGATCCTGTTCCACTTGATCGACTGTGATGTTTTTCAGTATTTCAACCCCCTTACGTCGTAGAAGTGACTCGGCGGTTCTTTGCACAGTCTCCGTCGCTCCTCCCAACAATAAGGAGGTCTTTGAGACCAGAGTGATGATCTTTTTTGGGCCTGATGCTTCGGCCAGTTCTCCTGCAAGTTCGACTCCCAGTGGACCTGCACCGCCAATAACAACTCTCGTGGCAACCTGGAGCTTCTTCTGCGCCTCGGAAATGGCTTTGTTGGTATCTTCAAATCCAGTCACCTTGAAAGGAAGTTTCAGACTACCCTGTCCAAGTGTAGCTGGTGTTGTGCTACCAGATGCAATTACCAGATAATCGAATCCAACTGAAATATCGTCGCTCTTTGTGGAGAAACTTTCACCTGTAGTGACTAGCACTGACTTGTTGGAATAATCAATTTTGGTGACAAGTCCCTGAACGAAAGTGAAGGTGCCACTGGGATATTCCCTAAAGGCTTCACGGATGTTGAGGAGGTATTTGCTCGACGGTAAACTCTGGGGCTTGACGAGAAATCTGGGTGTCGCGATGTTGAAGTAATATTCTTCCGATGGATTGATGAGTGTGATTGATGCATTGGGTGCCTGTCGGAGTAGTTTATGGCTGACTCCTAGGCCTGCATGGGAGCCTCCAATGACAATCACGGAAACAGGTTTGGATGACATTTTTCGTGGAGGGTCGTTTATTCGGACATCAGGAAGTGAGTAAGGTCTGTGAAGATAATATATATTCGCGCCTCGGCAGCGAGGTGTGACAGCTTTGCGGTCCGTCAAGGAGATCCTCTGGGTGACTTCAATATTTAGAGTCTGGAGGAACTAGTACCTCGGTTCAATCGCTACTTCAGATCTCAATTAGATGAAATATCCATGTGGCCCCAGCGCGGGGGAACTTTCGGAGGAACTTCTTTGGGAAATCCCATTTTCTTGTAGTGGGCCTTAAAGGGCACGACACGATGGCACTACTCCGGTTGCAAAAATTACTTTCACTGTTTGAGGGCCTCTTCAATACAAGACTACCGTGCGTCCCTTGGCTTGATCGGCGTATCAAACGACTTCGGAGAAGCAGCTACTGTGTATACAAAGTATTGAACCACCCCTCCCTTTTTGAACAAACAAATGATCTGATTCATTGACTATCACAGAACCCATAGACACGAGATGAGTAACCGGAACAATGCGTTCAAGGTGATAGTTGTGGGCGGAGGCCCGGTAGGACTCGCAGTTGCCCATGCCCTTCACCTGGCTGGCATTGACTTCCTGGTCCTGGAGCGCAGGCCTGCCATTGTGGAAGACAAAGGTGCCAGCCTCATCGTTCATCCTCACACCTTACGGGTTTTGCATCAATTCGGTGTTCTAGAGAAGTTGCTACCGCGGGGTGCCGAGCTGCATCACCATCTGTCGTTTACTGCCGAAGGACACGTTTTTAAGGAGGGTACTCAATATGCCCAAATACGCGAGAAGTGAGTCCAATCCGTTCATCATGCGCCCTTCTCTTTACCACCAGTATCGATTTCCCTCTCACATATATGCTGACCAAGATCAGCCATGGTTGTGGACCGGTTGCCTTCCACCGTGCCGAATTAATCGAGACTATGTACAAGTGTCTACCGCCTGTTGCGAGAGAAAAAGTCTTAACGGACAAGAAATTAGTCGACATCAAAATGAAGCCGGATGGGGTGAAAGTGACCTGCGCAGATGGCAGCGCTTTTGAAGGATCGATCATTATCGGTGCCGACGGCGTCCACAGCAAAACTCGCCAGTTAATGCGCACACTCGCTCTTAAGACAAACCCCACACGATCCTGGGACTCCGAGCAACCCTATACAGCAACCTACCAGCTGCTATACGGTTCATTTCCCTCATCCTCTGCATCAGGTTTCGGGTATGACATCCAGGCTAAGGACAAGGCTATCATGTACTTCAGCAGTCCGGACCGCGGATGGTTTTTCTTGTATAAGAGGCTACCGAAACCTACACAAGAGCGCACGAATTACACCAACAAGGACGTCGAGTCCGTGGCCAATGAGTTTTTGGAGTTTCCCCTGACAAAGACCGTGAAGGTGAAAGATGTCTGGCCACGGATGTTAGGGGCGGGTCTAACCAACCTGGAAGAGGGAATCGTCCAACACTGGAGTCTAGGAAGAGTTGTGCTTGTAGGTGATGCATGTCATAAGATGACTACGCATCTGGGGCTTGGATTCAACAATGGTGTTCAAGATGTGGTCGTACTCTGCAACAGTCTTCGGAAGGCAATCAATGCAGCTCCTAACGGAAACCCAAGCTCCAGTGGCCTCACAGAGACTTTTGAGAAGTACAAGGCAACTCGAATGAGCTCCGAATGCTCACTCAAGGGCGATGTTTGGAAATCTGGGTTTGAGACCCGTATGCACGCCTGGCACAATACATGGTACTACATTCTATCTCGGTATTTAGTTCTTCCTCACTGGACGGAGGGCGTGGTCATGCGGTACATTATGGCGCCTGAGTTTCGCAAAGGACAGATTTTGGATTTTGTTTCAAAGGAAGAGCCGATGAAAGGTTTGATCAGCTGGTTGTATCCAATGAAGGCTTAGAATGGACAGCTAGCTATTCAGCCCTAAAAGGCTACTAGTGTATATCTACAATTTGTGAGACTTCTTCAGAGCAAAGTGATTCGATATGTATTGAATGTTCATTCTGGGTACTTGATTAGGGTTCGCCCCGCTACGCCAAAGCCTGACAAGACTATTCAATAGATGGTGGTAAAAGGCCCCTCCGACGATGTCACCTATCTTCCGTGAAAGCTTCAAACAAAACTACAAATTATATCGGATGACTTTAGGCTCTTGGGTATTGGATGCCAGAGCGTCAAGGAAGATCCATCGAGCCTGGGGGGCTTCCTTGTCCTGGCCCTTGGCTTTGGAATGCAGTACATGCTACACATAGTGGTCTCGAATAGAATATTGCCAGCGAGTTCAAGTGAGCTATCGTCACCTGGGAAGCTGTGTCACATTCACCTATCGGAGGATCTTTGGTGGATGGTTCCATTTTTGGGGATAACTATTCCGAGTTTGTGATAGTCTGTGAGTTCAACGTTAATATTGAATAGAATACTAGAATAACCTCGGGGAGATTTGTCACTGAAAATATGGGCAAAGTTCACGGCTGTCAACCTGGCTCATCTAGTAGGTGGTGATTTCACTTAAATCCAGGATCCGCCTACACAATACCATATTGACAGCAACTTGATTTTTTTGTTTCGTCTTCCTCATGTCACAAACGGCTTCTTTTGCGCTCGTCACTGGCTGTAGCAGTGGGATCGGAAAAGAGCTCGCGATCGCATTTGCGGACAGGGGAGTTACGGTTCTCGCCACAGCACGACGCGCCAAATCACTCAGCGAACTAACAAACAAGTACGACAACATCGAAGCTTTTGCCCTTGAACTCGGCAACCTGGAAAGTATCAATCAGCTAAAGGATGCTGTAGCTAAGCGCACCTGTGGCCGCTTGGATTTTCTAATCAACAATGCTGGGACACACTACGCATCAACAGCAGTGGATATGCAGATAGAAGAGGTCATCAAGCTGTTTGAAGTGAACCTGTTCGCTATCATGCGCCTTTGCCAGGTCTTCGTGCCGCTTCTTCGTCGCTCCTCTCGCGGGCGAATTGTGCATATTGGAAGCGTGACGCGAGACATACCGGTCGTATGGCAAGGGCCGTATAATGCATCTAAAGCTGCTCTTAGCCAGTATTCCAAGACGCTTCGACTAGTGAGTACGTCATGCATTGCCCTTCCCGCATTTATCTAACCGATGACTAGGAGGTGAAGCCGTTCGGTATAGAGGTGATCGAGATTGTGACCGGGTTCGTGCAGAGCAACATTCTTCACCATGGACTACACGCCCCGGAGACATCTCTCTACCTTCCAATCAAGAGTACTGTTGAGAAGATCAAGTACCAAGGCAATAAAAATGGCATGTCGCCCGAAGCTTATGCTAAATCTGTGGTCGCAAAGTTGACGCGGCCACAGGTCAGCCCTGAGATACGGGAAGGAGCTCGAGCGCGCACTCTCGGCTTGCTTGCTACACTCCTACCACTACGGCTACTGGTAAACCATTCGTTCCATCGGCGAAAGACAGGACTAACAAGGACAAATACACAGAACTGGACCTTCTACCGAAAGTTCAAACTCGACCTTGTAAAAGCTCGATTGGACGATGAACAGCAGAATAATGCCGGATGACACAATGAGGTTACCTTCGCACATCAGCAGCCTAAATATGCTTGAAATATGATTAACTTGTGAATCTGCCGCACGCCTAAACTTGGAGGTTTCCAGAAAAGCCTAGAATCAGAGGGCTTACTCTTTTTGGTTGGGGGTATATTCCTAACTGAATAACTACGTAGACGCCATATAAAAACATTGTGCGACCAGTTGACGTCTCAAATCTCTTGTGAGATTGTATTCCCTCACTTCCGTGATGAACTTCGGCAGAACACATACTTGTTTTGACGAAGTGAATGGTCCATTGATAGTCAAGTAAGAAAGTTCCTCCGCGGAGGAACTTAACCTATTGCTAGGCCGATCATTAGCCAATGATAGATCGATTTCGGTTTATTTCCCCACAAATTTCAACGGAAGAACTGACATCACTAACTCGATGGGGAATAGCCGCAAATTATAGCGGAGACTCTCCAGGGATGTGATTCTCCCGAACTGTTCGACTTCTTCATACCACATAATTGGTGCCTCTCTTGGGCAAGGCACTGAAAAAAAAAAGGGGTTTCTGATCTTTTGACGAGATAATATAGAGTCCCTCCGAGCAAAGCTAACCCCACCAGATGGCACTCATGCAGCATCCCACAATCACAGCCCCTAGTCCCGATTCCAGCCCCATGCCGTTGAGGGTTTGTGACAGGTGCATTCGGTAAGTTATCCCCCTTCGCACTGAAGGCTCTGGCTAAGATCTACTGCAGCAAGAAGGTCAAGTGTAAGTTTTTAGCGTCGCCATCCCAAAGCTCTGGCACGCCCGCTGAATTGGAACAGGTAACCAGGCACAGCCAATTTGCTCTCGCTGCTTTGAGATCGGAGAGACGTGCAGTTACACTTCGGTAAAGCGCAAACCTGGCCCCCCAATTGGCTCCCACTACACATCTAATCCATCAAAGTCACGCAAATCTTCAGGTAACTAATTTTTCCACTAATTTTTCCTGCAATCATTTTGTCTCAACACGTTATGCTGATATTTGGTGCAAAACGTGATCCAGCCAAAAAGCGTGATAGCGACTCTCTGGGGGAGGATCTTTCCAGCAAAGAATCCGCTCCCACCTTTAGAGGTTATGTCTCGCCTGGCCCATCCGTTCCACTCTCTGCGGCTACTCGCCAAGTGCCAGGCAACGTCGTTCAACTTGCTAGCCACTTGTATTACTCCCCTCAGCAGGTGGAGCACCTGTATGCACTATCCCTTATTATTTGAAGGTGTCAATTTTGGACCTAATGCTTATGGTTTAGCCTGGGGAGTTACTTCGATATTCTTCAAGATGCGAATCCTATCTTCTCCAAAGAACTATTTTTCCATCGTTATCACAGCTCCCTGTGCAGTGAAGATCTAATTTCAACAATAGTCATCATTACCGCAAAGCTTACAGGGTTTACCGCAAACGAGGATGACCTCCCCAGTCTGGATACCGGTCTCGATGTATTACTCAGTTCAAGTATACTGGAGGACGATCTGATTGGTGATGTCCCATCACTTGATCAGTTCCGTAAGGCCTATCTTCTGGCATTCTATGAATTCCATCAATTCCCTGGGCACCAGTCTTGGCTGCGCGTGGGTAAAGTGACACGCATGGCCTATCGTATCGGGCTCGACCACTTGGACCATATCCGCACGATCTATCCTGACTGGAACACCGTTAGTGACGAAGATATCCAAGAATGGCGATCGGTCTGGTGGTGTATCTATCACCTTGACACATATTCTAATATGTCGTCCGGAACACCGTATCTGATTGATGACACCGTCATAAGCACCTCGTTTATTCAAAGTCATACTACTCAGCCATCAAACACTGCCGGCTCCTTTCAAAAGCTATACTTACCGCCCAACTTAGAAGACCTATCGAAAGTCCTTCTCGCCGCCCCTTTAGCTCCGGAAACACTGCTGAAGAATGTTCACAACATCACGATCGCTACTATGCGCCAGGCTGGGCTTGTCACCCGCTTGCATTTGCTACGGTCCCAGGAAGGAATGATGGCGCAAGTCGCCAAAGTTGAGCGGCAGCTGGCTGGGGTTCGTTTAGCCCTCCCACCTGGTTGGCTTAACCCAAGGCGCAACGCATTGTCGAACGAGTCTCACGTCGATCACCATGCGCGGATGATTACTGTCCTTCATCTACAAATGGTACAATTACTCCTCTCAATTGTAGATCCTGGTCTGCAGCAAGGCGACGAATGGCTGGGAAGCTGGCAGCGAGTTCTTGAGGCATGTCAAAATATCGCATCTATCGCAGAGCAATGGGATAGCTCCTTTTGCCTCACTGTCGACCCAGCAATTTCTTTCACTATCTTCACGGCGCTGATCTTCCTGGATCTTCACAAAAAGACGACCATCATGGTGGAGCACAATCTCATCTCCGACATTGATCATCACATCACTATACTACATCTTCAACTCCAACATTTTGGTAACATTTGGACACTACCAAGGCTTCTCAAGCGTAGGTCATCATGCTCCACCAATTGTCAGCAACTTCTACTAATAAAGACCCAGTGTCCTTCGAAAGCTTCAGTCAATCAGTCTCTGGCCCGCTTTCCTATCGCCACGTTGCTCTAATACTGTCGCGTTTCGAGGCGCCCTTACATCCCAGGTGGTTGCAATTCCTCTCATCGGCCAACACAGATCTAGAAGCATGTCAATAGCATTTCGGAATCATCCAACTCTAGCTATTGAAGGTGCCCCGCTAATTATTTCGACCGGATAGAGGTAAAGTAGTACAAACACTGAACTAAACCGATGTGTATAATATGAGAGCCAACTTATTCTTTAAAATAAGAAACAAGATACCACAAAGTCCATTATAGCCTGTGTTGTTCCACTCGGAGGTCTCGCTGCCGCAAAGTCCATCAAGGGTCCATCGTGGGCTTCATTGGCCATGCATGTGGTTGCTGAAACCCTCTTCGTGTCCTCCTGTCACAAGAATACCTTGGACAGCCTCGAGGCTCTCCCACCGACTTTCAGGGACATCCAGGGCCATTCCCCAGCCATTTTCAGCAGAAATCTCCTGCCAGGGAGACTCTCCCACAAGATGCATATCCCATTCATTTACAATCTTTCAGCTTAAAACATCGACACTGAGCCATCTCTTGTAGGAGGGGGTACAGAAGTTGAATGATGACTATGGAGATACTAGCGGCGCGGTAGTCGTCGGGTTGTGAGGTTGTCAGGTGGAAATTTACCAGTTGCTTCTAGTAGGTTACAGTAGGAGGTTAATAGGAGGTTGGTATTACTAGGGAAGAATAAATTAAGCGCTTTTTACTAGTCACTCTTAGACCCTTACTAGAACAAAAAACCTAACAACCTAATAGCCTACTAGGGCGTAATTTATTCTTCCCTAGTAATGACAACCTCCTACTAACCTCCTACTGTAACCTACTAGAAGCAACTGGTAAATTACCACCTACAAATCAGATCGCTCATATGATAATCAGTCAGTGGATCAGTCAAAAAGCAGCAAGAGGTGAGCACTAAAATGGAAAGGGAAAAGTCTCGAGTCATATGTTTTTTTCTTTTTTTAGATTTGTTTTTATAGACTCCGCAATTCTTCGCCAGAATGGGCCCATTCCTGCCACCGTGAATCCAGGCCTCGGTTGTCGAGTTAGGGAGCGTGATATGCGCTAAGCCGGAGAGGAAGATCACCCATCTATAAGTGTGGAATTAGCCCTCGACAGGCTGATGTCAGTGCTGGGTTACTGAACTGCCTATCCCTCGCAAGACCGGACCACATCCGTGCCGATCCCCCTCAGCGAGAAAGGGGTGCCGGGTCATCGGGTCCTGCATAGCGGTCCCTGTTAGGGGGCGGAGTTTACTAAAATAAATCCGTGGTTATGTATATGTATACATAAAAAGTCTTCTGTAGGATTTATGCGTTTTATTGCCTTTGTGTACATGTTAGGCTTCTAAAAATAACATCCAAAAAGCACGTCCAGATCTGCACGGTAGCTACTGAAGGAGAGATATCAAGACACCAAGGTAGAATTCAATAGACATTGATAGAGACGCAGAGGCGCTCGGTAGAGGCACAAGATATCAAAAGCAAAAGATAAACCAAAGAAAAATGAAATGCAGACCCGGTCGGATGCATCGAAGGAAAAATATATGTTCTTTTATAGACCGTTACCCCCTTCTCCCATCTCTAATTCGTACAACTTCAAAGAGACACGCTTATTTCCTGCCGCCCTTGCTCTTCTTGCCGACAGAAGCAGAAGACTTGCTCTTCTTTGATGGGGGGGGCTGCTGCTGAGCGTCGTCAGACTCATCATCTTCCGTGTCAGCAATGAAGTCAACCATGGATCCATCGCTATCCTCATCATCGTCCTCATCCTCGTTCTCCTCGAGCGATTCCTCGGCATCGGAAGAACCGACAGACTCAGCAGCCTCAATGTCCAAAATAGGCTCTTCGTCATCATCCTCATCGTCACTTCCATCGTCCTCGTCATCTTCAGACTCATCGACGCCGTTCATCATTGACTCATCCTCATCGTACGCCTGGTCGCGTATTGACTTCCGCGGCGTCTTGGCCTCGGTCTCACTGTCCTCGAGATCTTCCTGACCCTCGACGTAGATAACATTATCCTCGTCCTCGCTGTCCATACCCTCATCGCCACCGCGGATAGATTGCCGCAGCCCCAATTGAGCATCGAGCATGTCAAGCTTGCCCTTGAGGAGCAGGAGGGACGGCAGGCTGGCAGAGCGCTGGTCCATGACCTTGTAGAGGGAAGTCATGCGCTTCAGGAGATCGGGGTGGCCGGCCAGGGCACCACCGTGAGCAACGCAGGTCCACTGCACCCAAACGAGAAGGTGGCCGTAACGACCCGGCCGGGAGGCGAGGCGCTCGGCGAGTTTTTGAAGCAGAGTCGCGGCCAGAGAGGAGTCGAGACGCTGGATGGTAGTGCGGATGATTGAGGTGTCACCGGTGTGGAAACAAGACTCGAGCATGCTGTTATCGTTGGTCTTGAGCGACTGTGTGAGGACAGTAGCAAGTGAGACGCCGGTGGGAATCTGTTGCACTGCAGCCTGGGGCTTTCCGGGCACCAATGCGCCCAGAAGGACGTCGTCGTCAAGCTCGGCCTCGACATCGACTTCCTGGCCTGCGTTTGCGCGCAAGAGTTCTCCGAATGATGGCTCTGCGCCCTCTTCTTCCTCCTCTTCCTCCTCGGAATCGGATGCATTCTGCATCTCAACATCCTCAGTTGCTACGACTTGCTTGGTGGGCTTTGTCTTCTTCTCGGTGGAAATCTTGGACTTCTTGTTGTCCTCATCATCGGAGTCCTCCTCGCTACCAGATTCGGATGCGTCTTGTCGTGAGTCCTCCATCTCTACATCATCATCGACCAGGTTTCCCTGCTCGACATTCATGCGGGACTCGTCAACACGGGTCTCGCCTGAGCTCTTAACTCCATTTGTTGTGACGGAAGAAAGTGCTGAGCCGGACTTGGTCTTCACCACAGTCTTGATTCCGGTGAAAGAAAGCTCATCGGTGTTCTCATCGAGGAACTTAACACGCTCAAATACAGGAATCACACCACCCTCGGTGTATGCAACCACGAGAGTAGGGCCCTGGAATGAGATGGCGGCGACGGGAACGCAGGCGTTCGAGGAGTCGGTGTTGGTGATTTTGAGAGTTGCGTTTGCTTTCTGGGTCATCTGTTTCCGGCTGGCTTTGGCACTGGCGGAGGGCGCACTTTGGGGTTGAACAAATGGCTTTGTGAAGAGTTCGATGCTACCATCTGCGGTGACTGCAGCAAGCACTTGCTTCTCTGGGGCGGCAACGCCATCAGTTTGCAGAGTAATGGATGAGACCTCCTGGTCGGCGACAAGGTTGCGAACAAGCTTCTGGGTGGTGGCATCAAAGACGTTGACAAAACGGTCACCATCGGATGCAAGGAATGCACCCACTCCAGCAGACTCGGAAGAGGACGAAATGACGGTGTGGATAGGGTTGCGCATGGCAGGGAACTGAACCGGCTCGTCGGCCTTCTCGGTATCTATTAAGTACGGGGTCTGGGAAGCGCAGATAAGAGGAGGGTTCGAAGGAACGGGGCGGGAGAGAGCAGTGAAGACTGAGGATGCGGGGAGGTGGATTGTCCTATAGGTATATCATTAGTCAGGAGCTCGGTGTATCCCAGCAAATATCAAAACTCACTTGGTGCTTTGTCCGGTGCGCAGGTCCCACTGGACAAGCTTATTGTCACCACCGATACTCCAAGCCTCCTGGGCGGGCCGATCGGCCGTGAACTTGAAGTCTTTGATACCCTTGTCATGTGCGCCAGTCAAGGTGCCGACCACCTTATCTTCGGATGGAGAGTACATGCGGATATCCGATGTGTTTGTGCCGAATGCAACCACGATATCGCCCTGGTCCAGGCCATCAACAGCCCCATTGACGTCGGAGCCGCGCTTGCGCTTCTTTTTCGACTGGTCACGGCCCTTGCCCGAGCCACCGTAGTATCCCCAGTCCAAAGAGGTTACCATTTCCTTCGGCCCCAGAGCATGTTCACACTGGAGGCGTCCTGTCTGTGTGTCGTGAATGCGAATGTGCTGGCCATCGAGGCCTTGGATAACGGACGCAAACAGGGCCAATTGGTACTCTGATGGGGAGAATGCAGCGCGCAGGATGGACGATTTGCTTCCCGCATATGTCATGCCTGACGCCAGCGATGCGGCGGCCGAGGCGACCTTGGTGGATGGGCGAGTCGTCTTCTTTCCCATCTTGGCTGTAACTTTTTTTTCTTATCGTTTTTTTTTCTCGCAGTCGAGGGTATGGTGGTGTGAAGATAAATATCAATAGAGCAGACCCAAATAAAGACAGCAAAGATTCCGATAAGACTCTATTTTTTTCCGCCCCTAAGGAAACAAATGGGGGTTTAGGCTGGTGGTTTCGCAGTTGATCCGGACTGAAAAAAAATGTTCTGTAGAGCCTTGACGGGCTAGTCCTAAAGGGGTTTAGGCTGTCAATGGCTCTCTTATCTAATCATATCATCCCGTGATGCTTCAATGTCAGTAGAGTACTATCCATAGGTCCTAGGGTAACTCTGCTAGCTATTTACTTCATTTTTATCGAGATTTCAAAGCTATTTGATTTTCACCTTCACTAGACCTTTTTTTATCTCTCGCTCTAAGGCTTTTATAATAACACTCAATTTTTTCATTTTGGGCACTTTTGGTTTTAGCATCCCTTTGCTGAACGAAAATATATATAACGGACCATTTCAACATATACTTCCTGCAGATATCCCCAGAATGTATTTTGTAAAATATAATAAAATCCCAACGAGTTTCAGGTTCATCGTGTGACCCAATCCAAATTCAATATATACGAGGAGCAAGACAGTAAGTAGCCAAATAAGAGCCCTTGATAGAGTGCTCCCAGATACACCCAAGCCATCTAAAATGTCCAGTACTAAAAATTTATGTTGTATACTTTAAAGCATATGGACTCCCATTGGGCAGATCTTCGAGACCAAAAGTACCCCAGGTCCCGAATCATGTGACATCCGCATATATACCTAACCTGTAAGGGTCGAGGTGCAGCTAGCTGCCCATCGAGGTAGTAAATGCAAAGTGCTGATTGGAAATTTCCAGGATGCTAAGCGGGGAACCAGGCGGTGACTAGCCTAATGTATCATCTATAGGTGTTTCAAGATTCTATAACATGTTCCTTGCGCCGACTATGTATATATCCAAAAGTGATGTTATTGCTTATCAACCTGGGAACGATGTACAATACGTGTACTCATCCTGATATAGTCACGTGAATTCCCAAGTGGTGACGTGACTCAGACCCCCATCAGGTCCGGTCTAATCCGGATGTAGACAAAACCCTAGGGCTTTGAGTCATCCGAGATATGCGTCCACCGGACTTCGACAGTTTTATAAAACCTATATAGGAAAACCTGAGAGGAAGAAAGCAAAAAGAAAAAAATTGTACATGGATATCATTCAATCATAAGATATTAACCTCGATACAAGGGAAAGAACAAAGTGAAGAAAAGAAAAGAAAAGAAGAAAAAAAAAAAGTAGTTCCAGGGGTATAGAACCAATCAAGGGGTAAGAAAGTAAGAGAATCGGGACTAGTGTGGCTGGTGGAACTGGGTAAGAGGAGAGTGCAAGAGAGCCGTTTGTACTTAAGGATTCTGGCATCCCCTCCCGACCATTTTTCTGCTTCCGTCCTGGTTTCTCCTATTTTTATTCTCCTGACCGCCCTACAACATAACAAACGCGTCTTCGCGTCATTTCTTCCTTTTAACCGCCTTCACCCCCGAATTCTTTTTCTTATTTTTTTATTTTTTTATTTTTTTATTTTATTTTCATAATCCCCTTTTACCCTGATAACCCGGGAACTTTTTAGCTCCATATCTTGGTCAATCCAAGTCATCTAGACCTGGCCTCAATTTTACTACATCACGTGACAGCTTTTATACCGCCTTCTTGGCAGTATAAATACCTCGTCTCCGATCGCATTCTCCACTCTTCCTATCTCTCGATCATCTCTGACCTCACTCTTCTTCCTCCCCCGCCCGTCGCGTTTTATTTGCGCCCACACGTTTGATATCAAACCTCATCAACCGTTGAGTCCATACTACGTGGCCTTGGTTGCTGCTAGTGTTTGTTCACTCGAGATTGTTTGCACGCGGCAAGATTGTTACGCAGAGAGATCCCACGGGTGTTTTCAGTTGATCACTAGCTTTCAAAACACCTTGCCATAACTCTCACATCTTCAACTACCTCAATCTTCCCTAACTTGTATTCTTGATTATCCAACGCGACCCCAATGGCGACTCCGCCTCCCGAGGTTCCTCCTGTCACTAAGGAGGACAAGCCTCAGTTGCCTCCATCGCCCACTGGTCCTTCTGCACTTGACTTCGCACCCACTAGGTAAGTGAACCAGCTTCATGTCTGCTCTGTTCTTGATCTGACTGGTATGATGGGTACGCAGCGCGCAAAATGTCGCAGTGAATTCCAAAAGCGACGCATCCGCGGATACCGAGGCTAAATCACCTGCTCTGAATGGCCACACTCCTGTCGCACCTTCGAATACCAATGGTACAACCGTTGCCACCTCACCGCCCAAGTCTCCTGAGCATCAACCCCCCCAAGAAATGATCCAAAACAACACATCTGCTGCGGGATCTCCTCCACCCGCGGAGTCACAGCCGACCGAAGAAAAGACTAGCGTTCCGCAGGGTAACGAATCTACCACTCTTGCTGCAACTAATGCTGCGGCTGAAAGTGTCGTTTCGTCCGCCCCGCAGGCTGTGGAAAACGCTCCCACATTTCCTGCATCCACAGATGGCCCTAATGAAATCCTCGAGCCGATGGCCATCGATACCACTCAAGGAGTCTCGACTCCCGTGAAAACCGACCTTCCTCATCATCCTACCCCAGCACCTGCACCACCTGCGCTCACCGCGCCGCAGCCCGTTGACCAGGAGATGAAGGATGCATCAGAGGCCCCACTATCTCCTTCCAAGATTTCCCGACAACGGGATGCTGATCTCAGCGAAGAACCAGCTCCAAAGCGGACCAAGGTCGAGGGTGACGATTCGGTTATTAACTTTCAGGCACCTGGATTCAACTCCCCATCTGCCGCAACACATGGTCCAATCCGCACTAGTGGCGGACCGGGACTCACTAAAATGCAACATAAGTTCATTTCAAAGAGTCTCACAAGCCTCAAACGCATGCACGATGCGCGTTTCTACAAGGAACCTGTGGATGCTGTCAAATTGAACATTCCGCAATACCACACTATTATCACCCAACCCATGGACCTAGGAACTATGGAAAGGAAGCTCAAGAACAACCAATATTCTTCTCCCCAGGCAGTCGCAGATGACTTTGCACTGATGGTCAATAATACGACGATCTTCAACGGTGCAGACCACCTGGTCACTCAAGAGGGGATCAAGCTGAAGGCGACATTCGAGAAGCAGATGACTAACCTCCCCAAGCCTGAAGAGGTTGAAGAGAAGAAGCCAAAGAAGAACGCTGAGAAGACGTCTGCCGCTCGCCGGGAGCCTCGGACTTCTCTACCAAGTCAACCCAAGGCAGCTTCTCCCCAGTCTCAGACGTTTGCACTAGGACCCGAAGGTCTCCCCGTTATCCGCCGCGATTCTTCCAACCCCGATGGTCGTCCGAAACGGTCCATTCACCCCCCAAAGCGTGATCTTCCGTATTCTACCAAGCCAAAGAAGAAGAAGTTCCAATGGGAATTGCGCTTCTGCCAGGAAGTCTTGGATGAGCTGCACAAGCAAAAGCACTACAGTTGGGTCATGCCTTTCTATTATCCCGTGGACCCCGTGGCTTTGAACATTCCCACATACCACAGCGTCATCAAGAAGCCCATGGATCTGTCGACTGTTCAATCCAAACTTAAGACCGGCCAGTACGAGAATGCAAAGGAGTTCGAGAACGATGTCCGTCTCATTTTCAAGAATTGCTACCGCTTCAATATCCCTGGTGACCCTACTTACATCTGTGGCCAGCGGGCTGAAGAAATCTTCAGTGCAAAGTGGGCCCAGAAGTCGGACTACCTCGAAGCGCATGAGCCACATCCCGAGCAGAACACTGATTCTTCCGATGAAGATAGCGACGAGGATGCAGAGGAGAGCGAAGAAGATGACGAGAAACTCAACCTGCTTCAGAAGCAGATTGCCGAGATGTCTCGTCAGGTCGAGGCTATCACCAATAAGAAAAAGAAGACACCTCCTTCCTCCAAGAAGGTTGGCAAGACGAAGCTTGCCAAGAAGGATTCCAAGAAAATCAGCTCTGGAAAGAGAGACAAGAAGAGCAAGGTTTCTCAACCTGGCAAAACCCGCGCCATCACCTACAGCGAGAAGCAGATCATCTCGAATGGTATCAGTAGTCTTCCTGATAAGAGGATGCAGCAAGCCCTCCAGATCATCCAGAACAATGTTCCTCAACTCAAGGTAAGATTTTCACGCGTCTATTACACAAACAAATTCTAATATAGATTTCACAGGGTACCGATGAGGCCGAAATTGAGTTGGACATCGACGAGCTCCCTAACGATGTCTTGCTGAAGCTGCTCAACTTCGTGAAGAAGCACGTACCGAATCTCATGGATGATGAAGAGGAAGAGGATATCACCACCAGCAATGTGGCACCTCCCAAACCCAAGAAGAACAAGCCAATGAGCAAGTTCGAGCAGGAAGCTCAGATCAACATGCTCCAGAACAACCTTTCTCGTTTCCAAGGTGGCGCTCACTCTCCCGATCCAGTGGCCTCGGTTGAACGCAACGAAAGCAGCGATGATGAGTCTGATTCGTCCGAGGAAGAGAGCGAGGAGGAGTAAACACACTCTTCCAACTCAACCCCGCCATTTTCCCCCCATACGGATGATGGCCCTTCACCCTGACTTGCGTTCCAAGCGTCTTTTTCCCCCAGTGCCTATCTGAACAATTTCTCGCCATATCTTTCTTTTTCAGTCACACCGCTGATCCTGACGGGCTGCTTGCAATGCGCTATGTTATCCCCGCCAGCAACGTCTGTACATACTTTGATTTTGAATACCCCTGCACCCGGCAAGGTTTCTACTGCCACCCACGAACCTTGCGCTCAAGATTGGCCGAACAGGATTTTATTCACTTAACCACTTGAATTTCCCTTCCCCTACGCCTGAGTGTACACTTTTCTCCCGTTTCGTTTCACAGCCAGGATAGGTGGATGGGGTTGCTCTATTTTCCGCGACGACGTTGCGGTTGGAAGAGGTGAACCGAAGCTTTGGCTTCAACTTGTATGATTACGAAAGAAACGCGGAAATGCAAAATGAACATGTACTTGTAATAGTAAGGTATCTGATTTTCTATTAATTATGTAGTTTGAATGTATGAAATATTGTATTGCGAACCACCTATTTATCTTATTCCGTCATTGGTCCTGACGCGTCGGGTCTACTGCGGCGTTCGGCGGTGAACTTCCCCAGTTTCTTTGCAGCACCAACATGATTCCTCCCTGCGACCCCTCAATTCTTGAGCACAATCCTCAATTCAAACGACTATATGAGAATCTGACAACCTCCCTCCTTAATCCAGATGCCTCAACGCGTGCTCACAGCGCGAGCCCAGCCCGCACAGCTGTGGTGGAGGTAAGTTGTCGACACGCTGTTGCGCAGCACGTACTCAACAGATCCAAGCACAAACGGAGCTCTGACAAAACTCTATCACCAGGAGCTGAAGCAATGCCAGACCCAAAATGCGAAAAAGCGAATCAAAGAGCAAATGCTCCGGCAATTGGCCTTTGCCCCAGACAGCAACCTACCTGCAGAGGTCAGGACAACCCCTGCCATAGGATACCAACCCATCAAGAGGAAAAACAATATCCCTAACGAACCTACTACATCCAGTGCCAGGATAACCTCGCTATAATAACCCTCTACTTAGAGACACCGTCCAGCACAATCGAAACCACCACCCCAAAGCCAGAAACCGAGCCCAAGAAACCAGATGAAGCACTCACCCTCCTAGCACCAGACATCGAAGCCTTCTACACCAATATCCCGGCATTCATACTACCCTTGTCCAAAACCCTCTCATCCGCCATTCAAGACCTACGCGCTCTATCAACCGCAAATACAGACCCAGCCACCGGGTCCGACGTAGATGTCCCCGCCCCACAGCACTCGAATCACAATGCACGCGCTCGAGCGCGCGACCGCCGAGTTCGGACCTCGATGGCGCCAGTCCCACCGCTCTCGTCACAGCTACAGGTGCGGGTGCGCGTATTGCGCCATACACAGCTGTCTGAGCTCCCAGTCGCACGGCGGAAGATGGCTGCTACGGCGGCGGAGGTTGTTGCCGTGCGAGCGCGAGTCCTGGAGCGCACTGTTGTGACTCTGGAGCGGGCGAAGCATGGGGCTCTGGCTCGCGCGACGAAAGCTAAGGCGGAGCATTTGGCTGTTGTTGCACAGGGTGTGGAGGGGAAATTAGAGTATGTTTTATCTTTCCGGTTTTCAGCTTTCTGTCTTGCTGTTATCTTTGTGGTGGGATTGGTCTTTTTAACAATTTGAACAGGGTTACGAGACTGGAGATTGCGACTACGCTCTATACGCCCGAAACACTTGCTGCTCTTGCTCGGTATAGGCAGCATCTCAGGCAGACGAAGGAGCGTTTGCAGCATCGTCGGAAGATGACGATCCAAGAGCTGAGAGGTTATGGTGATGTGGAGGTGTCTGATCCGGCTACTGATATTGCCGCGGATGAAGGGTCTTTTGCGGATATTGCTCGTCGGTATGGGATTTTGGCGAGAGAGGTTGAAGAAGTAAAGATGGAAATTGCACGATTAGAGAAATGAACTACGGCTACATACCTCAGGTAGTACATAATATAATTAAGATATTAAGATCCAGCTTCAACACATGCAGTGTTAAATCTGTAGATCAGCAGATGGCCATGTAAGAGAGCCCTGGACGCCCCAACCTCACTTCTTCCTTACAGTCCCCAAGCCCGACCAATTGTACAAGTCTGCTTTCTACAGCTGCCATAGAGAAAACGCTAAATGGCCGAGCTTAAAAACCCCGAGGTCCCAGTTCATTATAATTCCCTCGCTGTTTGCTACCTTTCAGTCGCCGCAATCTATGCTGTCACATAGTGCAACCTCATCTATGCTTGGTACTAGGCACGACAGAAGCATAATAACCGGCCCATACCCTAGAGACTCACGCAATTCTCCCGTAGGATGGTTTTTGACGTCGATGAGCTTTGCCATTTCGGCATCGATGTCAACGTTGGGTATTTTCTCTTCGTTCTGGTACTTATTGGGCTTTATAATGAAAGTGGCGACCTCTTCGTCGTTCTCAGCTTGAAGCATCGCCACGGTATGATACTACTGTAGATGTCCATGGTAGGGCATACGATGTCCACGAGGCGTATTTGGAGATTATCAGCCAGGAATGACGGGTGTCGTATGATCCGTAAGTTCAATATTCTGAATCCAAATCAAAATATACCAAGCATATACACCTAAATATATACATAGTTAAATTCGCAAAGATGAAAAGTTCATAGTTCATCAAGCCAAGCCGCCAAGTCTTAAATCCGGGGATGTCCCTGGCTTAATACCGCGCATCACATGACCGCGCCAAACTTTTTCTGCCCGAAAGAGTCAACGCTACAATATCTACTCATTCGCCACATCTCTCCCTGAACACTCTGAGAATTATTCAAAATGGCCGACGACGGACTGAACATCTACGACGAGATTGAGATCGAGGACATGACCTTCGACCCGAATATCCAGATCTACACATACCCTTGCCCATGTGGCGACCGCTTCGAGATCGCGATTGACGATTTGCGCGACGGCGAAGAGATCGCCGTGTGTCCCAGTTGCAGTCTGATGATCCGTGTTATCTTCGACTTGGTATGTTTCCCTATCATAAAACCAGATATATGTCACTTTATTTGTTCAGTGGGCTAACTACACGCCCTGCGGGGTATCCACAGGCCGATCTTCCTAAAGCCGATGCGCAGAGTACGAGCGGGGTGGCTGTTCAGGCTTGATTGTGCGACAAAGGAGATTATGCAAAATACCCTTGAAACGATCCGAGTCAATCTCAGCCTGAAGTGAAGGATCATGTTGCTGAGTTTTGGAACTCGCAGCCGTTCTCATTATTTTGGCGGAAATGGTTCGAAGGATTGGATATTTTGCCATTCCATTGCTAGATGCGACTGCTCGCCGTGGACTGCCTAATGCGCTTCACCGGGTCAAGCGGGTCTGATCTACCGGTCTTCACTTCATACACTGGATCGCGCGAGCATGTTTCATGTTTTGCTGCAAGTGCGAGTGTCGTTTACCTGCATCTTGCCAAGTGACTCGGTACCTCTGGGGGCTGTTGGTCTCGGTGTATCACACTGGGGTACCCGCCGTACCTCGCTCAACATACTCAACGTTTACTCGGGTTCTGTCGACTTCGTCTAGCGTGAGCTTTGCCTTGGACAATATCACTTGGCCCGCCAGGAAAGACACCACTTCATTCATCGGGTTGAGAATCTATTTTGGCTATGTACATGTCGTGTTCATTCAAAAAGAAAGAACAACACTTTGATACACTCGTTGAATTGGCGATGAGATGACCCTTTCCTCCGCCTTCGCATTGAGTTCTTGCTACAGACAGTCATTATATACCCACCTAGTGCATGTACCTCAAATGATCACTGCAACTATGCTCCCAAATCATTCGTTCATCCCCCTCCATAGTAAATCTACGAGAAAGTAGTAACGCGAGAAAAATTTCAATGCAACCGCATCATTAAATAGACCCTAAACTACAATATGTAACATCCCAAACAAAAGCTGGAATGGCAAGAATCCTCTCCTTTCTAGGTAATCGATAGCCTAGCAAGACAGTTCACTCAACAACCTCACTGTAAATATCCTTAGGCAAACGCAACGTCAACTCGGAGTTCAACAGTTCGGTCAGGTTAGATCCATCACGCAGGTAGATCCACTGCCCATTAACGAAAGGCCGGGAGTCCTGCTTCTCATGCATGTAATCGCCCTCGACAATCCAGTCGTACCGCTTCGGCCCGGAGATGGGCGAGCTGAGCCAGATCTGCTTGTTGGGTGGTTGCTTGTTGAGTACATAGGTGCCGAGTGCGGGAACGGAGATGTTCAGAACACCAGCCTGGAGGAAAGGAGTGGGTTAGTTACTTTTATAATTTATATGTCATGCCAACGGAGGGACTGTGTGCAGGCCGAGAAAGATAGCAAGATGAAGAAGACCGCGCAAAATATGATATATAGAAAAGAAACAGGAAAACGTACACTGTACTCAGCCTCAACATCCGACCCCTCTTCCTGTGCCTTCTCCAGCTCGCTTTGCAGGACATTGAAATAATGCTCCGCGTACTCGTAATACTCCTCCGGCGTCAACGGCGAGGGCTCAGTGATATGAGAAGCAGCTCCGGCAACAGAACCGGACTGCGGGTTCGGGGCTGGGGGGTTTGCTGATTCTGGGTGAATGCCTTTGCGGATTGCCGGGGAGGACTGGAAGGAGCGAGTGAACTGCGAGGCGGAGCTGGGGCGGATGGCGCAAGCCCGGGGGAGCAGAGTTGAAGTTGTGGTTGTTGCGCGAATAGATGGGCGCACGGAGGCGAGTAGAGCTCGAGGAGCCGTGCGGGATAGCATTGCTGTATAAAGGTGTTTGGATTGGGTTTGTGGAAGATAGTAATTGAAGGTCGGGGAGCTGTTCTGAGGATGGATGCGGAGAGATTGGATAATTTACATCATCGTTGTTCACCGCCTGCTTCATTAGGTATGATTACAGGCAGTAGCTGTGATTGGATCGAGGTATAGATGACAGTTGCTCGATGTGGTATTTTATTTACAAAAGGTGGACTATATATCTTGTGTACATATGATGATCTAGCTTGTCAAATACCTGGATTGATTTATAGGCATTTGATGTGATTAGGTTGAGGATACAGTCGCCACCACTGAGACTATAGCATCTAGGAACTTTGAAACGTAAGCATTGTAGGAATGTTTGAATTTGTTTCCCTCATGATAAAGTACATAAAATTTGGGTTGGAAGAGATGTGATACTTATAAATGACTTTTGTCCTATTTCCCTCGCCTTCCGGTGATGACCTTGGGTAGTGGATCCCGGTATAATCCTAGGGTTTCTACTCTGGGAATTTTCATACTAGCATTGCCTCATCATTTTGTAATCTAAGTGATTAATGAGGCCGGAGTATAGACCTGCGTATGCCGTATATGCTTACATAGCACCTACACCTTCAAGTACCTGTTTAACACGTGGTAAGCAATGCCAAGACAACAGGCTGAAGTTGGTAAAGAAATGAGAGACCTAGTGTATGCTGTCGATGACACGATTGCTCACAACAATGCTGATACGCATGCGGAGATAATGGAATGCGCCTAGGCAGATGTGGAGGCTGCCGCCGCGGTAGATGTCGGAACAGTCATACCAGAGAGCCTGATGCCCAGAGGAAGGAGATTGGTATATAATGAAACTGCTAATGCAAAAGGTGTCCCCGAGTGTGCATACTTGCCTGGAATCAATAGAAATGATGTGTCAACAGTGATACTAGCATCAACACTGATAACGATAATTCCCGGCGCCATCGATGAGGAGATCAAGGAGATTTGTGTCGCGTTATGCCTCGTAGTTGAGAAACCGAAGACATAGCAATGCTGAGTATCTCATAGGAACACGAGGTAGACTTGTTATATCAACCACAGGTATGCATGAGCTTGCACTTCTTTGAACCAATGAATGACATTATTTGAAGACATCTTCGTGTAGGTAACCTCGCTGCCTAAACATGTCATAGACTCGTCCGGTGTCTTCGGTATATGCCCAGCGCTATGGGTGCCTGACGGGCAAGACCACGCGTCACAATCTAAAAATGGTCCTCGATAGTTAGGCTGCTTGATCGTTGAGGCCGGAGACTAGCCGAAACTAGTAGAAATAGGATTCTAGGACGATAGTTTGAGCAAGAGCAGGAAGATCCCCACAGAACGAGATCGTAAGTCACGAGCGATGAACTTCCGGTATCTTTCCTACTCATTTTCGGGATTGTGAGATGTGTACTCCGTACAGCGTACAAAGCCAGCAGGGCTGCGAAGTAGGATGACGTGAGCAGAGTGCCGGAACCTGGGAAAGTGGGACCGGGGCTAGAAGCGAGTCTAGAGTCTATCGAGGCAAGCCACATTCTTTGCCAACGCGGCCAGAACTACCTAAGAATGCGCTATTTTCTTTTTCTTTTCTCGGAGAAAATTATTATTATAATAATAGTCCGGGAATTATGAGTCCGAAAAGTATGTTGTATAGTCTAGAACGAGAACAAATTTAGAGTCTTGGTTCACGTGGGTGATAAAGAGATCGGTGGAATTTAGCCTGTTTCAGATCAGAGGAACCCTAGTCTTGGTCATGGGAATAGACATGCATATGCCTCGGAAATATGTCCGGGACCTTGCCGTATAGGCGGGAGGTGACTGAAGTTTGATCTCATAGCGACCTTGTAATTCTCGCTACTGGCAGCTGTTAGTTCAGGGAGAGTTACAATGAAATCAAAGAATGGATGAAACCCGGAGAATTAGTACCAAAGGGCACTCCGGATGATATGATTGAAAAAAAAATGAGAAATTGCTTGGCCTGTAAACCTTTGCTACCTGCATTCTGCAGGGTATACTTTTGTACCGACTATGTTCTGTCAGCCTATAGGAGAATCGGGAGTAAGAGCATTGATTCCCAGTCATTATTCCAAGGGGATCACTACGCCATCAGAGATGGCACAAAGCAACCAGAACCAAAACTGACGAAAAGAAAATTAAGATACGCCTTGGAGAACAACGGGTGTGCGAACATGGAATGGGGCGCCAATCCTAATGCGATGTACCGGAAGAAACACCGGCGTGTAGTCCGGCAAGGCTTGTCATGGCCGTTTTTCGGCAACAGATCGGCAGGGGGGGGGGGGGGGTTGGTTTCAGACCGCGCCCCCTCTTTCTTCTAGCCCTAGAACAACGCCCCCAGTCGACCCAGACGTAAGGAACATACCGGAATACCGGTGAAAGGGAGAGACGGTCTGGATCTTATGTTGCATGTGAAACATGGCGTCGATCGGAGATTGGTGTCACTATGAGTGGCTGATTCGATCCATGCTGTTTTGATGTGGTGGCGCCTTCATAGTCGGTGTGTCATATTAGTCAGTTTTAGTTGACGCCCATGATTGTGTTGTGATTTGTATGAATCGATGAGTGAGATTTTTTTTTCTTGAACCTGAGCTATTGACTCTTACAGTCTTACAACACAACCAGACTTTGGAACCAATTTAAATTAATGTAGTGCAATGTTTGGTGTTTTTATCGTGTTCCTAGGGTTGTGTTCAATAACACATTGATATGATAGGCTACCCAAAGACCCAGATGACGATGTATCTGGGGTGCACCTATCAGAGAGGCTCCCCTGACTGGGAGCCAGGGAACCGCGCGGTCGAGTGCTTGGCGAACCATTGGATGATGCAATGCCATTCGTGGTACGCCCCTGACCCCACTGCACTCCAATTTATGTCGAGTTTCTGTTTGTGGGCTTTAAATCTCTCAAAGTTGTTTCTCATTGCATGCCTTTGTATTCTGCCAGGGGCAAGCCAATTATTGTTCAAACAAAGTTACAGGCACCAGGAACAGAGTTTCAAGGCGTGTATTTCCCTGTCATTGCAAGTCAATGTCAAAACCCGATGTAACAGACATTATTGTTACCCCATTATGGTCCAGGCTATTGTGGAGTGGTCTACGGATCTTGGCTGTGGAGTTAGACCAGATGGGAACCTATTTGATACCTAAGAACCGAAAGAATTAGTGTCAATTAGCGCCTTCGAGAGTGAATTCTCATTGCAAATGTAAGAAATGTCAGAAAAGACGCTCGGTTCAAGCCAATCACCATGGTTCGAGTTTCTGTCAATGGCCCATGGAGTCCATTCATATCCATCTCTGCTCTCCCCCGCGCCAATGATATTTGTCGTGTAACGTTTGATCTGGCCAGAGGCATGGATATGAGGTAGAACCCGCCTCCTCGGCCCCCAACATCCAATAGCCACTTTCCTATCTGCACTCCACCGTGAAGAAATGGAATATCTTCCAGCCAGCGAGTTAGGCTGGTAGGTTTGACACACTGATGCCAGGGGGATTTAAACCCTCCGCCTCCCTCGATCTTTCTTCTTTCCTTCTCTCTCCATCCGCCCAACTTTCCTTCATTTATTTTCTGGTCTTCTAGTCCTGTGCCGTGCACGGTCTGAGCCTCACTTTCCTTCAAGACTACATTCCTTTTCACAAGGTCGAGAACAGGCTTCTCTCTTTTTTCCCTCCTTTTTTTTAACAAGTCCACTCCTTTTGTGACTTATCTTTCGAGCTTATTCAAAATGGTCTCTTTCACCAAGCTTTTCACTGCCGGCCTCGTCGCCACTTCGGCTATGGCCGCCCCCATGCAGGCCAAGCGCAGCACCTCCGGCAAGCGTGGTGCCGCCTACAACGACATCACTACCGTTTCTGCTCTGACCAGTGGTGGCACCATTTCGTGGGCCTACAATTGGGCCGGCTCCCTCTCTGGTTCCCCTCCCTCAAACACCGAGTTCGTCCCCATGCTCTGGGGCCCCAAGATGTTCGGTGGCTGGGTGACCGCCATCGAGACCGCTTTGTCTAGCGGCAGCACCTACATTCTCGGATTCAACGAGCCCGACATGGCTTCGCAGGCTAATATGAGCCCCACGGATGCTGCCAGCTACTATCAGACCTACATCACCCCGTGGTCCGGCAAGGCAAAGCTGATTTCGCCCGCCGTAACCTCCTCTACCGAGAGCGGAGTCGGCCTTGACTGGTTCGAGTCTTTCATCGGTAGCTGCAGCAGCTGCGGTATCTCGGGTCTGGCCGTTCACTGGTACGGTGAAACTGCCGACGATTTCAAGACCTTCGTCACCAAAGCTGTCGACACTGCTTCCAAGCACAGCCTGTCCGAGGTCTGGATCACCGAGTTTGCTCTCAGCGCTGATATCAACGGCTCTACCGACCCCGCTACTACTGCTGCTTTCCTTGCCGAGGTTCTCCCCTGGTTGGACTCGCAGACTGGTGTTACTCGGTACTCTTACTTCATGTGCGCTGAGAACTACTTGCTCTCCGGCAGCACTCTCAACCAGGCGGGCCAAGCTTACGTCTCTGCGTAAGACTGCTTGTTTGACATGTTGAAAACCGCAAAAATAAAAACAATGAAATCACGAAAATAGAGAGCACGAAGGGGATTCGAGCAATTTACATTTCTTCTATGGATTCTGCTGGCGATCGGTCGCCTCGGGAGGGTCACCTATGAAATTTCTGTTCATATTTTCTAAGGAGTTTTAACGCAAATATCCACCACGCCATCTGATTTTTTTTTATTACAAACCATTCCCACGTAATCATAATTATGTAGTATCAAGTCTAGAACATGATCGAATCTCGCCTGAGAAGTGGCGGGTTGGCAATGGCCACAATGGAATTCATGGCAAACCAGGCCCGCCACAATACATCGCTGCCAGGCAGATCTAACAATGCGATATTTTTTAGCCTAAAGGTCCCAGTCCTATTGTTGACCTAATAATAATGCTAAACTTGAAACCTCGCTTTCATATCTATTATTTGATTCTACTCTAGTGTCTACTATCACATCCTGTTCTTTGTTTCTTTGTTTCTTTATGTGTATCTTTCAAATATTGACAATGCATATTGAAACATCAAGATTCAAGGCCACAATGTACAGTAGTTCTTTGGTCACAAAGAGCCTCTCGAATATTAAATGGTGGACATATTCCTCTTACCGTCGACTTTCTAACTATTCAAACTTTCAAACTTTCAAACATCAAGCATCCCTGCTCAAAGCTAACATGTCACTCCAGCCGCAACCACTCAAAAATTGGCCGCACTCTTTCGACCAAAGATATATGTACAGGCGTCTTGGCATAGAAGATCGCCCCGATGACCATCAGGTTCTCCACGATTTAGCACAAGAGGTCTATGATATTGTAGCGGTTGAAGCTATTAACGAAGGCAGAGCTATCAGCAACATCTTCCGATCGAGCTATTCACGCACTAAAAACCAATTTGAGTGGCGCAAGCGAATACCTAGGTTACCAGCCGCTGTTAGAAATCACGTCACGGACCTTGTGATTCTCACCGGGGCGCTTTATAAATATGTCAATTGTATTCAAGATGAGTTGCAAAAGGAGTTTGAGACACAGCTAAACGAAGAAGCAGCAGCAAAAGCAGAAGAAACGGCAGCGGAAACTAGGGCAGAAACCGAGGCTGAGATGAATGCTCCAGCGGCCCAAAGAAGAAGGCTAGGAGTAACACACAAAACTGTCACTGTCCCCGCTGCTGGTCTTGCCTCTGGCCTTAGTCCAGGTCCTACTTCCCCCCTAGTCCTCTTTTCGTCTCTGGCCCTGTCCGTAGTCCTGGTCCTGGTCCTGCTTTCGCCCCTGCTCCCGCCGGGCAGCAACATGAGGAAGGAGGCGACGATACTTCTTTGTTCGATCTTTTACGTCCTATAATCCTTGAAACGGGGAATGAGGGCGATTATGGCCATGGGCAACAACACTAGGAAGGGGGTGACGATGATTCTGCTTTGCAGGCGCTTTTAGACCCTGCACTATTTAACACAGAGGGAATTACGGGCGATGATAATGCCGCCATACAAACATTCCTCAATGAGAATCAATGGACCGAAGAACCGATGGAGGAGGATTGAAAGGAGTAATAAGGAAAAAGAGGTAAGGAAAGTAAACGAGGTAAATACCGATGGACCTTACTAGTATTATATTTATTTAATACTATACTATATTAATATTATACTCTAATCTATCTAAACTACTTTTTGACAGAAAGCTGGTGTACGAACAATGTATGGTATAGATGACCAATGTTGAAGACTAACTAAAATGACAAAACCCGCTATTTCAACAATCTGTGCGGACTATGATGACTAACTGTAATATGCACTTTTGTATAGTATGCCTAGTACCTAATAATATATGATATTTCCGGTATATTACCTGGTTTCTACTATATATTCGGACTTAGTATTCGATATACCCCCTACATTTTCCTAGCTCTAAGAGCTATCAATTCCTTTAATTTTAAGCCTTCTAATAGCTTCAATTTTATCAATTTTATCATTTTTAGGCCATCTAACAGCTTTATTTCTATACTCTCTTTAAGTAACCTCTATTTCTCGGATTAGATAACTAATCTCTCTTATCCTAATTAGCTCTCTAAAGAGATACTACTTCTATCTTAGAAGCGCTTTTATAAGGCTATCTACTAACCTAATTTAACGGCCGGCGCCTTAGAAGTGACTACGTATATATCGAGTTGCTAAGAACGCTGTTTGTCTCAACAGTATTCTAACTAACCGACTGAGCCCTAAGTGTGTAATTGGTTTTCCTCGTTATATAAGTGCACGTAGGTCCTGAGAGTCAGTTATGCTTCTTTCTCTCTTTTGCGCGATCGTAGCTCAGAATATCAAACAAAATGGAAGCTATAGTACAGATTGTACGTCAGATCGGCCGGCAACAAGCATAGAATGCTTATTATCGTAATTGTTATGCTCTCTTTAAGCTACTCCACGACCTTATAGAACATACGTCCACCGAACTACAATTGCTTTATAGATCCGGCGCCAAGCGGTCGAACAATTCCGTCCATCAAGTCCTCCGAAATTTCCAGAAACAATCTGCAACCTAAACTTAGCTTAGTTTGCAGGAATGGAATTGATTATGCTAGCGTACAGCCACATGGAAAGCTAGTAGGCAGAGAAAACTTATGCTTATAACAACATCTCCGTGCTATGATACCGAGTGATATTCTTCCAGGAGTCCATCCTGCCCTTGCGATAGGCGACGATCCCCTTCTCGGTGCTGGCAGCATCTTGCTTGTAGACTATCTTTGGTTGGCCGTTTAAGATATAATACGCTCACCTTGTGGTTGCCCAGGTGACTACATGTCAGAACAAAGCCACCTGATAGAATGCGATTCCAGCAAAAGGATCGCTCTTCGAAACTAGCTCTGGCTTTGTGCCCGTGCTAGACCTTCCACAAGGGCATTCATGTTCGGAGGTCGTCCCAGGAAGTTTTCCAGCATCCCCAATAGGTTCTGCTCCTTTCCACCATACTCCAGAATTCCTCGACGGTACTTATCCCAATTATCTCTGTTGTATGGGTCATGGGCAAAGACAGAGAGGAACAAATCCTGGGCCATGGCCGTGCAACTTCTTCTATTAGCATTATCTAGTGCCACAGCTGGGGCTAACGTACCATAAGTAAGCATAGTAGCAAACGTCATAACCGGCCGTTAGATGAGTGAACGTCCCAAACGCAAATCCATCTCTGCATTCCGAAAAATCCATTCCCTCTATCTCCTCGCGGAGATCATACCACATATTCTGGACATCGAGGTCCGCAATCTCCTTATCTGTACTCAACGAGTGTATTTGCAGATCGAAGATCGATACTGACCTAATCCGGATCATTAATTTTGAACAGCACGGTAGGAATGGTATTAAAGGCCCACGTACAGCTGATACAAATGATAGAGTCCCCTATTAAAATACCGATGTTCGATAAGGTTCTCTACCAAGCCCTCTGGGATTTTCGTCGGCGGATTTGGCTCGCTGGGGTTTTGTTTCTGCCAATCTGCTAAATAGTTCTCATCAAGTGTGGTGTAATGGCAGCTTAGTTCCTCTAGGACATCTTTCATCCAGCACCAATTCTCAAGCATGATGCTGGGCATCTCACCAAAGTCAGGGGGCAGTCTATAGCCATGGAAGCGGATGTACTTAGTCCTGGCTAGTAGGTCATGGATACCATGACCCATCTCTATATTTTGTCCTTGTTAGATGATCCATATGGGGAATCAACCATTTAGGTGGGTACTTGCCGTGGAAAAGAGTTACTACTTGGTGATGTTTGAGTAAGGCACAACTTGTTGGAGTTGGAGTCGGGAAGGAACACATCAGGATTGTTGAAGGATATTGCCTGCTTCCATCCGGCCGTAGATAGCCCTATATCGGTTCCATCAGCAAGCGCGAAGTGAATTAAAAGGGGGGGGGAACAAATACACATTGAATATTCACGCTTTGGTTGCCGCGATACTTATTCTCCCTCCACAATAAGTCAAAATAGAGGTATCCAACGAAACAGTTGTCTTTCGTATCCCATACAGAGAACCCTCGCACAGTATCATGCCAGACGACATCCCCAGTCAGTCTTTCTGCTGGGATGGAATCAAATCGAAGACCAAGCAAAGAGGCAAAGATGGCTAGCATATTAGTTGCTGTTCTCTCCAAGGGAAAGAACTCTGAGATCTTTATCTGGTCAATTTCAAACTCTCGTTGCACCAGTTGCTCATAGTATCGCTTTTCCCACGGGGGGAACCCCATCTTTACTTGGTGATCACTGTATTGTCCGCTCGCTCGCAAATCTTCCAGTCGCCGATTTTGCAATACTGCAATCTCACATCGGCCATATGGGCAAAGTGTTGTCTGCAGTTGGCTTAGGAATCCCTTCACCCATGCTGTGGCCTTCGCCATACGCCTCTCTATCCTGAATTCTGCGTGAGTCGTATATTTTAGGAATTGTGCCTGCCGAGCGCGGCGCTTGGTAATTTCTTCAAAGAGCGGCTTGTTCTCTTTCAGCTTTAAATTATCCGCCAGGAACATCTTCTTGCGAGTTTCTGAAGAATGGGCATGCGTTAAGACAGCCAGCGTTCCTCCATTTGCGAAAGGCACGAACTTCTTCATTTGTTGGTGGTTTTCATTGATCAGTTCCTCTTCTCCTGGACCATTGTTCCACTTCGCCAACTCATCTTCTGGCACCCCATCCAACTCCTCCAGCGAAAAGCACAACCCCCCGGCCTCCCTAGCCAAGTTCTGCTGAAACTTCCTCTCTAAATCCGAAATTTCCATTTGCGACTTCTGGTACTCTTCCAACTCCGCATGTCCGAGGATGCCGAGTCCAGCATGCTTATACTCCAATAGCTCCTTCTCCAGTAAGTGCTTGGATTCTCCGTCCAGCGTCTGAAAATCCGGCTTCTCTTTTGCCGCTTGGAGAAGTTTGAAGAATTTTTCATCCGCTGTCCAGAGTGCCGAAGCTCTGAGATACAGCGTCCGGGCCTCGTCAAACGCGCTTTGGGTCGCGAGGGACGGTGACCCATATTGGAGCATGTAAATCATGCCTAGCTCGCCTTGGACGGAATTTTCGACTTGCACCAAGGGAAGCATGACATTGCTGAACGTTGCAGTGGTTGGAGTAATGGCTTCAAGGATAAGGGCGCGGATGGTATCGTATTCGTTGATTATGCGCTGCATCGCTGGAACAATTTCTTCAGTGGTTAGGACACGGGGAAGGGACTGTGGGAGCAACATCTTTCTTTTATTAGGTCCAGGAAATTTGTTGGAGATACTTAAATCGGGTCAATGGGTGAATATCCACGGATAGGGAGATGCTCAATAGAAGGCGAGGTGTGTCTTTTACAAGGAAAGCGGGGTCAAGTATATAGGTCCGTTCGAAATCAGTTTCACCCTTTCATTCTCTCTTCTTCTTAACTCTTGGCCAGACGCACTCCAGTCCCAATCTAGCCTAGATCACCCTGAGTTGTCGAATTGGAAAAAGTACCGATAAGCACTAAATTTATTAAGCCTGGTGTCACTAAAAATAGAGTTTCAGAAACAAGCAAAGAGAAAAACATGGTGAAACTGATTTCGATCCACCCTGTACCGAAAAGTGGCCCCCGCGGGAACCGTTGGGACCCCCCTTTGTTTACGGGTCTGGGATATCAGGCTACTACCTAATCATACATGGTGGGAACTGATTTCATGCTAGAGATACATTAAGTGACGGACTACATACTAGAGGAATAAGAAGCATAGGATGATATCAGTTTAACGTGATGTGCTCTCATAAATGCGAGCTGAATGTGGACATTGTAATAGGCCAACACAATCCAAACCCCCCGCGCTTCTCGGACAATTCAGTCTGGCGCCCCTTGCCTAATCAATGAGTCGATCTACTCGGAAGGCGAATTGGGAGCTAGGTAACTGTTGGAGGTCACGTGACCTCGCTTGCTTGCTCCCAGTACAATTAGTCTCACAGTAGCTAGTTCTCTTCCTTTCCTAACGCAACATGACATTTTCCAGTGCACTACAATACTTAATTTAGTAGTCCTACTAGAACTGTCTATCAAAGTCAATCAATCAACCAATCAATCGTGTAAGTCGAGTCTAGAAGCTATGTTGCTCCTGGAACCTCTAGTACAGTTCCCAGGGGCAGCCACATGCCCTCCGGGAAGCGAGTGGAGTGTCTCTGGGATGGGCATTGATTGATGGGGGTTCCAATAAACATCCGCGGGTTCACGGTTTCCGTCTCCTTTTCCTGCGGTCCCTTGAGCCCCATTTTGAAACGAACAACTGCCACGAGGTATAGACTGTTGGGATATGCTGCCTATCCAGAGCGATGCTAATTTGAGCTTTACTTTCCTACCTAACCTATCTCTGAAGCACGTTGGAATATCAACGTACGTTGGGAAAAGAGCCAGAGCAATGACGTCACCCAACCTTATTGTGGTGATCAGTGGGGCTCGGTATAGATTCGGGACTCCAAACCCAAAATGGTCCAATTAGTTGAGAATTAATGAGTGCTTGTCGACGGTGGAACGATATAGTCAATGCATCGGGGAAATTTTGAGACATATGAAGAGAAGCTAGTTAGCTCATTTTTTGAGGTTGATGGATCTTGGGGAAGATGAGGAGATATGTCGGGTTGCAGGTCCGGGTAACAGGTATATTAGGAGTTAACGTAACAGGTAGGCTGCAGGCAGGCTATCTTCAGGCACATAGACAAGACGTAGGTCGAAGAGCTACAAAAAGGGGCGGGAATCAACCTGAATGTGTAAACAAAGTGAGTCACGCGCGGAGGCGCCCAAGCTGCGGCCACACACCGTGACAGGAGGAATGGTTTGTCGACGCGGACAACGACGCGCTCGAGGATTTTGGTTATTGCTCTGGAGGTCCACTCATCATTACGCTCCATGAACTGATACTCCATGCGCTCTTTTCCTCGAGTACCCTACAGACTACGGAGTTTCAGAAGAATAGGGATCCTGCGCGATGAAGCGGTCTTCTTAGCCAAATTCTTCTATCTCTTCTGTCCCTTGTGTCTCCTGAGCGCTCTAGGGGATATAGACGGCCACCTTTCGTGGGTGGTTGTCTTTCTCGCTGCTTCCTCTGTGGTAGATATCCTATTGTGCCTCGACCTGTCTGTTTCGCTCAGACTGCCGTTAGCGCATCTCCCTGTTTACTAGTTATCCCATTCTAGTCCATCCTCACTCACTTGCGCGCCTCCTTTCCACCACGCATCCCTGCAACACACCCCTACTAACATCCGATATCTCCCCACACCCCTTATCTTTCTCGCTTTCACACACCCAAACCTCCCATCCTCCCTTCAACTCTCACCCCCAACCCCTCACACCCGAATAAACGTCGCCGTAGCACAGACAAACATAAACCATGCTGGCACATTGACCGTGCACATACGCATAAAATTATTCCCCAACCACCCGCGCAGCGCCTCGTAGTTCTTCGGGCCGATGTGCTCCTTGCTGGAGATGCGCGCGTTCCACATCATCGACCAGGTTCCGAAGTAGAAGTGCAGGATCGACAGCACGCCACCTGCCGCGTAGAAAGCCTTGGTCTGCGGGTGGAGGCCGGCGCCGGGCGCCCCGAAGGCATTGATGAAAGCAATGATCAGGGCAAATGGGTACGACAGGATGATCACCCACTTGGTCGGCTTAGCGAACTCGGCGAACCAGTCGACCACGACGTGCGCGCAGATGTCGTGGGGCTTGCGCAGAAGCGGCGGCGCCAGGAACGAGCGGAAGGCGTTCTGCTGGTCCCAGGCGCACATCAGCGAGGCCGAGGAGATCATGAGCGGGCTGAGTCGGAGGAGGGCCGTCCCTAGAGTGGTGGTGGTCAGCGGGGTGGAGGCGTAGTCGGCCATAGTTTTCTTGGAATTTTGTTTTTCCGTGGAAGTAAAAGGGTTGTGTGATGAGTGGGTAGGTGGTGTAGGTTTGTGACTGGATGTATGTATGTACTGTACATTTGTTGACGTTGGTTTGTGATGGTTATATAAATTGCTGGTTTCAATCCCAAGGGGCCGAAACCCCGAAAGCCCTAGTTATTCTATTCTTACACCGAACGCCGAATGGACCACCCTTAATATACGAAACGATGGGGAATACAACTTCATACAACTACGGAACTCAGCTTCGGTCGGAAAAAGCACTGCAACAACAAAGTTGAAACTAAGTACACAGGTGCATCGTACGATCGATCATTTGTCTCATCTATTCCTTCACCCACGCCGCGGATCCCGTCGGCAACGCGGTCGACAGATCCAACAACTCATCGTAGCCGGGGTAGGTCGACTTATCATCCACAATGTTAACCGCTTCGTTGTTATCGACGTATTTCTCGATCCACGACAGCGAGACCACGGTATGCGCCCGGTTGACATAGGGCTCCTCACTGGCCTGCAGAGCCTGGAACTCCGGGTCGTGGTTGACCTTGTTGAGTTCTTCGAAACTGCGGAAGTAGAATTCAATTGTCACATCGTGGTCCTATTCGGGGATTCGATTGTTCAATTTTCATTTGTTAAATACAGTAGAGTTCGGTATCTTACATCAATCACCCAGCCGCGGTTGTTGCGGCGGTTCATCTCATCGACAAACGTCCGGTATGCCGGTGGCGAATAGCACTATCGTTTTATGTCTGTCAGATGGGGAGATCCTGATACAATAAGGAGTTGACTGATTCACCTGCTGGTATGCGTAGATACCATGCTTAGCATGTAGCTTGGCCGCCTTAACAACGTAGTCGCGGGCAAAATCATGGCCCTCCCCACCTTGGCGGGCTTGACCTTTGTAGAGTTTGATGGTGAGGCGCAACAGGCGCTCGGTCCGACCTCCCGTCTGAGTCATAGTGGTGATGGGTAATGATGTATGCGAGTTTCTAGCTGTAGAGAAGAGAATGGATTTGGGTTGTATAATCCTCAAGCATGGAGAGAGGTGGTATTTAAATACAGAACTAGGGTTTGGCGGGGCGGCCGGAGTTAACGGACGAAAGAAGCCTTATCTCAGGACCCCTGGTCAAGCTTTCATATCATGATATCCGATCTCCCTAAAAGGCTAAATAAACAACGGGCATAGTTTCGGCGGTCGGCGATAGCATGGCACCACCACAAGATCTCACCACTAGACTAGACTAGAGATGAATCTTACGCTCAATCCCGAAGATCCGATCCAACCAAGCAAAAGACTTTGTGGTCAGCACGGTGAACGCCCCTACCTTGGACTGCAATCCTCCCTCGGCCATATCCTCCGCCACCCACATTTCCTTCTGATCCTCCGGGACATTCACCAGCTCATCGTAGATCCGCTGCGTGCTGACCTCCGGTTGCGAGTACAGCGAGAACCGCGCTCCGGTCACCATGACGGGACAGTGGATGCGCGGCAAGAAACCCACCCCGTCCGAGGTGCCCAGCGTGTACTCCTGCATGCGCCGGAGCATCTGCGCGGCGGTCCGAACCCCGAGCATCCAGCGCCCGAAATCAAACTCCCACCGCGTCATGGGGTTGAAGCGCCCCAAGATCCCGAACACATAGTCCCAGCCGGCGTCCGGGACGAACCCGCCGGCCACGAAGGTGTTGGTGACGGGGCTGGGCATGCGGCTCTTGAGGAGGTCGAACATGGTGTAGAAGGGGTCGACGGCGATGCAGGCGCGGATGCGAGGGTCGGCGGCGCCTCGCAGCGCCAGGTGACCCCCCATCGAGGAGCCCACCAGCGCTATCCGCTCCAGATCCAATTGAGACTCGGGATTCTCGGTCGCGTATCCCTCGGCGAAGTCGAGAACCTTGCCCACGACCACCTCCCAGTCCTGTCGCATGGGAACCCCGTGCCGCCGGATCACGATGCCTTGTCCGGGTCCCTCGAAGGTGAGAACCGCGTACCCCAGCTCGAGCGCTGCCATAGGGAAGATGTAGAAGATCTCCTCCTGGGTGGCATCCGCGCCTACGGTTTGGATCAATAAGGGTAGTTTGCCCGGGAGTCGGTTGGAGGGATGTGGTAGGAAGACGTAGCCCGGTAGGTCGAGGCCTTCCTCGTAGGGGATCTCCACGCGGTGGAAACTCCAGTCGAACAAGGCGGCCGCCCGGCTGAAGTTGGAAATAGCGGCTTCAGATGCGGTCAGGAGTCGTGAATCGGTTCCGGGCAACCCATTGAGCATGAATTGGGCCGATCGCTGATAGTTGGCGACGCGCAAATACGCTCGTCGCGCCGCCACGCGGTTCCCTGCCAGCTCCGCCTCGCTAGCCAGCACTTCAGCTTTGTCCGCCGCGTCCATCCATGCTGAATACCAGCTCTCCACATCCTGGTCTTTAATGCGGGCCACCGCCGTAAAGAACTCGGCAATCTCCCCGCCCTCGTGCGCTGTGAAGCTGAGAAGACGGAGAGCCTCGAAGTTGAAAAAGTCGGACTTGAAGAGACGAAACATGGTGGTTCGTGGTCAGTGCAAGCGTAGGGTTCGAGACCATCACTTGGACAGAGGGCGGGGACTCTTTCAACGTTTTGAGTATGAGTGTGAGAACTAGCCAGATAGCCGTATGAAGGTATCGGAATTCGGGGCAGTGCGTCTTATGTTCGGCAACCAGGCTCTATTCGCCGGTTATCATCAACCACAGGTTAAGAATCATCAATGAACAGGACTAAATTCAAGGGTGGCATGATCTTTCTCTTCCTTCTCTTCCACAATCAGATCATAGCATATCGAGAAGAATGTCTGAGTTTACTTATCGCATCCCACGTGTTCAGCGGGCGCTCGTGGCGACGGGACCGGGCAGCCTTGCCCTAAAGCCCGTGCCTGTTCTCAAGCCTGGTAGCGACGAACTCCTGGTGCGCATCGCCGCCGTCGCCCTCAATCCGTCCGACCACAAGCTCCTGGATCAATCGACTACCGTGGGTGCAGTTAGCGGTAGCGACTTTGCGGGGACAGTCGTACGCGTGGGGGAGGATTCGACGTCCCGCTTCCAGATCGGCGATCACGTCTGTGGGATTATCTTCGGGGCCAACCCCGGCAACCCCCGCAACGGCGCCTTCACACAATACGCTGTCGCCACCGCCGATTTGTGTATGCACATTCCTTCTTCCATGGGATTTGCTGAGGCAGCATCCCTCTCGATGGGTCTACTGACCGCTGGGCTCGCCTTTCGCTCCCTGGGTCTGGACTGGTCCCGACTGACGGACCCCGACGAGAACAAGAACCACCATTTAGATGATTCGGACAAAGAGTATGTCTTAGTGCACGGAGGTGCCACAGCGACGGGAACGCTGATCATTCAGCTGTTACGGATGGCGGGTTATACGCCAATTGCAACCTGCTCACCCGCCAGCTTCGATTTGGTGCGAAGCCGGGGTGCGGTGCAAGTCTTCGACTACGCCTCGCCCTCGTGCCATGAGGAGATCCGCGACTACACCCAGGATCGCCTCCGATATGCCCTGGACTGCATCAGCAATGTCGAGACCATGACCCTCTGTTACGTGGCACTCGGGGACGCCGGCGGTCGGTATTCGGCGTTGGAGTATTACCCCCGGGCGCTGACGATCCGCCGTCGAGATGTGGAGCATCAGTGGGTTCTGGGATGGACATTGTTCGGAAAAGAAGTGCAGCTCGCTGGCGCCTACCACCGGGACCCCCTCCCCAAGGACCGAGAATTCGGGCGTGAGTGGGCGGGGATTCTGGAGAAGTTGATGGAGCAGGGCCGAGTGCAGCCCCACCCGCTGGAGATCATCCAAGGCCCCTTGTCTCAGGCTATGGACCAGGTAGACCGAATGCGCCATGGTCGTGTCAGGCGTAAGAAGGTTGTTGTGCAGATCCGATCAAGCTAGGAGATAGATAAGGTAGATAGATACCTGCAACAACATATATTGCTTTACAAACCTCACCTCCACATTGACTTACTAACACGGGGAGCTGCGAACAATGGCTCACTTCCTGGCAGCAGCGGCTCTGGGGCTCGCAGCCCTAATAGCCTACTACATTGTGAATAGCATATATGTACTCTTCTTCCATCCGCTGGCGGGTTATCCCGGCCCCAAACTATGGCTCGTCACCCGGATTCCGAATGCTCGCGCTCTCCGTAGTGGCCAATTGATGCACCGCATCCGTCAGTTCCACCAGCAATATGGTCCCGTGGTCCGCTGGGCCCCCAATGAGTTGTCCTTCATCTCCCCCGAAGCCTGGCGCGACATCTACGGCCACCACGGCCCTGGCAAGGACTTCGCGCGTAACCCGCTGTGGTATCCCCGGGCCGCCAACGGGGCGCACAACATCCTGTCCGCCGACAACATCACCCACGCCCGCATCCGCAAGCTTGTGGCACAGGGTTTCTCCGAGAAAGCCCTCCGCGAACAGGAGCGGTTCATCCAGTGCTACGTCTCCCTCCTGGTGACCAAGCTGCAGGCCGCCGCCGCCGCCCGCCGCCCCGTCAACATCGGCGACTATCTGCAGTTCGCGACAGTGGACATCGCGGGAGACCTCATCTTCGGCGAGCCCTTTGATTGTGTAGCCAAGGAAGAAGCCCACCAGTGGGTCAAAGTGACCTTCGGCTTCTTCCGGCGCCTCCTCGGCGGCGCCTCCCTGCTGATGGTCGCCCCTTACCTCCGACCTCTCCTGCCCTACCTGGTCCCGAAACGGGTGCAGGAACAAGCCCGCCAGCGGTTCGCCTTCTCGTGCGCCAAAGCCGCTAAACGGCTCGCGCTGGGCGAGGCTCCCGACCGCAACGACCTGATCACGTACATCTGCCGGTACAACAACAGTCCTCCTGAGGGGAAGGGATCGATGACCATGTCCCGTGCGGAGATCGAGGCGACGGTCGACATCCTCATCAGCGCGGGGAGCGAGACCACCGCCACCGCGTTGACGGGCACGGTGCAGTATCTCCTGCGCAACCCGCACACGCTGGCCAAGTTAGAGGCCGAGGTGCGCGGGTCGCTCCGCTCCGCCGACGAAGCCATGAGCATTACCCATACCGCCGCCTTGCCCTACCTCAGCGCCGTGCTGCACGAGGGCCTCCGCATGTGTCCGCCTGCTCCCTCTATCCGGCCCCGGTTGGTCCCTGGCGGAGGGGCTATAATTAGCGGTGGATTTGTCCCAGCTGGTGTAAGTTGTTCTCCATTCCTCCATCCAAAGTCCATGTAGCTGAGTGAAACTACTTACTCTACAGACCTCCGTCGGCATCCCCCCCTGGACCGCCTTCCGCTCCCCCGCCAACTTCGGCCAACCCGACAACTTCATCCCCGAACGCTGGCTCCCGGCAACCCCGGAGGGTGGCGGCATGGCCATCCACCCGCACGAGGTCCAAGTGTTCCAGCCCTTTTCCTACGGGCCCCGCGATTGTTTGGGCCGACGACTGGGATGGGCGGAGTTGCGGGTGCTGCTGGCCACGCTGGTGTGGCATTTCGACTGGGAGAATCTCAGCCCCGAGGCGCGGTGGGAGGAGCAGGTGGCGTTTGTCATGTGGGAGAAGCACCCGCTTTTACTGGGATTGAAAAAAGTGCATAAATAGGTGGTTTTTTGCGAGGCGATGCCATTATGGCCGGAGTTGGGAAGTTGGCGCGGTTCAACCAGCAATGGACTTATGATCCTTGATGTTACAGTCCGCACGGAAATCAGGGCTAAACAAGGTCACTTGTCCTTGACCGGACATTGTTCTGGAAGCATAGCAAACAAGTATGATCAAGATCGCACCATAGTATCGGGAATTGAAGCTACAGGAAACTCTAATCTAACAGACATATATGTAGCAACAGCATTCGTTTCTCTCAGAACTTACCAACTAAAGGCGTAGGATGCCCTCCTATCAGATATTAGGCGGCTGGCTTGACTTCGAGATAGGATCTAAGATCGTCCTCGGATTCTCTGGATTCAAAAATGCCGCGCTCGGAAAGAGTCAAAGAGTGCAAATTATGTGAATATCTGCAAGGCACTGTATCTCCCTCTTTCTCTTCCTCTGTCTGTTCAATTCGTCTCGATCTCCATCTCTTATCTTCGTCTTTGTCTTTATCCCTACCTAATTAGAATACATTTAAGAATTATTTTCAAACCGGGAACTTGTATTCAGCAAGCTCAGAGGTATACCCTGTATATACAAATCACACAAATCCGTGGTTTTCGTCGATGCCCTGGAAGCCTGCGAGATTAAAACTGCACGATTGTTGGGCTAATAATGTGATGAACCGAGTTTCGTTCAGCCCCTGGAAATGTCAAGATCTGCGTGTCAAGTCGGGAGACGATCGGTTTTTTTCGGGAAGAGTTCCCCGCAGGAACAGAACCCCGCTCTCGTGTCACATTATCTTTCGCTATCAACATGGGGAGACTGTACATAAATTGGACCACATAGAGGAAGTCTGACGGCTCCTCAAGAAACAGTCTTTGACTTTTGGAACCACCTATCTTGTTACCTTCTCCTACCTGATTGACAGGCACTTACCCTGACTTGTAGAGTATCTTTTAACAAAAAAGACCACTCTATCTGAGCGTTACGCTCAGATAGACCAGGCTCCGATATATATAGTGCATGACATGACACTTAGTAAGTCTATCTATCTATATATCCGTAATAAGAACCTAACGAATTAAAAAGTAGCCGATATCTACTTCTTAGCGTAGCTAGTAGTTATAAATATCGGTATAATAAAGCTTTATATAAAGCTATAACATATTTCACAAGCGAGTGGATCTCACAAGCCAGTGGATCAACCCAAAACACTTAGTAAATGCGATAAATTCCACATTTATATCTTAACAACCATGTGTTTATTTTATCTCCTTATTTGACGATAGTTATTGATAAGACCTATTAGCACTATATACTAATTTTAAAGATAGAAAATGGCTATACTATTATTGTTTTAAAAATTACCGAAAATTACGTTACTCAAAACTAGAGATATATATATCTTACTTATAAAGTTATAACCCTCCCTTAAACTCCCTAAATATAGCTAGATATCACTAAATAAGTGTTAAGCTATTAGGAAATCTCTATATAGACTACCGTTGTTAAGATATCAAGTTGTAATTTACTATGTGTTTGGGGAGGTGGCCACTCGTTTGCGGTGGCCGCTCGCTTGCCGAATACGTTATGGTATTTTCGGGGTGGCGGCTCGGTGGTGGTGGCGGCTCGGTAGTGAAATACGTTACTAGAGTATTAGATACTGCACGTGATCTGCTGACAGATAGATTGGTTCGCTCTCGGTGGCCCATCTGTGTACCCGGTGGGGCACCATCGATTGGTGACGGGTAGTCCCGTAACACTATAGAGGGCTGGGGGGCAGCTCCACATAGATCTATAGAGAGAATCTATTTTTCAAGAGATCCCTCTTCAATTTCGGTCAATTTAGATAACTTTGCGCGAGAATTCGCGCGTTGTTAGTGGCCATATAGTCGGTCTTAAAGTGTTGAACGTGGTATATTAAAACGGCGCGCCACTTCACGAATTGAAGAGATTTCCTGATTCTTAAAAGCCTAGATAGCTAGTAAGCTTCTACCCTCTTGCTCCACTAATTTTTAGAGGAGCGAGAGCGAATTGGTGGCATGGTGGGTGGTTGAAGAAGAAGGGTTTTAATTGATTGACGCGTTTTCGGTGGGGTGGCCGGCTCGGTGGTGAAATACGTTAGTTATTAGCTAACTAACTTAGTTAACTAATAAGGGTGGAATCACACAACGAAAGGTACCGATGGCGAGTGGCTGTAGCTAGAGATAGCGGTTGATGGAAAAGTCACAACGCAATTCTGATCGTAGGAGGGAAAGCCTGTTGGGTGTGCTTGTCAGACTGGGATATGGCCCCCCTAGGCCCTAAACAGGAACCGAGGTTTTTGTTATGGTCTAGTGGTAAAATAGGCTGTATTTTTCCACAGTGCTCTTTGTTCTTTGTCTCATGGAGTTAACGACTCTTATATCCTAAACTCCGTTGCTGCATGCAACACTTTCAGACACCGATGTTCAATCAAACAACAACAAGCTTCCCCCAAGCCCGATTGCCTCCATCGTAACGCCGATCTGCCCTTTTGCTCGAGTAGAAAATGCGAGCTGAGCTTGGGTTTAAATAGCCAGGTCTCCCCCGTCTTAATCATTCTCAACATTCTTTGACTATGCTACCATAATTCCCGCAAATCCTGACTACCCAACACAATGAGTCAGCCAGCACAACAGCGTCCTCCACCATTACCACAGCCCGGAGCGCGAGGCTGGAGGTTTTGGACCATTTTCCCTCCTCTTTGCATTGCCACCCTCTTCTCTGCCCTCGAATCGACGGTCACGTCGACCTCACTGCCCGAAATCACCGCTTCCCTGCACGCCGGGTCAAACTACACCTGGTTCGTCAACGGGTATCTGCTCACCTCGACCGTCTTCATTCCCCTCTACGGCCAGTTCGCCCAAGTCTTTGGCCGCCGCTGGCCGGCGATGGTCGCCGTGGCGATCTTCACGCTGGGCAGCGGCATCAGCGGCGGCGCCAACTCGACGGCGATGCTCATCGCCGGTCGTCTCGTGCAGGGTCTGGGGGGCGCCGGGATCGGCACGATGACCAACCTGATCATCAGCGACCTGGTGTCCGTCCGTGAGCGCGGCAAATACCAGGGCATCATCTTCGGGACCTTCGGCATCGGCATCGCGATAGGGCCCGTCATCGGCGGGGCGATCGCGCAGAGCGGGCACTGGCGCTGGGTGTTCTGGCTGAACCTGCCCCTCGGCGGCGTGACGCTGGTGCTGCAGTTCATCTTCCTGCAGATCACCTTCCGGAAGGTCTTCACCTTCACGCAGAAGGTGAAGCAGATTGACTGGACCGGGAATTTTCTGCTGATCGGCGCCATGATCGCCATCCTCATCGCCCTCTCCTGGGCCGACACCGTCTATGCCTGGTCGGACTGGCACATCCTCGTCCCGTTCCTAATGGGGTTTGCGGGCCTGTTCGCCTTCCATGCCTTTGAGGCGACGCGCTTCTGCGGCGTGCCCACCATCCCCGGCCGCCTGTTCCGCAACCGCACCAGTGCCGTCACCCTCCTCAACACCTTCCTCTCCTCCATGCTCACCTACTGGCGCTCCTACTTCCTCCCCGTCTACTTCCAGAGCGTCCTACTCGTCTCTCCGCAGCGCTCCGGCGTGCTGCTGCTCCCCAGCGTCCTGATCGCCGCTCCCGCCGCCATTCTCTCGGGATTCGCCCTCTCCCACTTCGGCCGCTACAAGCCCATCCACCTCCTCGGCTACGCCCTGATGACCCTCGGCACGGGCCTGTACATCGACTACGACGCCCACTCCTCGCTGGCGAAGGTCGTGCTCTACCAGATGGTCGCCGGCTTGGGCGGCGGTATTCTTCTTACTACCTTCCTGCCCGCCGTGCAGGGCGCGAACCCCGCGAAGGACCTGGTTCCGGCTTCCGCGACGTGGGCGTACTTGCGTGCCTTGGGGAGTATCTGGGGCATCGCCATCCCGTCGGCCATCTTCAATAGTCGGGTCTCGTATTACGTGCAGGCCCGCGTGTCTGATCCGTCTGTCCGCGGGGCGTTGGGGGGTGGGGGTGCGTATGCGCATGTCTCGGCGGCGTATATCCGGGCGCTGCCGGATGGGGTCAGAGAGGAGGTGGTCGGAGCGTATACGAGTGCGATGAAGAATGTGTGGGAGGTTTGTGTGGCGTTTTGTGCGGTGGCGGTGTTGTTGACATTGCTGGAGGAGGAGATTCCCATGCGGACGACCGCGGTGGAGGGGGATTCGGTGCTGAAGGAGAAGAAGAAGAAGGAGGAGGAGGAGGCTGGGGGTGCTGATCCTGCGAATACTGCTGGTGCTTCTGGAGAGAAGAATGCTGAGGCGGGGAGGGTGGAGGAGACTATTCCGGTTGCTTCGTCGAGTGAGGGGTCTGGGAATGATGGGATGAAGAGCGGGGGTGGAGAAGGGTTGTTGGCTTCTGGGGCGGTGGGGGCGAAGAAAGACGAGGGGGAGAATGGGCCTGAAGCTTGAAATGGAAGTTGCGGTTGTGGCGGTTTGCCCTGATCATAGTTGTGGTCGCAGTGAGGTCACAGTGGATGGTTTGAAGAGAGGGGGAGGGTTTAGACATGGGGGTGCCAATGTCTATTGCCTTTCATTACCTCCAAGGGCTACTCCGGTCTGTTTTAATTTCTAATGACTCTCGTTGTCAATTTTTCTTGTATATTCGAAGTATAAATTCAGGGCAAGAGTTGTAACTAGCTAAAGCCCGGTCTTGTAATTGAAGCCAAACATGAGTCATAGTTACGCCGTAAGTATATGTCTTTATCATAAGGTGAAAAAAGAGGGAGGGGTCGGCTCCCTATGTCAAACCAAGTAGGTCTCTACATCAAACCGCCGATTTATCATATTTTCTCCCCAATCTCGCACGGATAGCACGGATGACTCGCCGGATCTCATCCTCCTTGCCTTGGAGTTGAAGGCCTAAGCGATCGGAGCCCGCGTCCGGCCGGTGCGTGTCGCTTCCCTGCCAACCGGGATCAAGACGTGGTGGCGCATGATGATGGTGAGGATGCGATGGCCATTGCGCGATGGAGGGAACCAGCGCCGCGAGGGTGGTCAAAAGATCCTCGATTACCTCCAAAAATAACACGGTGGAAAGGGAGGTGTTGGAAGCGAGGTCTAACGACCCTACTACGATGGCCGGAAGTCGCACGACCGGCGGGATCCTTGGGGCCCGGTAATGCGCGCTAGATCCTGCGGCGGCGGCGGCGGCCGCCTCCAGGGCGTGCGATAACATGCTGAAGATCTCCAGGATGCGGAAGTACGAGGAGAGAACGATGAGTAAAGAGCCTAGGTCCAGCCCCGGGCTGTCCAGATCCAGCTCCTCCTCCGGACGGGCCCTGCGTTTCGGGGTTGATGCTTGTTGACAGTTTGACTCGTCGTGGTGGTGGTGGAGGAGCCCGCGGATAATGCGTATCAACTGAGTTGAGAGTTGGATGGCTTCATCGGCGAAGGCAGGCGAGCTTGCACAGCTATGGCTCGTCGTCGTGAACATTGGGTTGTTCCGGTTGGTGGTCACGTTAGAAGAGACGGCGAGCCAGTTCCGGTACAGCCGGGCGTTGTTGTCGAAGAGCTCCTTCAGCCACTGCGGGTTGGGGAAGGATGGTGGGCCTGTTGTCGGTGGCTGTTGGTCTGGTTGATGAGTCGGGGGGTAGGACGGAGGTGGTACACTCGGTAGATTCATCTCGAACTCAGCCGGAGGTAGATCCATGGTGGTCGCTCGACCATTGGGGGAATGAGGTAACCCCCTGGCTGCTGATGACCAGAATCCGGGTGGCTCTCCGATTAGGGTTGTGGTGCCCAATTGTGTCCCACCCAGCCAGGAGCCGGAGTTGGTCAACAACGGCGTCATCAAACCAAAGCCCCCATCGGATACTAGGACGGATGCAAGATCTATCGGCATAGTGGCCGGGTCGAGAGATTCGGAGATCAGTCTGTTGATAGGGCCGCCTGGACGGGAATGAAGCTCCGCTATTGCCTCGGAAGGAGTGGGATTGTCGCTGCAGAGTATGTCTTCGTCTTCATCATCTTCGTCTTCTTGTGCTTGTTCTTCCCTCGCGTTTCTTGCCATGGTTGTATGTTGTTGTTGTTGCTGGTGGGGTTGTTCTTTGCGAGTCGGAGCACGACGGTTCCGGAGGGAGATGCTCCATGTGCACGGCTTGTCAGCTTTCTCGCACCGCACACACTTTTCACCAATTGCCTCACGCTGGCATCCCAGTTTCTGCGCATGACACCGATCGCAGGCCTTGCGCAGACGAAGATCCGAGGAGGTTCCCGAGCCCCCGCGCTCGCGCCGCGGCATTCTGGATATACTTTCTTGGAGGGAGAGAAGGCCACAGAAAGCATGTACAAGACTCAATTGACGTGTGATAAAAAAGGTAGCCCACACCCCTAGTATGTTCTCTCGTGGGCGACACATACCCCGACCGGCGTCCGTGCCCGTGCAGTTGCTAGTATTCTGTCAACACAGTACACAGTATTTTACCACTAGACCACAACAAAAAGCAAGGTTTCTGTTTATAGCCTTGGGAGGCTTGTATTACTCTGTCACACCCCCTCAGCTTTCTGCCTTATAGCTGAAAGCTGACATGTATCAACGAGAAAATGCTGCTTCAGTTTTTTGCAGCGCCTATCCATAATAGTCTCGATCTCTGCCGTGTGCCCCATCCCCTGCTCTCAAACTGGATTAGCTATGACAGGGTACCATTTCCCCTGAATATGCGCTTTTTTTCTCAGAATTACAGAGGAATACCGGGGTTATTCCGAGGACACTGAGACCTCTGAAATGCACCTTTGTACAGCACTTGAAATCCGAGGAGATGCTTGTGTAGCCCCTGGTCAGCACTAAGGCGGGGATAAATTCCTATCACCGAGAGGAAAGACAAAAACCATATGAGCAAGAGAGTCTAGTAATGGCACGAAGTGCAAGCCAACAGACCCGAACGATTTTTGATTGGACTAAATTATGATGCGAATCTGACGTGTGGGGAACAATGCTTGACCCTGGTGCTTATCTACATTGATGGCGCTTACGGGGGCGGGGCACAACATTCTCATTAGATTATATTATAGGCAGTATGTTAGATCCACTCTCACTAGTTATACAAAAACTTGACAGAAAGCTGATGTACGAACAATGTATGGTATAGATGACCAATGTTGAAGACTAACTAAAATGACACAACCCGCTTTTTCAACAATCTGTGCGGACCATGATGACTAACTATAATATGCACTTTTGTATGGTATGCCTAGTACCTAATGTTATATGATGTTTCCGGTATAATACCTGGTTTCTACTATGTATTCGGACTTAGTATTCGATATACCCCTAGTTCTTAAAGCCTATATTTCCTGGCTTTAAGAGCTATCTATTCCCTTAATTCTAAGCCTTCTAACGGCCTCAATTTCTTTATTACTATACTATCTTTAAAATAGCCTCGGTTCCTTAGATTAGATAACTAATCTCTCTTATTCTAGTTAGCTCTCTAAAGAGATACTACATTATAAGCACTTTAGCAGTTATAATATTATAGCCTAAGAGTAGGTTATAATAACGTATTTCACAAGCGAGCCGCCCACATAAGCGAGCCGTCCACCCTAACCAACCTACTAATTTCAATCATATATATATCAACCAAAACTCTATTAAATTGAATATACTAAAATAAATATATCTAGCTAGGTATCTATTAAATCTCTGCTTAGTTAATCTACACCTACTATATCTTAGTATAGCCCGCGTACGTAGTTCTAAACCCGGTTCTTTATATATACCGGTACCGGTATAGGGTGCTTTATCTACTTTTACTAGCTTAGGAATTAATTAAGAAGCTTCTTATACTAAGAGGCCTTCTTCTATAGGTATCTACCTCTAGGATCTAGTACGCTTTTACTTCTACTTCTCGTTAGCGGCGTATAATTCCTTATCTTTGTTAGCGAGTAAGATAGATAGTATCTTATATTATAAGATAGAAGCTTTTTATAAGCTAGTTTAATATATAATCTAACGGGCTAGGTAGGCTCCGAGATCTTATATAAAGTAGAGCTTTAATTGATAAAGCTTACCGATATAGTTCTTTCTCTATAATATTACAGACCTATCCGTCACCAATCAGTGGTGACCCACTAGGCACACTAATGGGCCATCGAGAGCCAATAGATCGAGGATCACGTAACGACCTACGAAGTAGCCGGTTCTAGCCTCTCCTTCGCCGTATCAAATAATATTCTATTATACGACGAAACGGTTAATCTATACTACGTGACCGTGACTCTAGGACCTACTCCTAGGGAGTATATTAGGGGAGTTACTAGTGACTCTAGTAGTGGCTCTAAAGGGAGATATCTAGGGAGTAGGAAACGAAGGATATATAAGGATACTCCCTTATATACTTAGTTTAGTTCTTTATCTTTAATTATATATTATTACTTATATTTACCTTTTAGATTACTATAACTCTTTACTTAATTATAACTTAATAATACTTACGAGTAGACTAATACCCTAGTATAGATATACTTGGCGCTTTACCTAGTATTAGTTCCTTAATCGCTTAAAAGGACTTAGGCTATAGTAAGGCTCTATATAGTATTAGCTTAGTTAAGAACCGATTATTAACATTAGACTATTCGAGGAGTATTAAGATAAGTATACCCTAAACCTATCTAACCTAACTATAATTAGTTAGCTAGTATATAATATATTAAAGACCGTCTTAAATTAAGTTTTAAGTTACTAATAATATATCTTATATTAGTACCGGAAAGAAGCTAGTAGTTAAGTACGACGATCTTAACTCTAATAATAAACGAGATAACTAAATCGAAATACTAAAGGGATAAATAATAATCTTATTAGCTAAGTTATAGGAGTAGGAAAAGTATAACGTCTAGGCCGAGGACTACTTAGCGTAGATATATACTTAGGTTATTACTTCTATCCTAGCTAGTACTATCTAGAGACCGATATTACCTAAAGCTAAGTATTTTAAAGGAAACCGAACTAAGCTTCGAGGGTTCTTTATTTAGGTAGATATATATATCGATATAAATAAAGTTAAACTTCTATCTAAAGCTAGTAGGGTAATTTTTATATTAACCTATCTATATAAATAAATATAGAATTAGCTTAAATTATATATCTAGGATTACTATAAAAAGGTATTTAAAGACTAGTCTATAATAACTACTAAAATCTTTAATAATTATAGTAGTTTCTAATAATACTTAGAAAGAACTTTTAGAGATATCGACGCTACTTAAATAGCCGAACGAAAGCTATAAAAAATTAGATAAATAACTAGTATATTAATATACTTATTTAAGTTTTAATAAATTATATCCTATTTAGACTTATTTAATTAAGCGTATATTCTATATTATAAAATAGGACTTAAATCTAATATAAAGAATAAATTAGTATAAATCGATAAGCTAAAAACTCTAGACTAACTTATCGCGATTATAATTAAGATTAATAATTATATTAATAAATAATAATATAAGCGATAAGAAATAGACTAGTAGAAGAAAAGTAAGATTTATAGATTTAATCGCTTTAATAATAAATACTAATAGTAGGTACTTTAAGACTCTAATCTATATAGCCTAAAGCTAATAAAGTTAGATACTACTTAAGATAAGTAAAACGAGCGTTATTAGAAGAATCTTTATTTTATTTATAGAAAACTAGGATATTATATAAAAGAATATAAATAAAAAAAACTATATAAAAAATAATAATATATATAAGTAATATATAAAATATTATAAATAACTTAAAAGGGAAAGGCTACTATTAGTATAAGTACTAATACTAAAAAAATAAGCGTTAGTTAGGAATATTAGAAGGAAATATACCCTAATAAATAATAAGATAATTTAAAAGGGTAGATTAGGACCTTTATCGATAGCCTTTAATAGAAAAGGCGAATTATTATAGACCTAAAAGATAAACTCTTAGAAGATCTTATAGCTAGGTATAAAAGCCTAGATCTAAAAGAAATATTAGCGGATAATCTATATATTAAAAGGTTAGCTAATAAGTGTTACGCACTAATGTTACGGACCTGCCCGTCACCAATCAGTGGTGACCCACCAGGCACACCAATGGGCCATCGAGAGCCAACCAGGATACCTATCAGCAGATCACGTACAAGCTCACTGAGCAAGAGCATGATCCGCCCTGAGCGGATCCACCCCGCAGAGGATTTCCGATACATAGGTTGCTCTACGTACTAGACAACCACTACTCAGCATCACGTGATTATGCAGGTAGTAGAAGGGTAGTAAGTAGATCAGTAGAATCCGCCAAGGCGATTCTACTATTCTACTATCTACCATTCTACACAGGAAGAACTCAGGGATATATAAGGACACTCATTCATATATCTAGTTTAGTTCTTCGTCTTCAATCATACATTGTTACTTGTGTTTACCTTTTGGATTACTGTGACTCTTTACTTGATTATAACTTGACAACACTCACGAGCAGACCAATACTCCGGTATAGATCTACTCGGCGCTCTACCTGGCATCAGTTCCTTGATCGCTCAAAAGGACTTAGGCTACTATAAGGCCCTGCGCGGCATTAGCTCAGTTGAGACCCGATCATTGACGTTGGACCATTCGAGGAGTATTAAGGCAAGTATACCCTGAACCCATCTAACCTAACTGTGACCAGTTAGCTAGTGCGTAACAACTAACTAACTAGTCATAGTTAGGTTAGATAGGTTTAGGGTATACTTGCTAGACTTCGGCAGAACCCATTTTAGGTCGGAGTCTCCGACCTAAAACCCAACCCATTAGGTTATAGGTTCCGCCCTCTATAACCCAACCTAACCCAAAACCTAATAGGTTAAACCTAATAACCCAATAATAACCTATTTGAACCTATTTTTATATAAAATATAGGTCTTAGCGTTTATAACGATACTAAGTCATTCAAATAAATAACTGTTTTTTACAACTATTCTAGTTTATTTATCGAATATTACTATATTATCATAATATTAAGTTAGAAAATTTATATAATTACTCTAAATTTAAAGCTAATAGGCTTTATATTATATTAATTACCGATAAAAATTGATATTAATTATAGTATAGTAGTATTCTATTAATTTAAGTATTTATTAACTATAGACTATTAAAAATATATATTTATAGTAGAGGTAAGTATATATATATTATAGGATAAATATAAATAGAAATATCTTATTATTATTTTATTTTATATATAATTAATATTATATTAAAGCTATATTTCTCTTTTCTTATATTTAACTTCTTATACGTACTCTAAATTATATTTTCTAACCGCGGTCGGAAAATCACTTCTAGGAGGGTAGGTATATATATTATTATTTCTAACCGCGGTTAGAAAAGCTCTTCTTAGGGGGGTTATATTTACTATAACTTATAACCGCGGTTAGAAAAGCTCTTCTAAGAGGGTAGGTATATATATTATTATTTCTAACCGCGGTTAGAAAAGCTCTTCTAGGAGGGTAAATAAAATATTTTTAAAGGATCTTCTAGGGAGTAGGTTATAAATAGGTCCTTTTAGGTTTTAATAAGTTATAAATAGGTTCTCTTAGGTTTCGATAGGTTATAAATAGATTCTTATAGGTTTCGATAGGTTATAAATAGGTTCTCTCGGGTTTCGATAGGTCCTATTAGGTCCTATTAGGTTCTCTTAGGTTAGACCTATTTAAATTAAGCTTATATAGCTAATTATATAATATTATAGCTTATATCTTTTAATCTATCTACTTTATTATAGGACTAAGGTATTTACTATTTATATACCCTTCTCTTATAAGTATATACTCTCTCTATCTCTCCCTCTTACCTCTATAGTATTCCCCTTTTCGGTTATAATATCCTAAAGCTAGTATTCTAACTTTTTACCTACTCTTTATAATACGGATATAGATAATCTTAGCTATCTTATACCCTCTTCTTAAGTTCTAACCCTATCTAGTAGCTAGCTTATAATTAAGCCTTTTAATACTATTAATACTAGCTTCTTTCGGCCCTCCCTTCTACCGATTCTATACTCTCTTACTCGCGTTAGCCCCGATCGGAGAAAGGTATATATACTTTATAATAATATAGTATATAAAGAATAGGTTAAGTAGTAGCTATAAACTAACTATAGGTAGAAAAGTAAGATTTCCTAGGATTTAAATCGTAATTTAAATATATAGAGTAACTTCGACTAAGTTACCTATACTAAAGATAAAGCGCTAAAGGTAATATATAAGCGCTACTTAAAGATCCTAGAGTATCCCTATTCTCTATTATCTAGCGGAAAGGGCTATTATAGTATATTAATAATATTAAAGTATTTAAAGATAGTAGGCTATTATAAAGCTTAATAGGGAGGAAAAGGAGAAATTACCTAGTTCCTTTAAAAAGTAGTATCTCCTTACCTCTTTATTTAGTTATCCGATTTCCCTAATACTCCTAGATATATAGGATTATAGCTTACTAGAGGCTCCTTTTTTATAATTAGTATAGAAAGAGTATCTTCTCTAATTTCTTACCTTTAATCGACTTCTATTCTATTTTATCGAATATCTAATACTTTATAAGCTATTCCGATTAGCCCGCTTTATACTATCTCTCCCTCCGATACCCTTTACTACTATAATACGTCGTCGTTTATATAATATTATTATAGAACGATAGAAATCTATCCTCTAAATACTACCTAACGATATAAAAATCTTAATTATATTAGATTATTAGACTTCTCTATATAACTAGGCGTTTATAGCTATTACTAGCTATTTTATTAATAGTAACTAGGTATACTAAGAGGTTCTACTTAGATTTAAACTACTTTATAGCTCCTATACCGGTTTAAATCTAAGTAGTATACTCCTTAAAACTCTAGTTAAGTATAAGATCTAGGATCGGGTATTTAGAGTTATAACTAATAATATAACTAATAATAAGATAATAGTTAAGGCTATTTAATAGGCGCTTTCTAGCGATATAATAGTAATCCGAATACCCTATCTTATCTATATTATCTAGCTTTATTTAAACTAGCTCCTTAATCGTTTAAAGACTATCCCTTTAAATAAGAATATAAAAATAAAGTAGACTAACTAGAAGTTATCTATAGTAAAGGCAAATACTTAGTACTAAATATAGAGGATCTTATATACCTTAAATAAGGTCCGTTATCTTACTATATATATCTATATAAGTCTATAACGCTAGGCGGCCTTTCTCCGACTTTAAGAAAAGGGATCCTAGCTTATTCTAATCTAGGATATAAGGACTCGGTAGAATTCTACCTTCTTAATACTTCGTTATATAAAGAGACTATATAGTTTCTTCTAGCCCTTTTATAAGAAATATAACTATAAAGAGATATTACTTAATAATTAAGAATAGTATTAAATTAACTATTTTCTATAAATTACTCGGCTATTCTTTAACTATATAATAGAGCTCTCGAAGATAAAGGAGATTACTATATATCTTATCTTTAAGATTTATAATACCCTTTTTAATCACTTTTTTAAAGTAGAGGCGCTACTTAAATATAAGCGTATTCTATAGAAATTAGATATACTTAAAGTACTTATAGCTAGTCGCTTAAAACTTAATAAGTACTACTCTTAAACCGATAATCTTAAAGGATATATCTATATAATTAAGATAATACTAGTACTTAATAGTAGATTTTAGTTCTTTCTATCTAATAATTAAAAGCCTTACTAGCGTAATATCTACTAGAAATCGTTCTAGGAATTATTAATTCTATATTAAAAGCGTCTTATAATAAATTAAGGATCGACTAATACTCTAATAATAGTATTATCTAGTTCTAGGCTAAATAAGATACTAAAGAGTAATAAGATATCTATAAAGCTAGTTAGTAATAAGATAACTTAATATCTTAATAGTAGTATATTTATAATCTATTTCTTCCCTATATAGGATAATACTAATATATTTATACTACTAGATCTAATTAATATTAAACCTCTTTAATTTTAGTAGGAGAACTAATCTCGTTTCCTTATAATCGCGTTACTTACTTACGATATTCTCTCTATTCTAGTAACTAGTACTAATATCGAACGGCTCTTTAATATTACTTAGGATATTTATTACTACCGCTATAGTTATCTAAAGTCTAAAATAATCGAGGAGCTTATATTATTTCTATATATAATAAGATTTAATATTAAGGATACCGAGGTAAAGTAGCTTAAGTAGTTCTTTATACTAGCTAAGATTAAGTTAGCGAAGGAGTAGAACGATAAATATATAGAGGATACTAAGCTTAACCTAATTAGTAATAATAAAGAGGAAGAAGGAGTAGATAATAGACTATAAGAGATATCTCCTTATTTAATAGATATAGATATAGAGGTAATAGAGCTAGAGTTACTAGAGACTATAACTTAGAGACGGGCCTTAGGGAGGAAGCGTAAGAGTAGGGTAGATAAGGATTTCGAGTAATATTAGAGAAATATATCCTAATTTAATTATTTAATTTATTCTTAATTTATTCTAGAAGAGCGCTATAAGTAAAATACTCAATATTATAAGTAAAAAATATATTAATTATATAGTTATATACTAGAAGTCTATTTGTCTAGTTTATACTATATTAGGGCCCTAATAGGTTACCTAATAGGTTTTGGGTTATAAGCTATAACCCAAAACCTATCGTTAGGTCGAAGTAATAGACCCAAAACCCATTTTAGGTTGGGTTAGGTTGGGTTGGGTCCGGGTTAGAGTGGGTTGTGCCGAAGTCTAATACTTGCCTTAATACTCCTCGAATAGTCTAACGTTAATAATCCGGTCTTAACTAAGCTAATACTACGCTAGGCCTTACTATAGCCTAAGTCCTTTTGAGCGATTAAGGAACTAATACTAGGTAGAGCGCCGAGTAGATCTATACCGGGGTATTAGTCGACTCGTAAGTATTATTAAGTTATAATCAAGTAAAGAGTTATAGTAATCTAAAAGGTAAATATAAGTAATAATATATAATTAAAGACGAAGAACTAAACTAGATATATAAATAAGTATCTTTATATATCCCTAAGTTCTTCCTATATAGAATAGTAGATAGTAGAATAGTAGAATCGCCTTAGCGGATTCTACCGATCTACTTACTACCTTTCTACTACCTATATAATTATATGATACTAACTAACCGTCTTCTACGTATAGCGGTTGTCTGGTACGTAGAGTAACCTATATAACGGTAATCTTCTGCGGGGTGGATCCGCTTAGGGCGGATTATGCTCTTGCTTAGTGAGCGCGCACGTGATCTGCTGATAGGTCTGCTGGTTGGCTCTTGATGGCCCATTGGTGTGCCTGGTGGGTCACCACTGATTGGTGACGGATAGGTCCGTAACAGATAGTTAGTGCTTGTGCTTGCTTATAATGCTTGGCAAATTTATTGGTTGCTTTTGTATGATGTGTTTAACTACGAGACTGACACTAATGCTTCTATCTGCTAATTTCGGTGCACGATCATATTTCTAATCCGGAAGGTAGTGAATGACAAGAGTTAAGAGTAACTGGTTTCATTGGCTTGCAGGATGCATGGAAATATTTTTGAGGGGCGTAGGATATACATTCCATCCCCGAACAGGTTACAGCTGCGAGTCCTAGCTTTACGTGGACGACAATCAGGCCCCCTTCAATCTAACCTTCACTCCGTTACTAGACGAGAGTGTGAGAGTAAGCTGTTCGGTCCACGGAGCAGAATCTCGGGCCTCGATCGTCTGGAATGTTTGCGCAAACCGGACCAGGACGTACATCGCCTCTGTCAACGCATATTGTTGCCCGAGACAGATCCGGGGGCCCCCATTGAACGGGAGAAACTCCTGGAAAAATGGGTTTACAGTTAGCTTGGGGTTGTCAAACACCGTGATGGGGAAAGGCTTTCTTACCCAGGAGAACCTTTGCGTAGCCCATCGTTCAGGGCGGTATTCCTCAGCGTCTGGGCCGAATAGGTCTGTCCGACGATGCATGGCATAGACAGTGTAGATCATGGTGCAACCCTTGGGGACAAACACGGGGCCATCACCCTTGGGGCCACCGCCCCGCGGAAGGATCGTGTCGCAGACAGCCATCTTGGTATTGTTGGGGACGGGGGGATACAGCCGAAGCGTCTCATTGATGCAGTACCGCGTGTACTGGAGATTGCGGAGTTGCTCGTAGTTGGGGGCTGCACCCTGCAATTGAGCAGCTACCTCACTGCGGAGCTTCTGCCACACGTCGGGGTGACGAGCGAGCACGTAAAAAAGACTCCCCAGCAGGCTCGCCGTGGTATCTCGTCCGGCGATGAGGATGTTCAGCAATTCATCTCGGATCCGGTCCCGGTCGTCTGTGGCTTGAGCCAGCTCCTTGAGGAAATAGCTACGGTCCGAGGAGTTTTTGTCGCTCGAATTAGCTTTCCCTTGGCGATAGGCGATGGCATCCGAAACGAAGCCTTCCACATATCCTCGGCAGATCTCATACGCAGCCAGTGCCTCCCGGTTGGGCCGGCGAAGGGCGCGCCACGGACCCAGCCGGAACTGGAGGGCAATGTCGTCCAGCGCGAGGGCGAAGGCCTGGCCGAATTGCTGATCTTTGGCGGTCCCTCGGCTGAGGGTATGGAGGGAGTGGCCGAAGAGGAAGTCCGTAGCCGAGTCCAAGGTGAACCGGAGAAAGAGGTCTTGGAGCTCGATGACGGTGCGGCCGTCGGACGGGATCAGTTTCAGCAGCTGCGCCAGGTGCGTTTCGATCATCCGCAGGTCGGCTACTTGCTCCTTGACGAAGTTTGGGCGGAGCAAGGCCCGCGAGTGCGACCAGTCTTGGCCGTCACTCACGAAGATCCCGCGTCCCAGAAGCGGGCCCATGATAGGGACGCGGTTGCCGAGGGAGTAGTCTTTAAACCGGGTCGACAGGATCGTCTTGATGTTTTCGGGGTCGGAAGTGAGTATCCCTCGACGATTGAAGACACGCACGCCGTAGGTTGTACCCAAGGTTTGATAACGGTTCTTCAGAGTCTCCAGATACTTGTGGCGACGGAAGGTAGTAACATTCTGATAGACAAAATCGAGGCCAAAAATCCGGTCTTTGTGCGGATACATTCGTAGAGGCTGACAGCCTTGATTCAAGGGATCAGGGCGTTGGCGCTTCGAGAAGAATGAACGATAAAGAGCCATGCTGACAACTAGAGCGATAAAACACGCTATGGCGACAGACGCCACAGAATATTGTTGCATACTGTCTTTATACTTATCCCACCAGAACAGGAGGTGATGGACCACAAATGACTGAGGGGGCGGAGCTGGAGTTGGAGCTGGACCGGAAACAAGAGACAATGACCTCCAATCTAGGGCTGAGAGCCTGCTCACAATGTCTTCGATCTTCATTCTAGGGATGCAGTCGGTTACAAATGTCTTCTTGATTGACAGACACAATCTTCATCCAACCACTTTTGGGCGACGGTCGGAATAGTTCGGGCTTTTGTTCCTCAAACTTGAAGGTGCACAAACAAGCGTCAGCCGGCGTTCGGGGCAGCCAATCTACACCGAATTCCTCCAGACTCAAAATCGGCGATATCTCTTACTCAGAGTGAGAACGCGGTCAGAACCTATAGATTCCGATCAATTCGATACCATGCTTACCTAGACGATCTTGCAGGATTCGGTGATGGGCACAGTTCCACGCCGAGCGGCTCGGCCAATGCTTAGGTTGCTTCACCCCCAATTCAGATATCTACCTTAATTGACAGACGTAGGGCTCGTGGTGCATGCGTACAGCAGATCAATTTCTCTCCAACAAAGTCTTTCACTCATTGTATCTTCTCTAATGCCATGGCCTACATTCCGCCTTCCTCCGAGCCCATCGCAATCATCGGCAGTGCCTGTCGCTTTCCGGGCCATTCCACTTCTCCGTCAAAGCTATGGGAACTGTTGAGCAACCCATACGATCTTACTGAGAAAGTACCAGAGGGACGATTCAATGTAAATGGATTTCACCATCCGGACGGCGAGCATCATGGTACCACCAATGCTCCCAATGGCTACTGGCTAGAGGAAGACCCGCGACGATTCGACAGCACATTTTTTAACATCACACCCAAGGAGGCGGAGGCTATTGATCCACAAGGAAAGGTGCTTTTAGAAACCGTCTACGAAGGTCTGGAGTCGGCCGGCCTTACCTTGGAAGGCTGTTCAGGATCGTCGATTGGTGTTTATGTGGGAACAATGACGGCCGACTACGACATTCTCACGGGCAAAGACGAACTTACCTTCAGCCAATATTGCGCTACAGGCACCTCCCGGGCCATCATCTCTAACCGCGTCTCCTACTTCTTCCACTGGAACGGTCCATCCATGACGATCGACACCGCGTGCTCCTCCAGCCTAGTCGCCATGCATCAGGCGGTTCTGGGCCTACGTAGCGGGGAGAGTACCATGGCGTGCGTCGCCGGAGCGAACCTGATGCTCAGTCCGGAACCATTCATCTGCGAGTCGAGCTTGCATATGCTGTCTCCGGACGGGAAGTCGAAGATGTGGGATCAGTCCGCCGATGGGTATGCCCGGGGAGAAGGAGTCGGGGTGGTGTTCCTCAAGACGCTCTCACGGGCCCTCGCGGACCGGGATCATATCGAATGTATTATCCGCGAGACAGGGGTCAACTCTGACGGGCGGACCAAAGGCATCACTATGCCCAGCTCCGTTGCTCAGGCCGCTCTGATTCAGGACACTTACCGAAGGTCTGGGCTCGACGTGCTGAACCCTGACCATCGCTGCCAGTACTTCGAGGCGCATGGTACAGGAACACAAGCGGGCGACCCGACGGAAGCCGAAGCAATATACAAGGCCTTCTTTGGTGATGAACCGCAGGAAGAGGGTTCAATTCTGGTAGGGTCAATCAAGACAATCATCGGACATACGGAAGGGGCAGCGGGCGTGGCAGGAGTCTTGAAGGCGGCTCTTGCCCTAAAACACTCCCAAGTCCCGCCAAATCAGCATCTCAAGTCCATGAATCCACGCGTTGTTCCCTTTGCATGTCGATTACATGTCCCCAACACCCTCACGCCGTGGCCGAGTGTTCGACCTGGTCATCCGCTGCGTGCCAGTGTGAACTCGTTTGGCTTCGGCGGCACGAATAGCCACGCCATCCTAGAGAGCTACGTCCCAGCCATTCACGGTGGCCTTCCAGCAGTCAGCCTTGCCAAACCGATCGAGCATATTCCGAGATTCCCATTTGTGTTGTCGGCCAATTCAGCCCAAACGCTCAAGAAAAAGGTCAAACAATACATCGAGTTACTGCATTCCAAACCTCAGATCGATCTCCATGACTTGGCCTGGACAATGGCGACGCGTCGGTCAGAACTACCGTATCGCGTGGCCTTCTCCCCAGTCGCCGGGCGAGAAAAGTTGCTTCAGGAGATGCGAGAGCGACTGCAGGCGGCCGAGGGAAGCTCAGCACTTGGGATACGATCCAAGACAGTTAATCATGATCGCGGTCGCATTTTGGGGATCTTCACCGGACAGGGCGCCCAGTGGCCCCAAATGGGTCAGCAACTAATCCAGAGGTCATCGCACTTCAGAAGAGTGATTGAGAGTCTCGATGCCGTCCTCCGGTCATGTCCGGATCCGCCCGCGTGGTCTATCGAACAAGAACTCCTTGCTCCGCCCACATCATCGCGTCTGGGCGAGGCAGCCCTGTCTCAGCCATTGTGTACAGCCATTCAGATTGCTTTGGTTGACCTACTCCATGAGGCAGGGGTAGAGCTAGCGGCTGCAGTGGGCCACTCCTCGGGGGAGATTGGTGCTGCCTACGCTTCAGGTATCCTGACGGCTCAGGACGCTATCCTCGTCGCATATTATCGAGGCTTCCATGCCGGCTTGGCACAAGGACCAGGAGGATGCCGCGGGGGGATGATGGCGGTTGGGATGGGGGTGAACGAGGCTCTCGAATTCTGTGAACAGCGTGCTTTCCTTCATCACCTTCACATTGCAGCCAGTAACTCACCGGCAAGTGTCACCATCAGCGGAGACCTGGAGCAATTGAAGCAGGCGAAGACACTGCTCGATGAACGAGGCACTTTTGCTAGACTCCTGAAGGTCGACACTGCATACCATTCTCATCACATGGATCAGTGTGCCGCTCCATACCTACAGTCTCTACAGACATCTAAAATCACACCCATGACCCCCAAGCGTTCATGTGTCTGGGTGTCCAGCGTGTATGGACCATCAGGAGCTCCTACGCTAAGAGAGCTGTCATGTCGCTATTGGAAAGACAACATGGTGCAACCGGTATTTTTCACCGAAGCTGTTACCCGCGCGTTGAGAGAAGAAGGCCCCTTTGACATGGTGCTGGAAATCGGACCTCATCCTGCGCTTCAGGGTCCTGCTGTACAGACGATGCAGGAGGTCAATGGATCGGCTCTGCCTTATGCAAGCTTATTGCACCGCGGTCGGGATGACCTGACCTCCGTCATATCGACACTGGGTCTTGTTTGGAGTCTGCTGGGTAGCTCTTCAATCAATTTCAACTCTCTATCCATGGCACTGGGCAAGGAAATGTCGGATTGCCCGGTAGTCAAGGATCTTCCCCCTTATCCTTGGGATCATACCCACATGTATCACCGACAGCCCCGGATGGCCAAACAATACCTCAACCGGCCTGCTCGCCCTCATGAGCTACTAGGGGTGCGAACCAGCGACGACACGGAATCGGAATGGCGCTGGAGAAACTTATTGAAACCTGGCACTCTACCGTGGCTCAAAGATCATCGCTTCCAGGACCAGATCATTGTTCCTGCAGCAGCATACTGTGTCATGGCATTTGAAGCTGCCCGAGCGTTGACCACGAAACCGGTCAAGTTGGTGGAAATCCAGAATCTATCGATCAAACGAGGTATCACCATGAGCGACGACTCCCAGGGAATCGAGACAATTTTCATGCTAAGAAAGGAGCCTACCCTTCCTGGTGAAAGCGTAATCTCGGCTTCATTTATCCTCGACTTTGTCCCAGGCGATGCTGACGCTCAGGGCACGAATGCTGTCAAGGGAACTGTTCACCTGCATCTGGGCGAGCCCTCGGCGGAGACTTTGCCACAGAGAAATCAATTCCCCTCTTCTGATTTGAATCGGGTTGATCTAGATGAGTTTTACAATTCCATCCAGGATATTGGACTGGGATACACGGGACCGTTCCGCGCGATGACTTCCCTCCAGCGACGTCTAGATTTCGCGACAGGAACGCTGCCAAAGCCACACCCTGCTGAGACTTCGAACCTTCCCGTAGCTCCCTCCCTTCTTGATGCATGCTTCCAGGCTGCATTTGCTGCCTATGCCGCACCGGGCGATGGGTCGCTTTGGACATCTTTTCTCCCTCATGAAATCCAGAGTATACGCTTCAATCCACTACTGTGCCCCGTGATGCCTGGTCCAGCCGCAACGATCAATGTGGACGCGGTGATTACCCAGCTCTCCTCGGCATCCTCCGAGTCTCCCGCCAATTTCTCTGGCGATATATGCGTCTTCAATTCCAACGGTGACATGGAGATTCAGGTGGAGGGTCTCACCGTCGTCGCATTATCATCTACCGGCACAGGGAATGACTGTGAGCTCTTCATCGAAACGGTCTACAAGCCAGACCCGTACACCGGTATCGTCGAGTCTAGATCCGAAAGCATCAACGAGGACTATGTAGCCCTGCAGCGCGAGTGCATGCGCATAGCCAACTATTTCTTGCAGCCCGATCGTGTAGTGGGCAAGCTTCAGCAAACACCCGATTCTATGAAAAACGGATTACCAGACTCACCGTTCCGCGCCTATTTGGAGCTTCTCATCTCGTGCGGCCGGAGAGCGCCATCTCGCCTGCCAACGTCAATCACAGAGATTCTCATGGACTTCAACGAGCAGAGCGCGCTACAGAGTCACATAAGAGCCTCTGTGTCACAGATTAGTCATAGGTTTCCTCAACTTCGGGTGCTAGAAATTACCTTGGGTGAACCGCAGAAATTTATTACGGATGCTGTCGTGTCTGGTCTGGCGGCGTCTTTCCAACTCTACACTCATTTGTTCGAGAGCACAGAAACAGCCACATCAGGCTCACTTTCTGGACAGACGAGCAATCAGGACTCCAGATTCCGATTCCTTGCTATCGACAAGACCGCCCCATTAAGCGAGCAGTTCACCGAAGAAACCTTTGACCTGGTCATCTTATCTGACGGTAAACGTAAGAATACCGCGCTCACAGGTCAATTGGATGCTGTTCATCAGCTCATGTCACCCGGCGGATATGTATTTTGCGTCCACACAACGGGGATTTCGCTCCATGATCGACTTCAGAACCCTCAAAAGCATCATCAATCCTTGTCCCTGCAAACATTACTGCGTGGAACACCGCGAGCACAGGGTGACTTTGATCTCATCTCGTCATGGACCAGTCCTTTGAGCACTATTTCACTCTCAATCAGACAGTCCATGAGCGCAGATGTTCGGAATCTCCTTTCACCGTTGACCGCATCCGACGTATCCTATATGTCCGATACAGTTCTGTTAGTCGGTGGAGGGACACTCGAGACAGCGCAGTTGAGTAATCATCTTGCAGCCATTCTCCGAGATAAGTCCTTAAATGTGGTACCCGCACAACGCCTGGAAGATGTGGTCTCTACTTCTATGGCAGCTGTGAAGGCAGTTATCGTTTTGTCTGATCTGGACAAACCGGTTCTGTCTTCCGTCAGTTCATCCGAGGTCTCGTCTCTTAAAAAGATCTTGGTACCAAATATGTCTGTTCTTTGGCTCACGTCAGGTTTTCGCGAAGACCAGGCTTACCATTACGGTACCATAGGGCTTTTCCGCTCTGTCCGGACTGAAACGCCACAGCTGAAGCTTCAGATCTTGGACGTTGCGGACATACCTGGGACCGAGACCGTCATTGCAGAGTGCTTCCTTCGCCTTATCACATATGTCGATTCTGAGTCCACTCCGTTATGGACTTCGGAGCCAGAGATCGTTTGGGACGGACAGCATTTGCTAATCCCCCGCATGCTTCCTATCGAGGATCTCAATCGCAGATATAACTCCACTCGTCGGGTGGTTCACAACTACCTAGATGCATCGCTGCAATCTGTCCAGGTCTCCGCTCGCTGGAATGGAGACACATACACCCACCATGCGGTGGAGACGACTCCGTCCAAAGCATCAGCCTCTGCCAATGCGCATTCCATTGATCTTCGAGTATTGTATTCCAGCGCCTGGGCAATTGAAATTAGGGAAGGCTTCCATGCCTTCGTCAGCGTTGGGATCGACAGCGATTCGAGACACTTCCTTGCACTATCGCCCACCAACTCCTCGCTTATCACCGTATCAGAGGCCCTTGTCCAAGCGCTCCCTGCAACTGGTCTGGATATATCTGCTTTGCTGCACCAGGTTGTGGCAATATTTCTTGCTCAAAGCTTACTTCGGCAGGCCAGCCCAGGAGCTCTGCTGGTTCACGAAGCCGACTCCTTCTTTGCTGATACCTTACAGCGACTCAATGATGGTGAGCGAGTCCTGTGTTTCTCTACCACTGATCCAGAGTTGGAAGACAATCGCTTCATCCGGCTCCATCCGCTCTCGACCAAGGATGTCATCAGAGCAGCTGTATCCTCATCCAGAATTGATAGCGTCGCAGATTTCAGTTTGGGGCTCATACCGTCCGCGCTAGCTGGTTTGAATTCATCAACATGCTCATTAATCAAGCCATTTGATTTGTTAGTCAAGACTCAGGGAAGTATTTTGGACAATGAGAAAAGTCTGGGCGCTGCCCAAGACGTCCTTCTCGTCGTCAGATGGGCAGTCGAGACTGCACTGGAAGAGCTCAGTTCCTCACCAAACCAGCAGATGATAATTCCTGTATCGAACGTCCTAGATAAAGGGCTACAACCTCTGGGCACTGTTCTTGATTGGAATGAGAACGTCCGTATGCCCCTGCGTGTTGAAAGAATTGATCCGGCGTCTCAGATGCGTGGTGATAGAACCTATGTGATGATTGGCCTGACCGGAGAGCTGGGTCAGAGTCTGTGCCAGTTTATGGTCTTGCACGGAGCTCGTCACTTAGTTGTTGCGAGTCGGTAGGTCATCCCCTATTCTTTTGCATTCACCTATCTTGTATCCCGCATTTGCTGTATTGCTGACAATCCCTTGTCTAGAAACCCGGCTAAGTCACCTGCCTGGAAGGCTAATCTCGAGAAGCAAGGAGCCACGATCCAGGTTCTGAGCGTGGATGTCACTAATGCTGACGCCGTACGACAGCTGCGCGTGGACCTGGAATATCGCATGCCGCAGGTTGGAGGCATTGTGAACGGCGCAATGGTTCTATCCGACGGTCTCTTCGCCGACATGCCAGTCGAATCTCTCCAGAAAGTCCTGGCACCCAAGGTGATCGGATCTCAAAACTTACACGATGTGTTCTCCGGGGTGGATCTCGACTTCTTCATCATGTTCTCATCCTTGACCGGAGTGCCAGGAAATCAGGGCCAATCCAACTACACGGCTGCCAACATGGTAAGGCTTTCAATATTTTTGCTATAGTTTTAGGATCAGGATAATGACTCATAGGTGTGAAATAGTTTATGGCCGGTCTAGCGGCCCAGCGACGGAAGGCTGGACAAGCTGCTGCCGTTCTGGACATTGGCATGGTTTCTGGAATTGGATACATCAACCGCACGGATGGAGCCAAGATCTACGCCAACCTAAAGCGTCAGGGTTACATGCCGATCTCTGAACGAGACATTCACTGCATGTTCATTGAGGCCATCCATTGCGGACGACCCACGTCTAAGGCTGGTGTCCAACTGACGACCGGCCTCCAACGGTTTGGCATCGAAGGAGAAGAGCCATTGTACTGGCACACGGACCCTCGCTTCTCGCATCACCGACTGCTCCGGAATGGGACGCACAAGCGTACGGCCTCTTCCTCGGTGGAGAGTCTCAAGAGCCGGATCTCGGATGTGCAGTCCCAGGCAGCTATTGCCTCGATTCTGAAGGACAGTTTTGCGTCCCACGTTGAAACGATGCTCCACCTTGGCCAAGGCAGTTTGGACAAGGAGACTGCCATTATCAACCTTGGCGTTGATTCATTGATGGCTGTCGAGATTCGGTCGTGGTTCTTGGCCGAGGTGGAGAAGGATATGCCTATCTTGAAAGTGCTTGGGGGCTCGTCTGTGGCTACTCTGGCGGAAGAGGTGGCCAAAGAGATCTTTGAGGATCGCAGCACGTCCGTTCCGGTGGACCTGGACAAGGAATCCCTTGATATGCAGTCTGTGCATGGCAGCTCGACAGATCCCTCGAGCAACAGTGACAGCAAATCCGGATTTGACAGTTTTTCATCGGACGACTCATCGGACATAGCCAACGACGACTCGGACCCAACAGCATATTGTGACCAGATTGAGCCCATGTCTCTGAGTCAGGCTCGGATGTGGTTTCCGTATCTTATGCTTCAAGACAAAACAGCCTACAATTGTACTACATCGTACCGTTTGGTAGGCCAGTTGGATATTTCTCGCTTTGAGCGCGCTCTCCGTTCACTTCTGCAGTCCCATCAAGCCTTCCGCACACTCTTTTACACTGACCACGAAACCGGTGAGGCAATGCAGGCCATTGTACCTACATCCTCGACCTTCTCCCTCCGAAAGGTAGGGCCTGCAAATGACTCGAGCGACGTGAGGGTAGAACACGACGGGGTGGCGCAGCATGTATACGAGCTGGAACGTGGCGATAGCTTCATTGCGACGCTCATCACTCATCAGCCAGACTATCATACTGTCATCTTTGGGTACCACCACATTATTCTGGACGGCGTCAGCTGGCAGATTTTCCTTCAAGAATTGGACAAGTTCTACGGTGATCCCCAGCGACAGCCATCGTTGGGTGTAGACTTCCTGGATTTCTCCACGCGGCAGCATCACGATCTTACTTCCATCCCCTCCCTGTCTAAGAGACAGTTCTGGAAGACGACCTTCTCCTCCGGGACCTTACCCGAACCTCTGCCTCTGTTCCCATTTGCTAAAGTGCCTACGCGCATGCCGCTGACGCAGTATCGGGTGACTGAGTATTTCGTGGAACTGGATCGTTCGCTGGCGGCCAAGATCAGATCAGCCAGCACTGAGAATCAGACGACCGCTTTCCACTTTTACCTATCAGTCTTCAGCATCATGATGTATCGGATATTGGGCGTAACTGACATGTGCATCGGTATGACGGATGCCAATCGCAATGATCAGGCTTTCCTGGAGACGATCGGGCTGCTTTTGGACATGCTCCCCTTGCAGTTCCGCCTCGACAAAATTGCATCAGACAAAACTGCATTCGCGGATCATCTTCGGGCGACTCGTGATCTGGTCTATTCTGCTCTTGGCAATTCCGGGGTGCCTTTGGAGACGATCCTGCAAGATATCGGCGCGGAGAGTTCTGCCACTGAGCTGCCTCTATTTCAGGCAGTGGTCAATTACCGAATGGGAGCTATTAAGCACAAGAAGATCGGTGATTTGGGTCTGGAGTATCTCTCCTACGAGGATGCACGCCACCCGTTCGATTTTATTCTGACCATCGACGAAGATGAGGGTCGTGCGGGTCTCACCCTGTCCATGCAAGACTATCTCTACGACAAGGCTGGTGCGAACATCTTCCTCGATTCGTATATCCATCTCCTGGAGTTCTTTGCCGTGACACCAGCTTCTAATGTTGCGAAGCTGCCCGTCTTTGCTCCTGCTCTCGAGCACACTGCCATTGAGCTGGGAACTGGTCCTCGCCTCCCAAATAGCTGGGAGGAGCCAACACTCGTCCATCGCATTGACCATATGGCCGCTAAGTACCCATCGGATGAGGCCCTTCGGGATGATAGCGGCTCTTTGAGCTATAAGGCCATGTCCGACCGCGCCAACGCCATTGCAACCCAGCTGCTCGCTGTCGGGGCACAGGTGGGCACGCGTGTAGCCGTCTTCGGGGTGCCTTCTACCGATAATGTCTGCTCTCTGCTTGCCATCTTGCGTATCGGCGCGATTTATGTCCCCTGCGATGTGCGAAGCTCGGACGAGCGTCTTCGCACAATTCTTACGGAATCTGAAGCCACAGTTGTGATCGTGGACCGAGAAACCATTACACGGTTCGGAAAATTCCGCCCAGAAACCGTGCAACAAACCGTCCAGCTCTCAACGGTTGTAACCCCATCAGCGCAGTCCTCTCCGGTGTATAATGAGGCGACCAGCCAGGGCCTGGCCTTTATCATGTTCACCAGCGGCTCAACGGGAACCCCCAAGGGAATCAAACTCACGCATTCGAACTTCCTCACGCACGTGCAGTCTGCCTCTGCCTATATGAAGCTTGGACGGGAGGTGGTGCTGCAGCAAAGTGCGGCGAGCTACGACGCTTCCCTGGCCCAAATATTCTACGCCCTGGTCAACGGTGGCCGGTTGGTGGTGGCCGACAATCTCCGTGACACGGCAGGCCTTGCATCCATCCTCCAGAAAGAGGCCGTGACCTTCACGCTGATGGCGCCGTCCGAGTACTTGCTGCTCATGGAGTATACTGGGGATATTCTGGCGCGGTGTTCCAATTGGTCGGTGGCTATGTGTGGTGGTGAGGCTTTCCCACCGCGGTTAAAGCAGGATTTCAGGCAGCTCGGACACGCACAGTTGCGGGTCTATAATGCTTACGGTATGTTTTATTCTGATACCCTTTTAAGGGGAGAGAGGGAGTTTTGCTAACAGGATAAACCTCTGACAGGACCCACGGAAATTGCGGTAGCGTCGAACATCGGCGAGGTGCCGATTCCCGGGAAAGAAGACGGTGATTCAAATTATGGTGAAAGCCATGTTCCGATCGGGCCTGCTCTCCCGGAATATAATGTCTACCTGGTCAATGAGAAGATCGATCCAGTTCCCCTGGGCTGTCCGGGTCAGATCGCCGTCTCCGGTCCCGCCGTGAGCGCGGGCTATCTCAATAATGACCGGTTTACGAATGACAAATTCCGGATGGTCGGTGAAAGATTCCACCCAGAAAAGAGCACGAGAGTATATCTGACCGGGGATCTGGCGCGGATGCTATCTGATGGCTCGATGGTGTACCTCGGGCGCATTGAGTCTGACACGCAGATCAAGCTTCGCGGTATTCGAATCGAACTTGGGGATATCGCCAACACAATTATGAAGACGTCGCAGGGGGTCATTGCGAACGCCGCTGTCGGGGTCCGCAACCCTGGTCCGGACCAGTTCCTGGTTGCGTATGTAGTTCTGGCTGCAGAGAAGGGGAAGAGGCCCGCCAACGTGCGGCATTATCTGGCACAGTTGCTTGCTGATCTCCCGTTGTCACAGTCTATGAAACCAGCGGTTGCTGTGGATGTGGGCAGTAGTCTACCCATGACTTCCAGTGGGAAGCTGGACCTGAAAGCCCTCACTGCTCGTCCGCTTCTCGCTTCTGGGGATGGGGATGAGGATGATACCACCGAAACCGGTGCTGGTGTGGACTCAGTTCTCTCCGACATTCAAGGCAAGCTTCGCGGTATCTGGAGTCGTGCCCTGGGTCATAGCAGCATTCCTATTACTCCAGGGTCCAATTTCTTTGCCGTGGGTGGTAGTTCGCTGTCATTGTTGAAGATGCAAGCGCTTATTCAACGGGAATTTGATCTGCGGATTACCCTGCCTGAACTATTCCGCGCGAGCACATTTGGTGCCATCGCCGAGCGAATTCTGAGACGTTTGTCCGCCGGCTTCATGGTCGAAGGACTTCAGGCTACTGTGCCCTCCTCCCCTGTCGACATTATTGACTGGAGTAAAGAGACTGCTCTCTCTCAGACCCTTCGATCCTTGGCTTCTTCCCAGGCGGACAGCCGAACCCCTCCCATCCGTCGCCGTCCCCTGACTGTGATCCTTACCGGAGCGACGGGCTTCCTCGGACGCGCTATTGCCCGTGCGCTCCAAGCCCGTGACGATGTGCTTCACATCCACTGCATCGCCGTGCGCAACCCGCTGTCCAGTGCCGCCCTGGAGCTCGAACGCACCTGCGACAAGGTAATCTTGCATGCAGGCGACCTCGCCGTCCCCTTCCTCGGCATGTTGGAGGAGGAAGCCCGGCTGGTGTTCGAGGAAGCCGACGTGATCGTCCACAATGGGGCCGACGTCTCTTTCCTGAAGCCCTACCAGACCCTCCGCGGACCCAACCTCCGCGCCACGCAGACCCTCGTCGAGATGACCGCCCACCGCCAGGTGCCCTTCCACTTCGTGTCCACGGCCGGCGTCGCCACCCTATTGGGGGGTACCCCGATCGTCGACGAGATCTCCCTCGCCAACCAACCCCCGCCCACCAGCAGCACTGGGGAGGAGGTCCTGATCGACGGCTATGTCGCCTCCAAATGGGCCAGCGAGACCTACCTCGAGAACGTCCACGCCCAGCTCCAGATCCCCGTCCGCATCTACCGCCCCTCCAGCATCACCGGCCCCGACGCCCCCGCCCTCGACGTCATGCACAACGTCCTCAACCTCTCACGCCGAATGCGCGCGCTCCCAGACCTCAGCGCCTGGACGGGCCACTTCGACTTTATTCGCGTGGAGACTGTGGCCGAGGAGATTGCTGTCGGTGTTACCGCTACCGCGACTATGACTACTACACCTCGCGCAGCAGCATCAGCATCATCATCGCGTCTTGAATTCATCCATCTATCCGGGGAGAAACTCATCCCAGTCTCAGAGGCCCGCGTGCACCTAGAAAAGGAGACTGGCTATGCCTTCCGCACTGTAGAGATAGCCGAGTGGTGCCGCGAAGCCACGGGTCATGGGCTTCCCGCCCTGGTGGCGGGGTATTTGGAGAGCTTGCAGGGTCAGTCGCTCTCGTTCCCGCGGTTGCAGTCGTGGATTGCGGAGCAGGGGGGCCGAGGGGTGGTTGTTTAGGGGTTTAGGGAAGGAAGGTAGAGGTGGTTACTTGGTTTTGAGTCTGGTCAGGATGGGTGTCTGTTATACTCCTCTGATGCCGCTCATGACGGATTTGCTCGAAGGATAGCTGCCATGTCGTAATGAGCGCATGCCGAATATTAGGGTCTTGCCGGAGGTCTTTGGCGTCCTCATGCTGAAAAAAATGTGTCGGGTTCGACTCGATCTCACGGAACAACTGAAGGTACCGGGAGACCGTATGAATTGATGTCTTGAAGCAACTTGAACGCGATGTTATACAAAATTGTAGAACTTCCATCTCACTTTGGTTTTCCAACTTTCAAGGCTTATTCGGGACAAATTGAAGACGCAAAATATATCACCTTAAAATTATTTTTTTCGGAGTCTTCTCCGTGACTCTGTTCCATGGACTCGTGGGAGACGAAGTGCCCCTCTTCTTTTTGACGCTTTTCCACTCCATCAACACAACACCAAGAGCAACAATACAAGAAATAATGAGGCCCACACGGAATGTCTGCCGCAGTGCCTAATTGCTCGTATTTGTACACGCCTACATTGTCAATAGCCATGTGGAGTCACGGATACATAAGGCGAGTCAGTCTCTGCAAAACTGTGCAACTATCCGGATAATAAGTTGACCGTGTCGAGTAAACAGAGAGGCCAGTATCACCCATGCCTTTCAGACAAGTCACAAAGCCCAAACAGTGCAGTTTCACTCTCACCCCCATCTTTTGTAAGGCCCAACATGCAATGGGTGAGGAGGGTTGTCATAGATGCCGTTGATACTCGATTAATTGACCACTATCTTCTACTATTAGTTGATCAAATTAAACGTATTAGTCCTTTCAAATGTGAGTTCAACGTGAGGTCAAGAAAGAGCATGGTGGGCAGTGAAAATGCGCCTTAATTATAATCCGAGAGTCCAAAGCAGAGCATCAACCAAAAGGTGCAGTAAACGTTGAAATAAACGGTGAAAACAGTGAAAGCCGCTGGTTTCAACTCAGACTTCAGAAAAATGAGGGGACTGGTGAATTTGAAAGGATTGGCTAAAAAACAGCACCTTCTCCACTCAAAGCCTGGGTCCTTGCATTTCCTAATAGTTTCACATCTCCAAGGTAGAGAAAGGAATCGATTCGGAGAGAGAGAGAGTACAAAATGTGGCGAAGAGTTCTCCTTCCGGGGAATTTCCGTGCAAACAGTCTCGTTACCTCCGACCAAGCAAGATTCTGTTCTTCCCGGAGGTTCACCAATAGAAAATTTTCTTCCATGGACCACGGTAAGCCTTTTCTCGAAGGAGGCTGTTGCGCTTCAACGGGTTCGGTGTTTGAGCTCGGCTGATCACAGTCGTATGTCATGTCTATATCTTGACTCGAGGCGCATCTTGATACAGAGGCGACATCTGTGTTGGTACGTGTAGAAACGCAGTGTGATAGAGCACTTTCAAACAGCCAAGATAGGAATTGTAGCCGATCTTCGACTGGAAGGGCCGAGAATTGAGCGCGAACGGTAGGAAACGAAGCGTTGTTGCGACAACGCGGCGCTTTACTGGACCGGCCAGCACTAATTTTCTTCCCGGCACTCGAACGTTTACTTGTTTGTGTGGACTGGCGATTAGGATCCGCCGTTCCCTCTGCATTTTGTCGTCTGTATTGAAGAGGCGGATCTTGATTCGGTAAGTGGGAGCACTCCGAGGGACATCTGTCTGGACATGCTACGATGCAGGAGATATTTTCCCCGGCTTGGATTTGCCCCGCGCCTGGAAAAGTATGATCGTTCAAGATTGCGGGATCGATTGTTTCAATGCCTGGAAGCTCTCTGGGCACGATATGGTTTCCGGAATCGACGTCTTGTGGGTGCTGACTAGCAATAACGGCAGGTTCTAAGTCACACGGACCAAAATCGAGGGATCGAGGCTCAGCGCCAAGACCAATACTATCCGATATTGTGGCATGACCAAGGTCCTCCGAACCTCTTAATATTAGTTGTTTCGCTATATTAAAACGTACGTACGGTCGGATGGTTGAAACTAAGATACGGAATTGGATCAACTATATTAATAAACTTAACTTCCCCGAAGCATACCCTCTTATACGAATTGAAGCTTTTTAAATCGGAGACGATTAAAAATAGCTTCGTAGTAGCCGGTTTAGTACTATTTAGACCCGACCGAGTGATCTCAAAGCTCAATATCTAGCTCCGAACACCTACCCCCCCTCCGAGTTGGGGGAGTGAATCAAGCCGGAATTTTACCCTAAAAACCCCATTTATAGAGAAAGAACTACGTCGATAGGCTTTATCAATCAAAGGTCTACTTCGTATAAGATCTCGGAGCCCGCCTAGCCCGTCAGATCGTGTATTAAACCAGCTTATAAAGGGCTTCCGTCTTACAATACAAGGTGCTATCTTACTCGCCAACGAAAATAAGGAATTACGCGCCGCCAACGAGAAGAAGAAGCAAAAGCGTACTAGGTCCCGGAAGCAGATACATATAGAAGCAGGCCTTTCAGTACGGGAAGCTTCTCAATTGATTACTGAGCCGGTGGAAGCAATTGAAGCACCTCCCTCCCCTCTACGAAGAAGCCCTTCGCCGGCTTTACAACCACGTACGAGGGCCTCGCCAAAGTGTAGTGGTTGTGGAGGGATAGGACATAGGATTAATAGATGCCTAGCTAGATAGATGATTTTACTATATTTAATTTAATGGAGTTTTGGTTGACATATTTACATTTGAAATTAATATATTAGTTGGGGGTGCGCCACTCGCTTGCGTGCGCCGCTCGCTTACCGAATACGTTTACGTATTTCACCCCATAGCTAGACACCCCAAAACACCATAGTAAATACAATATTTTACAACCTTATATCTTAGCCACCAAGTTACTATTTGATTTCATTATCATCCGATAGCTATCGATAGGTCTTTTAAACATTATATATCAGTTCTAAGTAAATCGAAAAGCTATATTATCATAGTATTGAAAATTACGTTGCTTAAAGCTAGAAATATATATATCTCAATCACAAAGTCGTATAGATTTTCTAAAGTCCTTAAAGGGGCTAGATATTACCTAGAAAGCATTAAGCTATTAGGAAATTTCCAGATAGAGTACCTTTGTTAAGATATCAAGTTGTAATTTATCGCATTTACTATGGTGTTTTGGGGTGTCCAGGCTATGGGGTGTGCCCAGCTATGGGGTGAAAAACGTTAGATAGTAATTTAGATCTAAAGTATCGAGTTTTTCTTTCTCGAATCTAATTGATTCTAAACCGAGTCTACTTCTAATAACTTTGAACCCGTATAATGTTGTTACTTTCCTTCCGAATATAGTAGATCGTGAGACTGGAAGAGAATGAAAGAAAAAGAGATTGTAGGAGTTATATTGAAGCGAACAATAGTCGTAGTTGTCTGTAAGTCGAATTTTTATATAAGCAGAACCACATTGGAAACTGAGTTCCTCGAGAGACTGTAGTCATTGGGAAGCCAGCAAGACAGACATCACCACGTTTTTGCGATATTTCAAGCGCAGGTAAATGGCTTACTTACTGACCCCGACTCAAATTTATCCACCTACGAACCATAGAGTCAGAAATCTTCCTCAGAAGGTGAAAGGAATATAGACTTACCAGTTCAGCGATGCTAGCATAGGTACCACATCCAAAAATAATCATGCCCACTAGGAATACCACACCATTCAAAATTGCTGGCTTCAAATTATGTTTTTCATACCATGCACCCTCTCTCAAAAGCGTATACCACATGATTGGTGGGATATAGAAAGACAGACCAGACACGAACAGGGAAGAAATAATAGAGAGCAATTCGGAAAAGATGGGGATGGCCTCAGCAATGATCCAAGCCAAGATAGTAACCACAAACACAAGACCAAGCCATGTGCTCCAACCCTTCGCGGTATTGACGAAGCGAACGACTGAGTCCCGGTATATTTTGCCATGGATATATCGACAGACGACAGTTGTATTGATAGATCCGGAAATGAAGATGACTGGAAGCGCTATGCCGAAGACAACCCTTGAGATGACGGGCCCCGCGGACAGCAAAGCAGGTGATTGCACCTCCTGCCCGACAAAGGCATAAATGATTGACCCTGTGAGGGTATAGATAACGATTTGGATACCTCCTAGCCACCATAGCGTTTTGACATAGTCCTCGGGGGTATGCATATCTTCCATGAACGACGGCAGACAACCAGCAAAGGAATACGCAAAAACAATATTATTGGTGGCTACGATAGCCGCAGAGAAAGTGAGACCAGGCTTCGGCCAAGCGGACCACGGCGAGAGATCCGCAGCAAAGTCACCAGAACCATTCGAGCTCTGAATACCAGTCGCAATCATCGTAACCCCAATGGCAATGACAATCGACGCGAAATCAATGTAGCCCAATATCGCAATCTCCGCAAACGACGGAGGAATAGCGAGCAACATCAGAATTGCAGCAGATGCAACGCTAAAGATAATGGAGCACGAACTGCTTTGAGTGATATTCTGGAATGCAATCGCACCAGTCAAGCAGTGCGATCCAATGACGAAGACAAGAAGAGCAACAAAGCTGCCCACGAAGAGTTTTGATCCCAAATTCCCCAGCAGAAGTCGTCCGACATCTGCATAATGACCCACTTGTGGATACCGCAGCTTGACTTCGCCGATATTGTAGCCCGCGTAGATTGCGACGAAGCCGATTCCAATAGTTAGGATCACGCCTGCGACCATTCCCAAAGCAGCGAATGCAGATGGTAGACCTAGGCTCCCCAGGGCGATCGCCTCGACTATCGAGATGACAGTCAGTCGCTTCCAGCCCAAACGGCGGAATCGGGCATTTCCTTCTAAGATCCCTTGTAACTCAGGGTCTTGATCCTTAGGGAGAGCTTCGCTGGCCATTGTGTCGAGATCTCGAGGGCGATGAGTCGGCGAGCTGTATGCTAGACTGGTGTAGGTGTAAGTGCAGCCCGAGAAAAGGAAATTTAACGAAAAAAAGAAAAATCAAAATGAAGAAAGGCCGATCAGATAAGATCAAAGAGCTAAAATCCACCGATGGTCGGACCAGCAGAGTGGAGTACCCCCTCAGCAGCATGACACTCTACGGAGGATTCCGTACCCTTATGGCCTTATGAAGACTGTCTAGATGTGGAGCACAGTGGAGTCAGTCAACACGATATTTATCAATCACAGGGAGTGAGATACGGGGAGAGACTGGTGATTCGCAACATTCCTGGCGCTAGGTTCGGTTAAACTATATTCTGCAGGAAAAAGATAGGCCGTGTCGGGGCAAGCCGCAAGAACAGTGAGACACTGGCAACCGCTAGGCTTATACTGGATAAGCACCTGCACTTCCAAGACTGTTAATGAAAATTTCAAGGTCCCAACTCCCGAAGGTTGTACGTAATTGTTTCAGCTCATAAAGAATGGCTCTTAGTTCCCAGGTCGTTTATGGGGCTGATATTTTTTTCTTTAGGTGATGCTGGTTTCTACGGCCCTCAAATATGATACACGTTTGTTAAGTTTTCTTCTCGTCTCCAGCTTGTCTGTTCATGGGGCCTTCTTCTCGAGATAGGGTGTAGGAGACATAACCATATTGTCTCCTGATTCAGCATAGTGAATGAGTAAGCGCTTGATGTCTGATGTGTACAAAAATGGTATCTCGGCAATAAGGAATGCCACATCTGATAATTGGATGCACAAGAACTCGAGGTGCACATCGCTTGTACATATGAACGAAGCTCTGTAGGGCGGAAGCCCTGGAGCCCACGCGGCCCCCGCATGATTACGTGATCAGTTTTGAGTTCCAGGGGTGCTGAGGTTCCCCACCTCGGGAGGTCAAACTTTCAGAAACCAAGCTATCCCAGATAGCCATAGTGGATTTGTCTATGGCTCTACTTTATATCCAGGAACAGCTACACTGGTGAGGTAAAGCTATAAAGCCACGCGTCTGAAACTTGGAATGTATGGAGTATCTGTCTAGGTAGAGGGGTGTGTTCCGTGAGATCCGCCAGTGACTATGGAGCCCAAATGCTCAGCCATGACTTTATCAAAAGACTCACACGAGAACTGGTATTCGATCTTGGTGGGCAGCGAGTATATGGTATGACTCTCAGCAACTGGGTAATGCTGATGTTTCTCCATAGGTGTGCACGCACCATGTGTTTGGGGACCCTCCGCCTGCACTGTCTCATGGGGGCTACGGTGAGATGGCGGTCGAGAGGGCTGGGGAGAGGAATAAGAGAAGAGGTGGAAGGGGGCTGGGTGCCCTTTTATACCCCCAACAAACCGTACCTTCCCAAAGTGGACAGTTCCCTTGCACTTTCCCTGGTTGTCAATGTCACATGCGCCCAGAGATCGCACCTTCCTGCAACACTCTCCGTTTGTATCAGTGCAGCCTGCGCATGAGGAACCTGAGAATTGCCTAATTGTTGTTAGATTTTAGGGTTCAAGAGCACACTAGGCAGAGAGTTCTGTAAACGTACGGAAAGAATTCACGAAATTTATCGCGTATTGCTTGGTGGTCCAGCACTATGAACAAGTGAAACCATCGTGACAGGAACCCTAGAAACCGCAGTTGACTGATATCTGCCCTTCTATGTCAGATTGCTCAAGCAATAAGAATCGTTTACTCACCACCGGTAGTATGACTTTGATTCATCGAGCAACACGGGCAGAATGATACTATCGAAGATATGGCAGAGTATAGGTCTATAGAATTACAGGCAACACTATTCGAGGAGTGCATGGAGATAGATGAAACGTTTAAGCCGGGTCAATAATCTCATGAAAAGTCTGCTATCTGCTACTATAGCCTGGATTGTAGGACTTCGCATAACCGCGTATAGCGCACATGTAGATGAGAGTGAGGACAGATAGTGATAGTGCTGTATTCAAATATTACGAACTCGGATTAGTATTTCGACTAACTCCATTGGATGATGTTTCCAAGCAGGCATGCATATCCTTTGATGCACTCTCCATTCCCTTGAGAGTCGGATTAGATTTGAACGAAAATGGCGCGTCAATATGCACATCTGAGAATAATAAAGCCAAGGGCGATGATTTCCAAATATACTGATGTCTCGTGCGGATGACTGTGACAACAAGAAAGATAACAGTCAAGACTTCGAGAGCAATAGGAAGACCCATCCACGGCCATCGCACATTAACGAAAGATTGGTTCTTTGACCGGGCACGGGTTGTAAGCGAAGACGCTAGGGATTCGAAAAGCGAGTTGATATCTGCATGGCCACCTGATACACCATACAACGCTTCGATGATATCGGATGGCCCATTATCGGACTGCCGAGTTGGCCTCCCCCCAAACGTATAGCCGTTGCCTTGGAGCAATTGACCGACGGAGTTATGCATCGCTAGCAGGCTCTGCCATGCGACGTTGTATGTGCAGTTTTCGTTAACTTGATACGGAGGTTGATGTCGTGTCCCGTTCACGTAGCAAGTGTCCGGGATCAGTGCAGGGTTTTGGCCCTCGGATTCGGACAACAGATAATTTGTTTTGCTGGTAGTTAGGGTGCATATTTATTCGAACTGACCGTTCTTCACTGATGCATTGTATGTGTCGACACAGAAGTAGAGCGCGCACTCCATTGCGCTGATGCCGGGTGGAACCTTGTAGCCGGTAGCGCTGATGGCGGTAAAATTGACAATCAACAGTAGGGTTTGTTCATCCAGCTGAACTAGATCTAGCTCGGTTGGTGTGTTCATGGTGGTCATTGTCAACCCTGACTTCGTGCTGAAATGTAGTCCATTCGGCAGAGTGTAGTTATAGACGAGAGTAGTGTTCAGTGGAGGGGGAAGTGAATAAGGTGTATCTGCATGGACGGAATCAGTGATATTGACGCAGCGACTGCAAAACCCGAGACATTGGTACGGAGCAAAGGTGCAATTTCCACTGGCAAAATCAATCTATCACGATGGTTTTGCTGTCTGGACTCTGGCTCTGGAAAATGCCTGTGTATATGGCGCCGAGAGTCACAAGTGGCACTTTTTCGGCACCGGGGGTGGCTCCTGCTCCAACGTCGGTGTACAGGCTCGAGTTGCAAATTTGGATTGACGATTGGCCCGGGGTGTGAACCGGCTGTTCGTTGATGGCAATCACTTGGTGGACGAATGGATCAGTGGCAACCGCGACAACAAGGATAGCGCACCCAAATGTGATTAGATGTCTGCTACTGTTAGCATGTCTCTACAGGTATGCTCTTTTGCAGGATACCCTTATCAAAGAAGTAGATCGAAGCATTTATCGGAACTCACCTAGGCAGAAATCGGAAGAGTACCATCGCGGCCCCTAGTGGGCCCCTACTGGCAGCATCCAGCAGCCCCATATCGCTCAGAGTATTTCTCCGAGAGAACCATGACTATTTGAGTTGAGACAATCTTTCCGTGACGGCGAAGGCCATGGCAGCCCTTCATGAAAGTGCTCAGCACTGATACCAACGCGTTGAGCGTGATACCATATGGCCAGTCTGGCATTGGCTTTCCATCGTAAATTGCGAGTACAACGATAATCGTAACTAGAAACCCCATGGATAATACACAACTGAGAATTTCCAGGATCCAGTTGGAGGACCAGCCCCCTAGGGGTGGGGCGGCTTCGTGCTCTGGTGGAGTTAATGGGAGCTCTCTGGCGTCTCGGAGCCCGTTGAGTTTGATATAGGGAAGTTTGAATCTGTCGTTAGGCCTCATATTTATAATACTCGCTCATAACGAAGATTTGGAGGGGCTGATTCGACATGAATCAAAACTTGAACTAGTGGAAATAAAAAGGTTGAATGCGTGGAAATTAATACCTTCAGTAGTTAGCAAATCAGGGCTAGGTTGACCTGCAGGATTCCGGGGCATAAAATTGCTAATATATGGAAGAAAGTTCATGGCCGTATAAGCCACGCGCATAAATAATGGAACAAGACAGGTACATATAACACAGAGTCGTACAATTGGTCTTGTCATACCCGACCTCTAATCCCGGAGCAACTCATCATATATCGGAAGTTTCCAGTCCTTAACAGGGTCCGCAGAGAACCTACTGAGAAGATCCAATCTCAAAAAAGCTGCAATTCCCATAAAATGGTTCATCAGAGCAACACCGAATGCCGTGGCCGAAATCCTCTCCCAAAGCCCTCCGTCATCGGAAACACCTTCCTGCACCTGGCTAATAAAAGGGCGAAACTTCTGCTCATACGCCTGGAGCGCAGCCATAACAGGGTCTGTAGTACCAGTCACTTCCACAAAACCCTTCTCAGAAGGTCTACCACAGTGCCTCCCACTCTCTCCAGCCAGGATATAGGCACCAACAATCCCAGAAGTGGTACCCATTCCTGTCATTGCTGATGGACAATAAGCAGCATCCCCAGCAAGCGTGACACGCCCGCGAGACCAACCAGCCAACTTGACAAGGCCAATACGCTCACAGTAGAAGTTGTCAGCATCTTTGAGAGATTCCAAGATCTCGTCCGTTTTCCACCCCGCCCCTTGAAACATCTCTTTCAATGCTTCCTTTTGCCCGGCAACATCACCCTGCAAACGGTTCTTGAGCTGCTCTGAATCCGCCCGGCCGCCGATATATGCCTGGATTTCGTGCGCATTGTGTCTTCGAGTCATGATACCTCGCCTTCCGGGTGCCGTGTACATTGTAGCGATATACCCTTCCCCATCTTTGATTGGCTGGGGAATGGTAAAATATCCGACATAGAGGCCGTTGAGGGGATGGAATGCATCGGGCGCTTCGCTTCCGAGCATCATCTTTCGAGTACGCGACCCTTGGCCATCGGCACCAATCACGAGGTCGAAACGGCCTTCGGTGGCATCTGCAAATCGAACCTTGATCGCTTTTTCCTTGTCATTTTCCTCGAAGCTCTCAATTGTTGTGCCGAAGATATAGTTGGCCCGGCTTTTTGTTACATCATAGATGATTCGACACAGATCACCTCTCATGATCTCGAAGTTGGTACTAAAGCCCAGATTGACATTTGCAGAATCGTTGGCTGGGAAATAGGCTTGCGATTTACCCGCTTTGTTGACCATTTGCATGCCCTGCTCTGGGATGGAATGGGCCTTAAAGGCCTGCTCGAGACCCATGCGCTTCATAACTTCGACTCCGTGGCTGCGTAGATCAATTTGGAGCCCCGAGGCCCGAAGGAAAGGAGAACGCTCGATGATTGTGACTTTGTGGCCTAGCTTTGAGAGCCAGAAGGCGAGAGCATTGCCGGTGATACCTGCACCGCTGATGAGGATCTTCATTGGTGCCATGGTGTTTCAAATTGCGGGTGGCCGACTTGTCGTAGAACAGAAAGGCAAGGTAGTCTAGGCGAGGAGAATTGATGTTGGCCCTCAGGGGTTTAAATAGTGAGTCCGGACAAAATATCGGTATGTAATAGCTGAGACCGATTATCTCCGCCCCGTGCTAAGACCGCTGCTTCAGCCGATTGAAGTCAGAAAGTAATAGCTCAAGGAAGACAACTCTTACTTGTGCAGCACGGGAATAATACTAGCATAATTACGATTGGCTACATAGATATATTCTTTTTCAAGTATTACCGAGTTAAGATTGTATACAAAATGGCAAAATTAACAAATTACACGGCCCCCTAAAAGAACAATATACATAGGCCAGATAGAGAATTACTCCTGTATGAAGATATCAAGGAAACCCAGCATCTGGCAAGAGAAAGTCCCAGTCCAAGTCCAAGTCGTATCCAGAATCAGGACCTTCGGGCCCATCATCAAGACTCGACCCAGATGCAAATCCAGTATTGTTGGGACCACCCAATAATGAAGAGTCAGCCTGCGCTAGTAAAAGGCCATGGCAGAATTCAAGACTGTCTTTCGCACTCCGTGCGATAGACAGTTCACAATCGGCGCCCGCTTGCACCGCCTCGACCTTTGCCAAGATCATGCTGAGAAACATATGACCCTTAATATTTGTCTCTCCATGGCGGATCCGCTCGGAAGAGAGAGTAATCATGTCATTGACAAATCGCTTGAGCAGGGTAATATAATCGAAGTTGCGGTGCAACGTTCCTTCGATGTGTTGGGCTTCGAGCTGGGCTAGGAGCTCAATGGCAATAACGGCCATCGCGCACCAGATACCCTCTCTGAATAAGCCCCCGCCATTGACTATTAGTTTGGAGAAGGCTTCATCTGGTTCAGGTGATACGAGAGTCATGGCTGTTTCCAGGCTGACCTTTAATGAGAAGGCAAATAATGGGTTTGTGCGGGCCTTGTTTGTAAAGTGACAATGTAGAGGTATCATGAATCGACGCACGAGATAGTCAAGTAGGTTTTGATGAAATGGCGTAATGCTGGAACTTTCGTTCTCCTTTACGAAACTGTGGTATGCGCGAGACGCATTTCTGAGTTCTGAACTCAAGGCAAGGACATCCAAGTAAGAGATTTGTGTGTTCAAACTAGTCAGGAGATGGAGTATCCGGAGGCGGACTGGCAACGAGTCAAGCAGTAAAATTTGGAACGAGGCAGCGGTGTAAGTGCCTTTGGGATGAGGGCGAAGTACAGTGGTAGTTTCGTCAATTTCATCGTCGTTGATGTTTGAAGGGGCCTCAGTGTCAGATTCGGGGATGTTAGCTGGCATGGCCGAATCTAAAGATGACTGCGCGGTCATTTCAATAATTGTGGTCCATAGCCTCCTACGGATTTCGGCCTGCAACACAGATATCCCCGAGAGATGCTTGGGATCTCGATGTAGGTTTATTTGCATGGCTTTGTGAACAAGAGATCCCATGGAGGTCCATACGAGATCAGCGCCAATAGAGAAAATCTGCCTAGCTATAATTGTGAGGCAGTCAACTTGCAGCGCGGAAACACTCAGTCGGTCTTTTTCTAGTGGCCCAGAAAGCCATGCTTGAGCAGCATATACCCATCGATGAACTGATTGTCGGAATCCCATATCTGTATTTTCCTGCTTGTGCAGGCTTGACCCTATGCCGATCATGAGAAGTATTTTGAGGCGCAGCACGTTGGGGGAATTATGCGGATTATTCCAATATCTCTGGTAATCAGCCCAAAAGGAAGGTATATGAACTATTCGGTGTGTTGACTCGAAGGATTGCAGATACAAGGCTACCATCGTATCTGATATATCGCGACACGGGAGCTCAATGCCAAGCTGAGGATTCGATAGTGATCTGCTAGGCCGCCAGGTCTTGATGCTTCTGGCTGTGTGTTTGCATTTTTGAAGCAGATCACCGACTTGAACAAGAAAGGCTTTGGTTTCAGCGCCTTTGAATGTTCCTCCTTTACCTTTGCCAGTAGCTTCTGTATAAAATGCCAGAAAAGGCTCAAACTTGCGATATAATTAGCGGAATGATTTAGAGCGCATGTCAATGCATATCGTACCTCTTTAGCTGTGCCCATCCACAAACTCCATCGCATAACTCTAGTTTTTGTGAAAATCCACTGAAGATCTTCTGGTTGGGACGGGCGGCCAAACATTTCCCGACCCGTCCCGGATAGGCTATGCACAGGTGTTTGTGCCGAAGACTGTTCTAGGCTCTGAACCCGTCGCAAAAGATCCGCAATGGTTGATTCTGAGTTTTGTGCTCGCCTTGGCTGTTCATTATCAGTTTGGCCAGGAAAAGTCGAGTGATGTGGTGTTCCTGCTGGTGTTGGAGTCCCTGTCGCAGTGGTGGGAGGCTCCAATGGCTGGCCATGATCTCTAGATGGTAGGGGTTCTATGATCGGTTGAACATGTGATGACGGTGAAGGTGCGAGAGTACCCAGTGTTGAATATCTTGAGGTGCCTTCTAGAGACTGCAGCGGGGGCCCGGGTTGATCGCCATAAAGTTTGTAGGTACATCGCGTTTGGACGGAGACACAGCGTGTGCAAGGGTCATTTCGGTCACAGCGGATTTTGCGACGGCGACACTCAATGCAAGACCGAGCTGGCCTTCGCCGACGACGGGGTTGGGACTCTTGAGACTCCATGGAAAACTTGTTTGGAATTGTTTTGATAGAAAGGAAGTCCGTGAAAGCGGAGATTTCGGGTAATTGAAAATGCCGCGTTATGGCCGCTTATCTCCGTCGACAATCGACAATCGACAATGAATTATTGACCAACGAACTGCACTTGAATTCGGTTGTCGTTCAATAGTATCAAAAGTTCTTGCGGGGTTAATGACCTGCAGGTTCTTTGGTCCTTGTGCATCGATCCTGCATATCTGTCTCGTCTCCGACGGTGTTGCTTGTGCTCCGTCGGACCGATAGTGAACATGTGAAATGTTAAGTGCAACTGGTTTCATTTAAAAGAGTGGAAAACAATACAATAACATTTAGTTCATCAATTTATTTAACTTTGATCGATCTATCAAATGGCTCTTCTATCCCTCTTACTCTCGCCATGGACTATGGCTGTGGCTATCCCCGTGTGGTTCGCGTACTACTACATATACCCCTATTTAGTATCATACGGGCACTTAAGTCGAGTCCCGGGTCCTTTTGTTGCTAAATTTAGCAACATATGGGTCGGATTAAGTGCTAGACATGGCCAGAAATATGCGGCAGTTGACGCGGCGCATCGAAAACATGGCAAAGTCGTCCGCATTGGTTTCAACCATGTGTCTATCGCTGATGAACGGGCTTTGAATGTTGTTTATGGACACGGAAACGGGTTCCTCAAAGAGTAAGTCACATTTCTTACCTGAATTGAGATTTACTAGTGTTAACGAAACATGTCTAGTTACTATTATGAAGCATTTGTAGCGCGAACCCCGGGCATGTTCAATGTTCGCGACCGCGTCGAACACACACGCAAGCGGAAGATTATATCCCATGCCTTCTCTCCCAGGTCAGTCGCTGAGTTTGAGCCGTTTATGGCGGAAAACTTACAGCGATGGATAACCCAGCTGGACCGGATCGCGGCCTCTCAGCCACAAAACATTGGGAAGGAATTTGCTCGATACAACGCAATGCCCTGGTTCAGTTACCTTGCTTTTGATATAATCGGAGATTTGGCATTTGGATCACCGTTTGGAATGGTAAACAAGGGCAAAGACGAGACTGAGACGCAGCTCGTGACCGGAGGACCCATTTCATACACCCCGGCAGTCGACGTGTTGAATAGACGAGGCGAGATCTCTTCGACATTGGGCCTTCTTCCAGCCCTACGTCCATGGGCTCGATACCTCCCCGATCCATTTTTTACCAAGGGCGTAGCGGCCGTGGAGAACCTGACGGGGATTGCTGTCGCCGCTGTCGCATCACGACTGGATGCTGCGGAGAAGGGAATGGTCGACTCACGCAACGATATTCTTTCGCGCTTGCTACAAGCAAAAGATGCTAATGGAAGGCCAATGGAGAGGGATGAACTCATAGCAGAGGCCCTGACGCAACTTATCGCTGGCTCTGACACAATATCCAACACGGCCTGTGGGATATTTTACTGGATCCTGCATGGAGAACGCAGCGCCCCGGGCACGATAATTCCCCGACTACAAGGGGAGTTGGACCAAGCAATTGACCCCGAAGCAAAGATCGCATCTTATTCTGAGGTCAAAGATCTCCCATTCCTGCGAAGATGCATTGACGAAGCGATGCGACTTCATTCTACCTCGGCCATTGGTCTGCCACGTTTGGTCGCCGATCATAGCTCCGGTGTCGATTTTGATGGCTTCCACTTCCCCCCTGGGACAGTACTTTCAGTGCCCTCGTACACCATTCATCATATGAAGGATATTTGGGGAGACGACGTCGAAGAATTTAAGCCTGACCGCTGGTTGAACCCGACTGCCCGACAGAAAACTGCTTTCAACCCATTCTCATATGGGCCCCGGGCATGTGTTGGACAGAACGTCGCCATTATGGAGCTGCAGTTGATTATTGGAACTTTGTTTCGTCGATATGAGTTCGTGTTGTACCAGCCAATCATGGAATCACACGAAGGATTCTCGAAGAAGCCCAAAGAGTGCCAGGCAGGTCTTAGATTGAGAGAGTGTAGTTGACATCCCGGATGTTTAAATTTATATATGGAGCTGATAGGAGTGAATGGATCATATTCACAATGGGAAGGAGCATGCCAATATTTGTTAACACAAGTCAAATCACATTACCAAAGAACATATCTTCAAGTGATGGAAACTCCTGATCGATACCCCATTCGTTACAACCCCAGGGATCAGTGGCATTTTGCACTGACTGCGGCATATATATTCCCGTGCTATTCTCTCCCATCAAAGTCACACATTCTTCTTGCTCAATCCGATCTGCAACATGTTGCTTCATGATGTTCAGAGACCACCGGCTCACAGGCTCGGCTTTGCCTCCACATTGAATATGCGAGACGGCTTGCTCCATGAGAATGATTATACTACCGACATCATCTAAATGGACCACAAACTCAGCCAGTGTCACCATTGCAAAGGAACAAAGCACGTTTTCGTAAGCAGGGTGGATATAAGTGGTCAAATCTGACATGGAGACAAATAGATTCAAAAGTTGATGCGACTGGCCAATCGCGAACCGAATTAAGGGGAGTGTTGATTCCTCTGGTGTAACCCTGGAGTTGCTCATTTCCTCAGGTTGAGTTTCGCTCATATGTTGAAGTGTCCGACGTGCTAGAATAAGGTATGCACAGGAGTATGCAAACCGCAGTGGTTCAGAGGAATCAAGCTCTATACAAATTGGAATTAGTATTTCTATAAATGCTAGGATGAGAGATTGCTTACTATAAATATTCTCCTGGGACTTCCGCAAATTGTCGATTTCTGGCCAAACTGCACTTCCCTTTTGTATCACGTTGGAGCTTATAATTTCCCAAAGGAGTCGGTATAATCTGACCCCAGCCAGTACGAGTTCGTCGCGTGCATTGTATGATGGAAACTCGAGAACTTTGATGCATTCGTCAAAATACTGGCTGGATATGATCGGTGGGCGACCAGAGCCCACCGAAAACCTGAGATCGGTGTTAGAATTTCTTGGTATAATCAGACAGATGGGAAGTTGACTATTATAACACACTGTAACTGACAGAGGCAAATTAAGTTCCACGTGCGCATTATTTCCTGTGCTTGGGCTCGTTCGTTTCCATTGGCATCGCTTGTGTTTGGAAGCTGTCCAAATGGAGTAGTCATAACCACGCGCATAGCAGCCGTGCCGCTGAGGAGCCACGAGGCACCATGGTCAGGACCCAAAGTTGGTCGCAGGTCCCACATGGAAAAAATCAACATCGACTGTATTGTGTCGAGCGAGGCAGTGGAAGAAAGATGTGCTTGACCGAGCAGTCCGTGAATATGGCGATACAAAGCTTGGTGTGTCGATGACCCATGTAAGGAGGGGGTGATATGAAGACCTGCCAAAATACAAGTACCAAACAGGAGCGGTGATTTGGTGCGTAGCTGGACGGGGTCTGTACTCATGAATAACCAGCGGTTGGATAATTTCGAGAACCTGGAAGATCAACCTCGGAACAGGTTCCAAAGTAATGGTATAGATAGCATGCTTACCCTTTAAGAAGCGTGATAGCAAGTTCCTCGGAAATGATACCGTTGATTATAATGTCTTCGGTGCTATCATCGGTGGCCGAGGGTTGTTCATGTAACGTGATGTTCTGTCGGATCTCTTGGACACGATTCATGGGTGCATCGCGTGCAGTTCGTTCAATAGTTGATGAAGTTATCTAGAGTATCCAATCAATTATATTGCCGAGATGAGCTGTCGGTATCCAAAACTTACCCCTGGTCTATTCCGGCAGTTGCTATCACTGCGGACAGATAGTGATGCTTGAAGTTGACTCAAGGTAGTTTCCACCGCACAAAGCCTATTTTATCAGTACATTGATCTCGTCTAACAAAGTCGAATATGAGAGGGTATACCGTGTATGGTACTCATCGCGGCTTGTCATAGAAACCACCTCCGCATTCAGCGGCGGTTCGGGATGACTGCGGGAGATGGCCTGGAAAGAGCACCTCATCCTATATATGGTCAGATATGAAAGCCCAGCAACGCGATTTCTCAATCTGGCTTGCTACCGGAGAACATCACAGCGATGACATCGGTCAGAGTTGCCTGTTTCGCATCGCGTTTTCAAGCGCCGGCAAGCCTCGCAGGATCGCGCTTTGCTCACTTTTGGCTTGCCTGAACCGTTTCTATTTCGTCTTCGCTTTTTAATACACGATTCGGACAAAGGCATAGTTAGTTGATAATATGAAGTTTAGTTAGGTGACATGGAGCAGAGAGGAACGAAGATAGGGTGTATCCCACTCTTGGAGACGATGAAACTGTCGGTCTCATGTTCGCCTGCAGATGCGGTCACATGCGCCTTGTTTGTCAGGCTCTCAGTAACTAATTGACTAACCTTGGAACTACCCAGGTGACTGGGTATGACTACGTAATTATCCCACGTGTGTAACGTCCATTGAACCCATATGCTCTAATATGCATGTTATGTGGATACCTACATCAATACCTACATCACTGGTTTGAATCTCAACCCCCACCTTTGGCTTACTATCACATTGATAACCTCCACTACTCCACTCGAAGTTCTTCAATCCAAATTAAGGTCTTTATCCGATTACATCCACTATGCTGTCATAGTGGGTGGGCCTAGCAGAAAGACAAAAGACCAAAGTATGGGGAGCTGAACTTTATATCCATTGCCGGAACAACACAGTAACTTCACTATAGAATATTGTGGGCAATTCAATATTTTACTCGGATACAACATCCGAGAAATGAATATCAACTTGCTTGTTTAATGGAAAATACCAAACACATCACTGCGTAAAATTTGCCAATAGCGCCAAAGACCACCCAAGCAGCCTCATCAACATCAATATCCAATAAAATACAACCAAACCCCAAGCCTTTTGACACCTTTCCTGACCCAATGACCAGGTTCACTAACACCAGTACCGAATAAGACCAAACCCCAAGCCATTTGACAACTTGCCCGACCCAAAAGGAAAGAAGATACCCCAGCCTAGACCGTAGTCCCTACTGGAGCACCGAGAAAATACTCGGTGAGGGTCTTGAACGCTTCCGATATCGACGTCTTGTTGTTCAATTCATAAAGATCAGAAGAGCGCATCATAAGAGATTTTGTTTTCTGGTCAAAATATGACTCCAATAAACGCGCATGCCTTCCTGCCAATGAGATAAGTAAAATCTATAGAATACCTCGTTAGCAATCTCAAAAGAGATAATGATACAGGGGAAAGGGAGAATAGAAAATTACCGGTGCTATTTGATGGTGCACCAAGCGCACTTTGCTCAATTGGCCCAGCATCAGGCGAAGGCTGATCAAGACTTCTCCACGGAAACAAGTGTAACAGTCCGCCTCCAAGTCATTGTATATGACGGCTTTGAAATGCGGGAATTCCCTTCCAGCACTATCCATCGTTTCAAAAGCGCCAAATGAAGGAAAGCCAAATGCGGGATCGCCATATTGATACAGGTCCTTGTAAGGGGTATAGTCGCCAGGTCTATTGAATAGTGTTAGACACGATGAATCGATAGAGCGACGTAACTCCAAGGAGCGGTGGACTTACTCCTTCGAACGCCATGGCCCGTGATCATCGAGATCTAGTTGGTGGAAAGCATAAGAGTTCCAATCAGTGTGAATAGCGTATGCAACAGAGTATGGATCTGAATGGGTAGGACTATCGGGTGTACAGGCCTCATTGAGTATCTCATCACTGGGCTGCGGGATGTTGGGTCTTGGCGCGAAAAAGCGGGGCTAGAGCTCTGAATTTTGATCGAGACTCAGGTGACAGAGGTTGACGTTAAATTCCTCGAGTCGTGTCGCGTCAAGTTTGTGCTCGTCAAGGGCCTCGATGGCGTCCTCAAGCTCTATCAAGAACCAGCGCTGCTTTAGATGCTCGTCTGTTTCGTGGACTTTGTTTTTTTGAAGGCATGTTTTCGTAGATGAGAGATTTGAAGTTGTGTGGTGATCGATAGGTTAGAGAGGAGTGGTGGGTTTGGATGAGCACAACTGGATCCCATGCAATTTTATGTTGGAGATCCCTGGCTAGTATGTGAAGGTAAGAGTAGATAGTCGATGTGATGGAACGTGATGAAATCGGTTGCCGAGCGACCAGGCGCCAAGTCTATTAGGCGGCTACCCAGCATGAACACACCTAAATATATCCCTTCTACTCAAAAGCGCTTTTCTTCCACCTAGCCCATGCCGATGCATCATTCTGAACAAAAATCCCTCAAAACCAATCTCTCTTACCCAATTGTTAGCCGCCTACTTCAGCCTTCATCCGGGAGGATATCGTGCCCCAATCATTAGCCGCCCATATTGATCCTTTATGTTGGCCAAAAAACCTCTCAAAACTAGTCGTTTTCTAGCCAGCCATTAGGCGCCTACACCCATGCTTCATAAACAAAAGAGTCACTCGTAACATATCGTTAGCCACTTATATTCATCCTTCATTTCAACCCAAGATATCGACTCCTAGCCAATCGCTCTTTGTCAATGATTTGTTGCCCATACTTATCCTCACGAAAGGATGTAATATATTCCAAAAAGCCCCCCAAGCATAAAAAGGGAATTGGTAGCCGTATACATTCTTCTGAAATCATTGCCCGCCTATTTGAATTGAAGTCTTTTCAATAACATCAACTACTACGATATCAATGATTTCCACGAAGCTTGAAGTACCCAAAAGCCTTAAGGATTGGCAGAAGTCGGTAGCCAAACGTGGGCTTCAAGAAACAACGCTCCACGATGAAAAGCTTCTTTCTGCTTCTAAAATTGGGTTTGATCAATTCCTGCTCCTCCGAGTGATATGGAACATACACAGAAACCCGCAAATTGTAAAATTGCCGGGGATGGAGGGTTGGATAAAAGAGGCCGAGAAAAAACTACACTCTTATCAGTCGTGGTTCACGTACTGTGAGAGCGTTGACCCCAGAAGCGCACTCAAAAGAGCGTTCAGGAGAGCCCTCAAAAGCAACACCGGAGGGAAACTTTGCCATTGTCCGATACTACCAGCGCGAGGTTAAAAGGTCTGAATCTGAAGTCAACCCTCAAGCCTTTGATACGCCTATCGCGTTTCGAACCCGTGCAAAAACAGATTTTTCGCTGGATAAGGGAATGGGTTGACTTAGGTTGGACCCTTTTCAGAGTCCAACTCGTCATCTAGCAGACAGCTTCTTCTCTTGGGCGATGAGAGCCCAAGCCCAAGCCCAAGCTTAGACCCCAGCCCGCCAAATACTATCGCACGTGAACTAGAAAGAATTTTATACCCTCCGACAAAGGACGAACAGATTGTGAACACAGGCTGATAGTGCTTCTGAATGCTCTGACTACTCACTTCGATTTCTACTCGAACTGGACCTTGCAGAGAAAGCCATCCACCGCTACCTTTGAAAACGCGCAGTTTGAAGCAAGGACGGATGGCTATATCGATAGTCCTGGGGGGAAGACTAGGGTCATTATTGAAGTCAAACCCGTTCTAAGATCTCGACATCGTCTACCCATTCAGATGCAGGAGAGCACCCAAATGGTCGCTTGGATCAGAAGCGATGATGACCTATCCCAGCGTACTAATACCACGTATGCATTTATCGTTTCTTCGGTCAGCTACAAACACTACTGACATAATACTAGGCGTTTTATTATATCTCAAGACCGACATGAGGTGTTCGTAACCGTTGCTGAGTATAACCATAACTATCTCGAATATCTAAGCAATAAGGAGCCTTCATCTTCGGAAGACTCTTCATCATTCTTAACTATGCATCAGTACGGACCGTGGGATACCTCGAGCAAATCGTCTGTAAAGGAGATAGGGACTATTCTATTGGCAATCACCTTGCGAGCTGAAAGGGAGATTAAAGAAGAGATCAAAAGAAAGGAGAAGAAAACAATATAGTTGCATATAACGTTTGTACCCATGGTGTGACTGTGATCAACTATCTGTATCTGCCATTCATTGTTTGTGACTTTTGATGCGGCGATTCCATTTATTGTTTTTAAAGTGGGCTGTGGGCTATGCGTTTTCCGTTTTAGGTTATTCTGTTTTGGTTTTCATGTGCATTCATCTATACATCCCCTGGCATATTGAATAATTAGTACATACATTTTACTTTCTTTGACTTGAGAGCTATCTTGTATATATAAGCGAAAGTGAACTGTATCGAGGGCGCCAATCCGGCGGTTGACTCGATATTGGGCATACCATTGGCGTTGAAAGCCCAGTTCCTTGGCAATAAACAAGAACGAAATGCAATTCTCAACATCATATATCTATTGATTATACTATTTATTGATTGAACTTGGATAGCCCTCCAGTTTTTGAAAAATGTTCAAGGCGAATATACCTCGCGAAGCTGAAGCTCCGGGCACTTGAAGTTTGGATCAAGTTCCTTCTCCGACAGGTCAATTGATTGCCCGTGCTGAAGAAGCCGAGCGATTTTGACAGCATCCAAAGCACCCCGCGAAAGAGTGAAGATCTTATCCATTTCCTCGAGACTACGCCCAGCGGTCTCGGGAAACAGGTAATATATAACAGGTATCATCAATGCATTGCAGCCCGCGAAAATGACGAAGTATGTCTGTCCCATGCTGTTGAACGCAATGGGTGTGACAGCAGTGAGTATAATGCTGACCGCCCAATTTATGCTGATGCTAAAGCTGTTGATAGTCGTGCGTAGATGCAAAGGAGCAATCTCCGCGGCGTAGAGATATGGTATTGCGCCAAACCCGATGATGTAGCTGAAATGAAACAGGAAAATGAAGAAAACAGCACCGCGCATTGCGAGTGGGTTGTCCGCTTGAGTTCCGAGGCCAGCTACTAAAGTCAGACAGACAACGTTTCCGATTGCACTGCCTAGAAGCAAGACACGGCGACCAAACTTGTCGATTTTGAAAACACAGAAGATCCCACCAATGGGACCGACTAACTGATAAACTGCTGCTAGAACTGTGGATGTCGAATTACCTAGTGAAAGGTTGTTTTCGAAGATTGCGGTTGCTAACGGGCACAAAATTAGTCAATACCGCATGGGAATAGGGGATGGACAATTCGGGATACGTACTGTAAAACGTGATAACCGTCGAGCCGGTGAGTTGTAAGAACAACATTGCCAAAGCCGCAATCATGGCCCGGTGGAAAGTTCTCTGTGGGCCCATGTGGAATATTTGTCCAAGTGACTTTTCTTCAAACAAGTCCAGCGATGTTTGGACATCCTTGATTTTTGCTTCCACGATTTTATCATCGACAGCTGTATCTTCGAGAGCTGCCAGGACTTCACTAGCCTCAGCGAGTCTACCTTGTCGGATAAGCCATCTGGGGGATTCTGGTAATAGGCAGATGAACACCAGAATCGCGATAGAAAGAAACATCACAAAAGCGAATGGAAATCTCCAGGCGACGTTGCCTTGCGTGAATGACATTCCAAAGTCCAGAAAAAGGGCAAGGGCACACCCCAAACCGCTAAATATTCCCTTCATGCCGACGTGGGCACCACGCTTGTTGGCAGGCGATATCTCAGATTGCCAAAGAGGGATTGTGGCCAATATAACTCCAGTGCCTATACCTAGGGTTACCCGAGATGTGACGAGTTGGACGAGTGATCCCGCACTAGCCATCAAAACAGCTCCAATGACTTGGACGACTGCTCCTGCCATTATTGTGCGTCGGCGGCCAAATAGGTCACCTAGCCATATGCAGGAGAGAGTTCCGAAGAAGCCTCCTATAGTGTAAGAGGCTACAACAAGGCCTTGTATTGTTGACGCATGTGGTTTATTATCGGCTGCAGCAATGTTTATTTCAGGGAATTGTTCCTCGAAGCTTTTCAGTGTCAAGACACCCCCGAGTAGTGATGAATTGTAGCCTATTGTGAGGATTCCAGGCATGAGCACCCCCAGAATGGCTGCGATATTGAGGCTATTGCCCCGAAGGCCGAGGAACCGTGGCATATGTAGGGCTGGATGAGGATCAGTGGGTAATATAGTTATGATGGATCGGCAGGATTGGGATCGACACTGATCAACAGATCGACAAAGTCTTCTGCAGCCGTCGTCAACTTGAGGAAATCTCCGAGATTTAAAGAAACCGAGGACAGTCGAGATCCGGGTATTTCGGCTCGTTGGCATCAGGCTCGACACATTCCATTCTGTTGTGCATTATCTTCTCATCGCCACAGAACCCAAGTAGGATGTTTAAGCCACATGATCCAGAAGAGGACATGCAAGGCGAATGGACTCATTCTTCTCGGCTCGCTCTAGAACCAAAGGATTTCAGTGACCAGGCCGACAGTATTTGGAGGAAAGGAGAAACACAGGACAGAATGGCCCTTGTGACATGGCTAAAGAATGCACAGAAAGGGAGAGGAGAGGGAAATGAGGAATTGGTGAACGGCTCGGTATGATGTAGAAAACACCAAAGTCTGGAGTAACTAGTACTTTAGAGCCGACGCAAGGGGAAAGGTCCCACACGAGGTTCTAGGTATATCTAACCCAACGCGCTGAATGTTTGGTGTGCTACATACAACGTACGGAGTACCAAGTTAACCTTGGGGCTGCAATAAGAGAGAAATAAAGCTGTTGTGTATTGCAGATCGCGCATGAAGCATGTGCTGCCACTCCTTTATGGCAGTGAAATAAGATATCATGAACAGATTTATCCTTCGATCACAAGAATATTCCGATGAAAGCCCGCCCGGGCCGACCCTGAAGGACTTTGATTTTCTAAATTCGTATGGACAAGAGCATAGAAGCCCGAAACTTACACCCAAATGCCAAGGGATCAAGAATTCCATATGGAATGATACTGTACATTTGGGTTACAATTCCTCTACATGGTACCTTCCAAGGCTAACCTCTCATTCGGTTTTACGAATTGAAACTACACCTTTTGCCAGAAATCCTTTGGGGAGCAAGGGGATTTGAAATGATTTTGGCAGTCAAGTCCGAAAATACACAAGTCGACCCAGTCCTCTGACCAGCCAGCTTTAAAAAGGTTTAACCCTAGAGAGCAATGATGTCGTACCGATTTCTATAAACTTATAAATATTGCATAAAATCTAACTAGCACTTTGAAATCTGAGACAAGGTTAATTGACAAGATATCCACTAGGATAAACAAACTCCCTGTGCTTAATCGCTTTACTCGACCATGGCACATCCTCATCCTTCCATTGTGAATAAACAGTTTCCCCACCAGCAACCAATTGGTGGATATTACGCCTGGTGCTGTATACCATATTCCAGGCCAGCTCTTCGTGGAATTCAGCCGCGTTGTTGTTATCGATATCTGAATCCCGAGAAGCCGAGCCGGCCTTCCTATATGTACCAAATAAGTTGGGAAACGGGGCCCAGCATTCAATCTTGTGACGCCCATTAGCACCCGCGCACAACTCACTCAGGGCGTTATCTACCGGGTTATCCAAATGATCGATGGAAAGCGCAGAAACAATTTTCCTAGCACCCTTAGTCGTAACTGCATAGCCATACATGCAGCAGCCCATTTCAGCACGATAGATAAAACGCGTTGAATCTTCGGCCAATTCTGGATATTGTTGCTTCCACTGCTCGGTGGGTCCGCCCCAGGTGGCTCGGTGGTAGGCTCTTGGAACTGTGGGGTCCATGGGGATAGCGTAGAAGCTTGTTTCGTTGGCGTTCGGGCCCGAAGCACATCCGCCGATCCAGAGGAGATCCCAATCTATTCCGTAAGGAGCTTCCTGGGATACAAATTTGGTTCCTTTCAAAGAGTGCAGCCCGCGTGCAAATTCCCCAAGCTGGGACTTGAGGCTCACGTCCCAGTCTGCATCATCTTCCAAAATCAAAGCAGTCGAATAGCCATTGCTTATCACACTGTTGGTTTCCACATCCACACATTAGCACAGCCTCTGGATAATGGGGATGAAGTATGACTGTACTTGACCAATGCATTCATGTGCGCACGCCAACATGCCACAGCAGTGGGCTTCACGAGTGAGGGGTCCAGTCCCTAATAAAGCATCAGAAGATTATCTGGGGATTATTAAACTGAAAATCGTACATCAGGCATGGCCTTGGGGTGTAGATCATCCGGTCGCACCCCATCAAGCCATTCCACCTTGAACCCCGATACCGAGGCTGCGAGTGTCAGGAAATCGCGCTTGTCGGTCCGCTCTTTCATAGTGATGGCATAGATATGCTCAAACTAAAAATTCAATGTCCAGTTAGCAATTAAGTCTATGATATAGTAGGCAAGGTCTGACCCCAAGAGTGCTGTTCTGGATATGTTCAAACACACTATCCGCCATGTAGTTCCGAGAGAGATCGGGAAGCGAGGAAGACCATGATATATCCCCGAAACTTCTGACAAGCAGCGCGCACAGGATATAAGCAGTAACAGCCGCTGCCAGGGCCACTTGAAGGACGTTTCTCCTAGCGATCATGGTAGGCAGCGTTAACAATAATGAGGAATGATGAGAATCGAGTCATCCACACCACCTCAGAAAGATTGAAGTCCAAGTGAATGAAAAGCATTGCGAAGGAAAATATTTTTTCTGTACATTCCTCGAGTGCCGGAAACAGCTTGCTATGAATGCATCGCGATCGAGCTATCCAAATGCGGATATGGCATACACGTGATAATGTGGATCCGCGGGTGTTGTCGGTGTAAGGACATCGGCATACCGTAGGATTCTGACAGAAAGCTGGTGTACGAACAATGTATGGTATATATGACCGATGTTGACAACTCAAAAATGACAAAACCCGCTATTTCAACAATCTGTGCGGACATTGATATCTGGTACCCAATGTCACATGATGTTTGCGGTATATTACCTGGCTTCTACCATGTATTCGGACTTAGTATTCGACAACTACTTCTTTTTTAGAAGCGCTTCGTAAGGCCATCTACTAGTATGGCCGTAGTTAGAACCCAGTCTATATAACTTCACCGTCACTAACCTCCTATTTTATCTCTTATAGGTCCGCTAGATCGTTATCGGGATAGTATAAAAGAGGGTTAATACCATTCTTACCTATTCGACTACAAATTGTATCGTCTCGGACCTTCCTCGGCCTATCGTAGGAGATAGCCTATACCGATATACATGGAGAATATGGAATAGAACGAGTAAATAATATGATTTACCCCTTTAGTGGGCACTTGAGGCTAATAAACACAGCTCTTCGGTTTCCTAGTGGTCCGTATCGCACTTTAAGAAAGGAGCCAGCCTTTTTTCCATGATCCGTGGCCGCTTACTGTTAACTGTTGCTATTAAATCCGGATGGAGTGAACCGATGCCATGATTACAGAATGACCTCAACATACTGCTGGTTGGAGATGATAGCGAGGAAGCGGCCGAGTTTGGCTCGACCGCATTATAATTGTGTCGGGTAATGGAGAATATATCGGGGAAATTTCAGCTTCTATCTCCAAAAACGACTTCGTATTAGACAACAAGTATTAAAAACGCAAAGTATTGGAACAGAAGGTCTTCTATGGGAAACAATAGTGATGTGAAGTTCACGATGTCTGGTTTGATGGGTTTGGCCCCTTGCACGTGATACCACATGGACTCTCATGTTTATCGTCTGGCCTGACGCTCTATCATCTACCTAATCTTGACTCCCAGCCCGTTTTGTATCAACGGACTTTGCATAACACTGGGCCAATTATGCAGCTTTATCGTGCTTTCCTCGCTTAAACGAACCTCCTCGCCTGTCCGCATGATCATCTCCTCCTCGTACGCCTGTATAGCCGCGGCACGTTCCTCAATGGTGAAATCACCCTGATTCCAGAATGACTCAATTGCCTTACATGCGGTATAAGCATCCTTCATAGCATGGTTGAGCCCCTGGCCACGCTGGAAAGTCATCGGATGAGCAGCATCACCCGCCAGAGTTACTCGCCCCTGACGATTATCCCACCGATGCTCCAATAGACTTGGGTCCCAGTTTCGAAGCTTGGAATACCAAACCTCGTTATCGGGGGACATCCACTCAAAGACACTGCGCCAGGGGTTGACAAACCGACTAGCTAGCTCCTTCTGGTGTGCAGCGTGTTCTCGCATGGTTCGTTTATTGATATGGTCGCGCGGTTCTGGGAAGGAGATATAGTGGGCGAAAGTCCAGTTTTCTGGATGGTCGATATCGTCTCCGTCATGAAGACTCAACCAGGCACAATAGCCCTCGGGATGTGGACCCAATTGGTACAACGGATGGTGGGGATGGGCACGTAGGAAAAGCGCGTGCTCACGGGTATGCTGGGTATAACAGATGGTCGAGGCAAAATCAGTGGGCGTGACTTTGGCAGCTTGCTCTCCAACTAGTAGTGTACGCGTAATCGAATGCGGACCATCCGTGGCAATTAGAAGACTGCCAATGACTTCTGTGCCGTCTGTAAACTTTGCAGTGATGTGTTCACCGGCGCCAGAGTGAATAATATCACAGAGGGACTTCCCCCAATGCACTTCGAGGCCTTGGAGCAACATTGCCCGGAACTTGTCTCGGCGCAGGCGGTACACTCTGGACGACTTGACCTCGGCGATCAGAGCTCCATTCTCACCATTGATCATGGGGAGTGGACCGTTTTCTGTAATAGGGATGTGCGGATCAACCTGTGCCTGCTCGAGTCCAGCTAAAATGTCTGCGGGCACGAGGTATTGCAACGGTTCATAGCCCCAGTGCAGTCCTATACTCCAGCTTCGTTTGCGACTCGGTTCTTCTTCTTTTTCGAAAATTACAAAAGGGATTCCAGCCTAAAGCGTAGTGATATTGTTAGCGAGGCAGATTTGACATAATTGCGGTTCTCTAACCTTTTTCAATCCATGGGCCAGCGCGAGACCTGTCGAGCCTAGGGAGACGCCAATTATTAGTTCCGAATTCGAAATATAGACCGAAAAAGGGAAGAAGGCTTACCAGCGCCGATGATGATGACATTTCTATGACCACTGATAGCAGGTTGAGATGTTTTTAGAGGGATATGTGTCGTGCTGCTCTCTGCTCCCTCGTGCATTGTTCGCTCCTCAATTCCGTTCATGGCGGTGATTTTCGTACTCATACCAAGGAATGTAAGATTGCCAAAATCGAATTGCAGTAATGTATCACTTCTTCATGGGACGCAAAAGACTTGGAATTCCATATGCGGTACTTTCTACACCCGATCAAAGCGGGGTTAGAGTAAGCTATGCCGAGAACTACATCCTAGTCCACGAGCCTTTTAATATCGTCAACAAACGCCATCTATAGATTTATCCCCCTCATTTCCCGTCATGGTAACTAAACGCTAAATTCAACATTATTAAAGACGAAAATCAAAGAGAAAACAAAGAGCAAGTCTATCTATCATCTATCTATAAGAGAGAATCTGGAACCAAGTCGTAGAACGGATTTAGATAGCAACTGGGCCAGCACCCAATCTATCTTTTGG